TTTTTTTGGTTAAGCCAGTGTCGTGTGTATCGTATCAGTATCGTATCGTATCGTGTCCAGGTGGAAACAACGGTTGATGCGAATTGAGTGAGTGAGTCTCAAGAAGAGGGTATATTAAATCATTAGACGATCAGAGGGAGAAAGAAAGACAAGAAATGTGTGGAAGACGGGATATACATATTAATCACTAGTCTAGGATATCTACAGTAGACCGACTCTACCGACTCTCAGACTCATTGCGTAGCATTATTGATCAAAGTAAACAAGATATTTTTTCTCTCTTTCCCTTCCTTCCCCATCCATTGACAGCCACATCATCCACAGGATCCACGTTCTTTCCGTTGGCCTAGTTGGCCTACGGCAAGAACCCGCTCCGCTACTTCAGTTTTTGGTGGAGGTGGATCGAAATGCTTCGCTAAGAGTGGCTGTTGCAGGGGTTAACCTCTAGCCTGAGAGACGGTGAAAAACTCTATGGCTCGATACCGATTACACACCGTCACTCTTTCTACAGCATTACAACGCACTAGACTAACCAGTTGCATTCAGAGTAACGCACACATGATAATAATTGTAGAGTACAGTCTAGTCTACTGCAGACCTCGGGTTGTTTAATTTCAACTTGCATGATTGAGACTGCGTGACCGATATACAACACATCACTCTCCCCATCTTCAGGTAGAAAGACATAGACAGATCAGGTAGAGGTCAAGGACAAAGAATACGATTGATTGGCGAATTGCATTGCATGCATCGGATGTAACCCTCCCTCTCACCTCCCCCAAGCTAAACCTGGGCTACTTTGGGCAACAAAGAAATGTTGGCAATTCATACTCGCATACAGCATCAATACCCAACAGAAGATCCCTCCCTAACCAAATGTATTGAGATTTCAAAAGGTTGCCAGCCTTTACGATGAATACAGTTCAACGATTAAAACTTCCAAGGCCCTTTGATCTCGACAATCTACTCAATTGACAAGGGTAGACCCAATAGACTGCCTATAAACTTTGGTAGGTTGATCGCATTCTACAAGGATCTTCCCCGTCTTGTTCCCTTACGGAATCTCCATCACGATTCCCCTGCAAGAATCTGTTTGCCAAAGCGTTTGCATTTGTGTCTGCGTTCCGGGCGCAAGGGATGACCGAGGCGAGACATGCCTTCAGACAAAGAAAACACCACAATCATCTTCGGAGAACATCCCGTTTGCTCTGCTGAATTGATACTGAGTGGATCAGGCCTCTTTTTTGAGCCGCGGCCAGCCAAGAGAAGCGAACCACTAAAACCATTGACAGCTTGGCTACTGTATTCGGTGATGTGACCTGACCTGACCTGAATGAAAGCTGGCACCTACCAAGTTAATCAAGGGCTACGCTACAGCTGGTAGTTTAGAGTTGGGCCTCTGTGAGCTATCATTCTGATCCAATCGATATCCGTATTCCTAGGGAAGAGTCATCAAGGATCAGCCAAAAGAGCACCCAAACGAGACACGGTCTGCAAGGTACCCGCGATTAAACACTATTACACAGCCATTTATCACATTCACATCACATTGCGTTGGCTCACCTGAACAACACAGGTCTCACAGTCCCAGCCTCATTCATCTCTCATCTTGACCCGATCCCTTGACTTACACGAACAATTATTCTGGAACATTACAGAATAGTGCCTCAATCACTCACTCAGCCAGCCGCCTCGCAACAACAAACCAAAACAAAAACAAACCGAGAGACGGAGACAAGAACTGAACCTAAACAAACTAACTCGAGTCTGGCATGATCCAGTTCCAGTTCCATAAAACCACGCAATCAATCAACCATTTTTAGAGTCCACTAACACTAACACCTATCAACCAGAAGCAGACTTTTCTTTCCTTTGCAACCCTCTCGGTGCTTTTAGAGTAAGCGTTTATCGCCACCAATTTTAATTACATGAGAAACCACGCGGTCCCGAAACTTTACTCTCTAAACTGTGCTGTAGCGTAAGTGTACTCCATAACTAAAGTGGAAGTTGGCAATTGGTAAAGTCATCAATCATCATCATCATCACCAGTTCGTCACCTTGCGCTACGAACTAAACCAAGTATGCAACAAAGGCCGGGTCGAGTTTTAGACTCGCACGGGCTTTTTATGCTTTATTCTGGCATGAAACGGCCTTTTGCCTCTTATTCCCTGTTTCTTGATAACTATGAAAAAAAAGAAACTATTATCGAGATGGTGTTCTACTAACCTACTGCTATTCAGATACTGTAGTTGTACTTACTGTATGGGTCAACCTCAAAAGATCCATCATATCTCCGCTTAAAACTCAGACTTTTTGTATGCGAGCTCTTTACACTATCCAGAACCTTAGTTCTCCCTTACATGAAAAAGAACCACCATTACCCGTAGACGATCGAACTTTGCTTTTTCTGTTTCCTTGCTTGTTCCCCTTAGACACACACAAGCCAATATTTGACAGAAAAGTCAAAAAAGAAGATGGTTGGGACCTGAAAGATTTGTCTCAGCCCTCTTTACTACCAATATCTGAGGCGACACATCGCGAATCTTGGGTTCGTTATCTGGTCCTTGATGATCTACCCGAGGATCCGCCCTGGGAACAGGGATCTGGGCCCTTTGCCCTACACTTAATGCCCTTCAGTAGAGTAGGGTAGGGCAGGGTTAGAGAAAACGAGAAGAGCCTCTAGGAGACTTGCATGATAGGATCCAGAATAAAAAAAAGCGCAGAGAATGGAGCCTCTTGGTTATTACCGGAAGCACTGCATCCTCCCGTTCCCCGTCCCGGCCGGGGTCATGCCATGTCACCCGGGACAGCGGCTACCCGGTACCGTAATCCGGTCTTGACCACGTTCTTTCCATAGAAGGGGCCATTAAGACTGTCACAAGCTTGTTGGTATTGCTGTCACCGCCCATGCCCTGGTCTGTCGTTGCCAACTCATCGGACAAACCCGACCCCCTTGCTATTGCATACACTTTTCCTCCACGCTGAACCCTTTACCGCGTGGGAGCGGGTCCTTTTCTTTTTGTTCTTTTTTGTTTTCTTATTCTAGAAGAAGAGGCGGGAAAAAAGCATCATCATCAAGTAGCGGTAAAAGAAACATCCCAGCCATATCTTTCGGTCAATCCGCAGGTCAGACTCGATAATGAATGAACAGACCATGCTGGAGAGGCCGAACCTTTGAATAGGGCATACTAGTAAAAACGCACAATGGGGAAAACAAGTTCCCTCTACTGAACGTCAGTCTAAGGGTAGGTTGTCGGTTGTTCTCGCCTCGATGCCAACTGTTGAGTGCATGCAGCAAAAGAACAACGCCGACTTGTTCTGAAGTGGATGCATAATCCTTGCTAGGCTGAGGTTACAACACCCGTTCGGCCCACCAAGCTTTTTCGAAGCTTCAAGTTTGACTTGCAACCACAAAGCCCTGCCCTTAGAGGAGGCTGGGAAGAGAGACCTGAGACTGACACTTGATCCACCAAGTTTAGTGCATAGAGACAAAGAAAAGCGTAGAGAGAGAAAAAGAATTGATAGAAGATCAAGAGTTTTTAGATTTCCGCCTGCACAACTCCGTACGCCCGTATGCCGAGCTAGGTATACAACATGCTAACTTAGACGTAAAACTTGAACTTGACTAACACATCATTCCATCCCGTTGCTTCCGCTTCTTTGCCACATGTGTCTTGCTCGGCCGTTTCTTGAATATCTCCACCCCGGGATATAGTTTCTCATCGTGTCGAGACAATTGGCCGTGTGTGCGCAACCACTTCTTTCGCCACGCGAATTGCTGAGCTTATCTGCTGCTGGATGCATCTGCCCCTTGCAGCTTGCATATCGTAGCGAAGTTTTCCAAGTATTAACTAGCTTTACGCTCGCCATCACCAGCCACAGGATGCCTCTTGCCGTTACAGCAGCATTGCTTCTTATGCAACAAGGCTTCCGAATGAATCCTGTCTCTTTATTGGGTCGAGTCTTGCCTTACACAGGCTCGGTTATGCATCCGTGACAGCCACAATGTTACTTGCTCAGACCTCTTCGTTCTCCCAGTCCGCTTCTCCAAACATGGGTCCCTTTCTGGTCCCGCCTGCCACCTCTAGCTTCTCGAGAAACTCCGGTGGCACCGTGGGAATATACTTGCGCTCTCGCTCACGATTTACTCCACCAATTCCAGCACCGTAGGACACAAGCATGTCGGTGACCGAAGGCAAGACAAAGGGCAGCATCAAAGCGGGATCCAGCAACAGATGTTCGGGCATTTCATCGTCGTCAGACACGTCATCTGGGGCAGGGCTTGCCACGCTTCCCGGAGTATCGAGGTGGTTCCCGTTTGACCGGCCCCTTACCGGTGTCACTGGCGTGCTGTCTTGGCCCGACTTTTGTGGTGAAGGTATACCGCTCCGCCGTCTTTCTCGCTTGAGAGCCGCTTCTTTTTGTAAATTGATAAGATATTTCATGCAACTCTTTGGCAGCCCCTTTTCGCCTACTTCTGCCCTGTAGTGGTTTGCTGAGTGGATGAGTTGCTGGGGGCTAAGCCGCTTAAGCTGTTGAAGTGTGATAATGAGAGCTTCCATATCATCTCCGTCAAGAGACGAGAAACATTGAAGCCACTGCAGTAACTGAATCACGGGTGCAAGATGCCTTCTGGCAGCGTCTTGGGTTGTCTCGCCTGAAGGACGTACCTCACCTCCTTCAAAGTGTTCTGCTTGTCTGTTATTCGTCCTTGCCCAATCTTCCAATATCGATATGTTCATGCGAATCTGCATAGCTTTTGTTCGGGCGAGATATTTACGGTTCGACATGATTCGGTTGAAGAGCTCTGCTCCAATCCAATAGATAAGTTGAGAAATAATTTGTGATGTAATCACCGAGTGAATGTCGTAAAGGTCGAGCACAAAAAGGGTAGATGAGAGGAGGGATGTGACGTTTCGAGGTGCTGGCTTGGCTCGTTGTTTTGGTGATGGTGGTCGGAAGCGCTTCTCCAATGGCTCCTCCTTGACTGCAGTCTTGCGCTTGAACAACTTCCATTCATTTTGGAAAGTAATGTCCTCAAACCCAGGGATCGTCTCGTGCTCCAGCATGGCCACGTCCAAGACCTTGTCCAGTCGTCGCTCAGCATCTCGCACGATAAGTATGAAGATCTCATTTATCAATTCCGCAAGTTGAGCCTGAAACTCGGCAGTCGCTGTGAAAAGTCCCGGATCTTTCTTGAGGTAATGAAGGAGAAGAGTGGCGTTTGAGATCCAGAAGGCCAAGATAGTCATATCCCATTGACACCTCTCAACCACGTCGTTGATGTAGTCCATAGCCGACACCAAAAGTCGCTCCAGAAGCTCTGGACTTGAATGATAGTGCGCATACCTCGCGCTGAGGAATATCATGTTGGCTGGAACAGGTTTTTGCGACGGCGATCTTTGCGGTGTCATGTTGGTAATAACGATATCCAATATGCGCTCCAGCTCATGTTCCTGGAAGACGAACATCTGATCATGCAGACAACGATTCCAGTCAAACTCCTGTTGCTCTTCCTCGAACTCGTCCACAGGCTGTAAAATCAGTTAGCCCCATAGCATTTTCACTTATGCGATAAGTCATACCTCTGGTTGGTCGTCCATGCCAACATTTCCGAGATCGACCTCGAGATCGCGAGCGCTTTCCATCATCAATCGTCTTCGCATCTCGTTCTCTGCCATCTCTTCCTCGAAGCGATCTTGAGAGAATCCAGGACGGTAGAAATCATCGGTTCCTGCATTGCCGATATTATAGCCAGCATCGTGAAGGTAGAATGACATCTCGCTGTCTGGAGGCACGAAGTCGAACGCCGTTCGTCCTGATGAGGTTTTTTGATCGGAAGAAGCGTTATTGTCGAGCAGTAATTTCGCGATACCCTTATGCCTATTCGTCATAGCCCACATAAGAGCTGTCCATTGGTTACGGTCTTGTTTGTTAACGTCCGCGCCTGCATCAATCAATGCTTGGACAACAGCTTCGTGACCCTTTTAGAGGTTAGTAACATAAGTGCAATTTTAGGAAAACACCCACAAAGCAACTGGCATATATAAGTGGTGGTGTTCCATCTTCGTCTTCAGCATCTAAATCGAGGTATTCCTTTGCTTTTCCATTAAGTAGCTTTCGAATCCTGTCGACATCGCCGTTACTCGCAGCCATGTTGAGGGCTTTCTGGAGCTTCTCCTTCTTTTCTGCCTCTGACAGGGTTTCGCTGTTCACAACCTCATCTTCGTTTTCGAAAGCAGGAGCTGCTTGGTGCGCTGCCTGAGCGGCCAGCATTTCCATTAATCGCGTATCGCTATCCTTAGGACCTTTCGTGATGTCATCCTCGTAGTCGGGATCGTTGAGCGACAGGTTTCCGAAGTTGAGAGGTTTCGCTAGAGCTGGAGTGGTGAGAAACTGGGACTGGCCTGTTACAGCACCGTCAGTGACGTGTTCGTGTTGGTTATACAAGCGGCGCAAGTATGCGACTGACCTTGCCAGCCATCGTACATCTCCGTCTCGGTGATAAGATGCTCATTGGGGACATGTCTTCTGTCGTCGAGGGATGTTGGAAGATCTGCAGGGAGAGCTCGAGGCTTCTCTTCAGGCTGGCCGTCTGAGCCTGAGCCGCCGAATGGGGAGTCCCCTAGATCCATGATGGAGGGAGGGGCAGACACAGAGACCGAGACCGAGACAGTTGCGGCGCGTGGTTCATGGAAGGTCGTATGAGGTGATTAAGACGGTCGCGGAGTATGTTTGGGTGTTCTTTTGTGGTGTTGAATAGGATAAATCGATACTATCGGGTCCAGTATAGTTGGCCAAAAATTGGTTGGGCTGTGTTGATGTCGTCTCTGATTGAGGTGTCCAGTCGTGGAGGGCAACCTTCCTACCCACTTTGTCCCTGTCCCTGATGAAGTCCTGGAGAAACCGTCATTCCGCTTAGGTTTTGGAGCAGCTCCGCTAAAAAGATGTTAGCTACAGTGGGACAACTCGAACTAGACCGTAGTTATTTACGACACATTTCGTCACAGCCACAGCATTACTGAACCCTCTTTTTTCTGCCCAATCCGGTGTTAAAAAGTCCATCCACTCACTCACTGTCTGAAGCGTGCTGAGAGTCAATGCCATGGCGAAGTAAGACGCGAATCGTTACAAGTTTATCAAGTATCCACTCGCATTATTGAGGCTATTGCTTGCATCCATGCTAATAATCTCGTTCCCAAATCATCATTTCAAGGCTTAAAATAAAATGACTATCACTTACCCTATGCTCGCCTGCCAAAAGCCCTCAACCGCTTCACTCCTCCATCAGGAATCATGATAAGCTTGACATGGGTTACCAGGCCCTTCTTTTCTTTCTCATCGCTCTCAAATTCATGCTCTTGATCAGGGCCAGTCTTGCTAGGAGGAACAAAGACTCTCCAGGCCGTGGCGTCAGCGACAGGATCTCCATGGCCCGTCCACTCACAACCTTCAATTGACACTTTTTGCGGATAGTTACCTCTGAAGTGAGCAGTATCAACAACCCAGTTCTCGATATACCCAGGCGCACCGAGCTTGATGATGGCGAAATCAGTATGGTCCTTTCCTCGTGATCGCTTTGTCTCCCAACCGTCACCCATATCCTTACCGCGACCGGGAATGATCAGGTTGTCTTTGGTTCCAAAGTGTTGATCGCTGCATGACACAGCAATACCACCGTTTTGCGCCGCAGCAAGATCAAAGATGGCGTCTTTATCTTCGGGAAAGACGGGGACGGCGTGTCCAAAGAGACGGAAACGGGCAATGCCACCATCGGGGTACATGTTGAGTCTCACATGTGTGTATTGCTTCTGGCCAGGAGCCTTGAGCTTCCAAGCAAAACGTTGAGAAGGACCACATTCTTGGATGCCGAGAATAGTCTCCCACTCTCCTTGACCTCCTCCCCAAGAAACAACTTTATCATCATCTTGGCTGAAGACACCCTCAACTGAGATAGCTGGTGCATGGTTTCCGTTGAAGAAGGCAGTGTCAATCTCAATTCCTTCGATCGTGCCAGATGCGACACCCAGCTTGATGATGGCGTAGTCGAATGGCTCTTGGTTATGTCGTCGAGTCTCCCAACCGTCGTACCAAGCGCCTGTGAAGACCATCTTGCCTGGCTGAGCAATTGGGGCTCTGGGGTTCAGGAGGTTGGAAGCCTCACAGAACCATTGGTCAGAGTAGCCAAGGACTTTGCCGCCCAAGGAGCTGGAGATGAGGTCTATAATGGTTTAGTGTGTCTCATTTTTGACATAGTGCGGGTGAGTTACCAATGCATTTTGAACGGAAGGTCTTATCGATGTCTTCAGGTCGCACTGTTGAGACATCAACGTTGTCGAGTTTATACTCGATCTCGTCAGCAATAGAAGTCATGGTGAATGAGTTGACGGATTTACAGAGTGAAAGAGAGGTTGTTCTTACCATCTATATAAGACGAAAAATATGAAATTTCAAAGTGGTCTTATCTTTACATATCCTCAAGCTGAGGCCATGACATGACCCATTAGTCGGAGAAGAGGATCTCGGTCTCGGCCAGACCCGATCTGCCCACTGATATGCATCAAGATCATGCCAACGGCTACCGGTTCCTTCTCTTGCTTATTATCATTGGATGGTTCGGTACTGCAGTCGACAGCTGAGGCATCTTTTACGTACGATTGCCCACCAATATTTGACTTACAGGCTGCTGATAAGTCTGGGGTTTCGGTTGTTGGTTAACTTTGGCGGGGTTTAGTTCCGTCAACGGCTTCGGAGAAGTGGAGGAAATACAACGCTTAGCCGGACGGCGGCTTTACGGGACCAACCAGAGTAATACATAAGGTGACAAACTTATAAATTGCATGCGGGTCAAGCCATTGTTAGTTAAAGAGCTTATCTTTATCGGTAACTAAGCTTGACAGTTTAAGACGTTGCTCGATTATATCGAGTAATTCTTAACAATAGTTTCAAGCCACTACATTTATACTGTCTTCCTACAGAGTAGATTCAGGTTGTCTTTTCCACTCTACCTACCCTACATGCTGACGTGATTCCTACTTGACCTCTCGTGATGGAATGATGGATGTCTCTTGCCCCCAGTTGCATACCACTTACCCCGCGTCGTTTGCAAAAGGAGCTTCATGATTGGTCAGAGCTCTCTATCATCTCATTGACGTCAACAATGTTCACAAATAGGAAGAAGCGAAACTCGAATTTGTAATCGTGAACCTTCTTCCTCTCTTGCATCTGCATCTCATTTCGCTTGCATTCGCATCTGCATCGGTGAAGCCTCATTCAATTCGTGCACTGTCGCTAGATTAAGACGCGTAAAAGTGTCTATTGGTCCCTGCACTGAAGCTGTGCTGCCTGTTATTTGAATTTCACTTCATCTCGAGTGATCACGCTTAAGAGATACTCATCGATACCACAGAAACAACAAGCAAAATGGCAAGTGCTGCGGGTGTCCCGGAGCGTTTCCCTCCTATCGAGGATACAGGTGCTAGAGAAACTGAACCTCTGCTTGGTCGCCCTGGCGATGCTGCCCAAGAAGATGGCGTTCCTATGATCAGGAACCTCGTTCTCGGTAAGCCACTATCTTGACATCAAGTAGTCAACGCTAATCATGTCGTGTATCAGGAACTGGCATAGTCGCCCAGCTGGGTGTTGTACTACTCACCATTCTGATCTGGGCAAACGTCCTCTCTAAGCCGTTGATCCTCTTCTCAGCGCATCCGCTACTTCAATCTCTTGCTGTCCTCACCTTGGCCCAGTCTGTCCTAAGCCTACAGCCTACTCATACTGCCGAGCAGAAGCGTGTCGGCCAGCGCGTCCACGCCATCCTCAACCTCGTGGCTTTCTTGATTCTTGTGGCTGGCGTGACTATCATCGAGTACAATAAGATCAAAAGCAACGGTGCTCATTTCCACTCTGTTCACGGTTATCTCGGTGTCATCACTTCCATCGTCCTTCTTCTCCAGTATGGTGTTGGCTTCACCATGTGGGCTACCCCTAGCCTGTACGGAGGTGTTGACAATGCCAAGGCTGTCTGGAAGTACCACCGCTGGAGCGGATACACCGTCTTTGTCCTCCTCCTGGCTACTGTCACCAGTGCTGTTGAGACTCCCTACAACAAGAACGTGTTGAAGTTGAAGCTGTGGGCTGTTCTCTTGCTGTCCATCGTTACGCTGGTGGGCATTGTTCCTCGAATCCAGAAGCAGAAGCTCGGCTTCCGAGGGCCAAGCTCAACTTAATTCTTCCTGGTTTGTGTTGCAAGTGCACTTGCGAAGGACGCCGGTATCATGGCAAGCTTGTGAGATCAACTCTATGCTTTTAGCATGACGGATTCGTACAAGGCGTTGGCAGATGGTGCTTGGAGTCTGTTTGCTTTTCTGTTTAGCATTATGTTGAGAGGGCCTTTGGGTCATGTTTGCGTCTCATGCATTATAATTACTTTGTACTTGGGAGAGCGATGTTGTTTAGTGCATCCCCTATTCAGAATGGAATGGTTCTTTTCTTCTTATACTCAACCCCAACCAGTTGTTCTAATCTACAATCCCAAGAAGTGGGTTTGTTAAGGATATATGGTGATGTCCTTCACCTTTTTTGTTTGCCCAACCTTGCGTCGAGTTGTCATTAAGCAAGGTCCCATCCATCGTACTTAGACCACGGCTCTCTTACCCTGAACATTACACCAGATCGCAAGTCTACTGGCACGACAATTACACATGTCTGTTGGAATATCATGCTGAGGAACAGGATATCTGATGTACTGCAATGCTATGGCTGGGCCCGATTGGATACTACTTTTATGATAGCAATCGTTTGCGTTTAAGAGTATAAAAGATCTTTCTCTAGCCATGATACGAACCGACACTATCGTAGAGGCAGAAGCCAAGTTTTCAGTATCAATGTCTCGACAACGTCTTGTTTATCGAACGCCTAGTCCAAGAAGCATATCACGAAAGTCGGTACTGCCATGAAACAACTCCGATCCGGTACTCGCCGTTCTTCATGTACCGAGTGAGCTTGTATTTCAGTGTCAGGGGTTGTATCCGAGAAGTAGATCTCGGCCGTAGCATTGGCCCGGGAGCCCGTTTTACGTAGACCCCGTATTCTTCCCGTCACTGCTTGTTGAAGGGAAACAGACTCAAGTTTCTTAACAATCCTATCTTGCTATATTCTTAAAGAGTTTCAGCGTGCTCATTGCAGATTTGGGTCTCTTGATCTATACCATGTTGCAACGCTGTAGGCAGCAGAGAAGTGTGGTTACCTTGGGTGTGATTTTCATCCACCAACATTTATCTATTGCAACACTACCCTGACAACGTCACCGCTTGAGTCACTATATGTGGTATATTAACCGAATCCACCACGGGTCGAAGCGTGAAGTGCAGGGTTCATCGAAGGAAAGGATGTATGTCCCAGGCTGTCAAGCTACTAATCCTTCAGGGAATATCCGCCTTAAGGCTACACGATAAATACTCAGAAGCGTTTTCCAGAAGGTTTAATAGGGCGCAAAACGAGGCGAAAGCTTAGATCCGATGGCACTTGCTTGTAACCAGGTCCTGTCAAAATCTGCTGGCCAGGGTTTTCTTGTTTAAGACCAGTCACTTACAAAGTCATTCGATAACCCACATGTACTGAGACCCGTCTGACGGGAACGCGGTCATGGCGTCCGGTTCCCGCGGCTGACAGCTGCAAACAAATCCAGGATTGACAGGAGAGATCAGGATGGACATGTTGGGCTTCTGGAAGCCCCCGATTCAGGCTGAGCTTTGATGCCAGTTGTCATCGTTAAGGGATCGGAAGTCCCTATATCCTTGTCGACCACCGTTGATGAAGATAAGTCCCGCACCTCCTAATACTCCTCAAGTCCCCGCTGGATCCGAGAAACTGTGTTTGGAGATAGGGATAGACAGTGGAATGCCATGTCGTTCGTCAACTTGCGGCTGGCCAATCTGACTCACCGACTGACTCGACCTGTTTTCTTTTGCAGATCACTCTAACAATCGTTGTTATGGCTTGGTTGATCATCGAAGTGCAAAACCGTTCCAAAGCCCAACGAAATCGATCTTCTGGGCATCTATACCACTGACCAACCAGATTCTGGTGTATAAACTGCATGGTAGCACATGATTGCTGGTCCACTATAACAACATTTTGCTGACTTGCTAGACCTTGGCACGAAATCAATGCAAGCTGTATCCCAGGTCGTTCAATAAAGAACTGCAAAGAAGAAATGCAAGATGGCCGCGGGAATACCGATGACAGATGAGCGTAGGCTCGTGAGGCTGCCGTTTGCACGTAGTTGTATAACCGAAATCATAGTTGACATCTCAGCCTCCTTGCTATCAGTGTGTAAGTGACCGAATGCGAGACCTGCACTCCGCGTTGTGGCTGTCATGTTTATGCTGGAGACAGTAGAAAGATATTCATAGCTGCAGGAAAATAAAACAAATCCAAAGGAAGCGACCCCTGCACGCAAACGGTGGAGACTTGCAGTGTGATGAGGAAGCCGAGATATTCATATTCCCGCAGGTGATGGTTGATTTGGCAAAGCGATCTCGCATCCCATTCTATCAATCCCGTGCCTCGGAGGCTGGACACGTTGTCGCTAGACATGGGCATGGGTATGGTTACCCCCCACAGCTTGGGATTGGTTGGATCTTTCGTGGCGTCTTTCTTGACGTCACGTTCAGTGCTGAACACACAGACGTCATGCGAAGCACCTCCAGTCTCAAACCAGCCGCTGCTTCAGACACAGGTGGACGGACGCATAAGATTTTTGAGACAAACATCGAAATCCAGTAAATCAGAGGACAGCCATAGGCCTGACGACAAAGTGTAACTGACACAGCAGCAGCTGAGCCTGTTGTGGAACCATGGCCATCTCTTTCACCAAGCTCACTATTACAAGCCCGTTATCCGTATTGTAGGGCCCTGATGAGCCCGCACAAAGGGCATCCCCGACGAGGAGAAAGAAATCTGCTGTAACAGCTAGTCAGGATTCTGCAATGGGACTTTTGTTTCGTGATTCGTTGTCAATCAATAATAAACTCGTTGTTATACATAACAAGTCACAATGAGGACGTCTTGAGCAGAGAAAGACAGACTCTCATTTGCTGCAAATGTGTTGGATGATAATTCCGTACTCAGATAGTTCCATCAAGACCCCTGGCATGATACACTTCAGGAAGCCGTCAATGGTCGTATTCCTTGCCCGGCTACATTCCATGCACCCACAAGCCCGCGTGGCAGGCCGGCGCGCTGGTCCTAATCTGGAAAGATTGAAATTTTGACATTGAGGGCTGACCCAGGGAAGACTCCCCACTGATCTCTCGTGCTGTTTAGCTGTTTGGTCCAAGGGCATCGAGAGGCTAAATCGATCCATGTAGATTGCAATTTTTGCTTTATGAGACACCAATGAAAACGAGGCTCACAAATTCGTTGTGGCTCGCAAACTTTTGAAAATTCCTAGGTCGTTCCCTGTGGTGAAGGAAGTCAATTCTCATATTCGGTGAAGCGGACTGTTTCCACGAATGACAGCACAACGGGTAGCTGACATGAAGAGGCCCTGAAAGCCACAGTGATGTCAACAGAGCGTCGAGAGTGGTTGGGCCGCTGGCGTCTCGAACGAATAAGGGAGTTGGGGAGAGTCAGTGAATTATGCCGCTGTAGTATAACATGGGGCGGTTAGCAGCGCTAATGATTGTCAGCAGTTCTCAACGACAGGTGATAGTAAAAGAATTCGATAAAATCAGCGGAGTAGAGCCAAGTCAAAGACAGTTGCAATCGTTGCTGAATGGTATCCTCGTTAGTGGAGGGAAAGTAAGCATCATTTAAACAGCCCTACTTTGAGTGCTGTCGAAAGACCTTGATCCCCAGTCCTTGTGGCTCCTGTCAAAATTGTCTAAAGAGCAAGACAGTTAATTGAAGATCGCCGATCTCGAAGGAGAACGAGAGGGTCCATGGGGAAAGGTCACCATCCATAGCCGATGACAGTTATGATGGTGGCTCGAGCGCGATTTTGACAATCGGCAAGAAGAAGAAAAAAGCACGAATGTTTCTGTTGAAAATGGGTAAGGCCGGGCGTGAAGTGCTGCCATGTTGAATGGGAAACATCGCGATCGACCTGGCGCGCGGTACTAAGAAGGTTCGATAGTCGGATCCGAACTTTTCTGATTTGCCTTATTTCTAAAAAAGAGTCTGACACTCCGAGTACCGAGATGTTATTGGTTTCCCTCCACGGAGGCTTTCTCCCTAGATTCTTTCGAATAAGGGGGTTGAAAATGCCACAGACCCAGAAAATGGGTTAACTTGTGCCAGCCGCTGTTCCCCTCCTAATCGATGCTGGTGCATCGTTCGTCCAGGAAAGGTTATGTTCCTAGTGCGTGCCTGACAGCTATTGGATGCAGGCGATAAAGCGGATGATGATGGTGGTTGTTGCTGCACCAAAAGCTCCTGCAGTGGAGATAACTTGGCCACTAAGATCTTTGTAAAAATACTGAGTGTCCAGTGGTTGGTTAGGCTGAGGCTTGGCCGGATACCAGGGACAACAGGCGATGACGATAGTGATGCACGCCCACATTTGCGCGGCCATTGGTCTCAGTGCAATCTGCGCTGAGGAGCAAGAGGAGAAGCATTGACCAGCCAATCCCCTGAATGCATGGATGAGATTGATTTGCTGCAGCTGATGGATGTATTATTAGGACAGCGTCATCACTGCTCAAGTCTGTGCATGTAATGCGAGAAGAGTAGGCTGATGAGCAAGAGGCATTGGATATCGTGTGAGGACGTTCATGTTGATGGCGTGAGTTATTGTGTGAGAATGCTCGAGTAGAGAAGGGAAGAAGAGTAGTCCCAGGCTAATATCATTAAGGCTGCATTCTTGGTGGAGGTACGTACCTGCCCAATTCTGGATTTTTTTTGCTTCCTTCCTTGAGGGTCTCTTTTCTCTACGTCATTGTGTGCAGGGTTGGCTTTACCTACCCCCGTTCTGTGCGCGGGCATCGTGGGCTAGTCAAGTACCAGATAGGTACTACTGCGAGCTGTTACAGGTTCTGTAGCACCAGCGAAGCACATACTATACTTTACTGTACCTTAACCATCTGCAAGCCAAACGCCAACTTTTGCCCACCTCCAAGTCGACTCTCTCAATGAGTCTCCAGTCTCTCTCTCACTAGCCAGGCCAGGCCAGTCCAGTTCAGTCCACCTCTCTACCGCTACCACCGCTACCATTTCACTCTCCGCACCAAGAAGCCCAAGACAAGAGTGAAAGGCACACTACGCTGCGGTGTGGTTGAACCCCCAATTTTCTCACTTCAAACCTCGTGCGTTGCGCTGCCCGCTCGTTGCCCCGTTGTTGGAACCTCTTCCGGCCCTCATCCTCCGATCCTGGGCCTTACCTACACTATCTTGGACCTCCCTACAGGGTCATTAACACATCTCGGTCGTTGACCAACTGGTGCCAGGATTCATACATACAGACCGTTGCTACTGTTATCGTACTGCAGGCCTGGGGTTAGAGGGAACGAAGCTTCTATCTCTGCCCCCCCTCCACCGCTGCTGCTTAATTTGACATATTCTTTAAATCGCGAATCGTACTCAACACCACTCTTCCTGCCGGCGAGAAGGATTTGGCACCTGGTACTTCGACGACTGGCTATCCCGTGAGGCATGCAAAGAGCCACCTCGCCGGTTGGCGACGACTTATTCTCGATACCGTCACCATCGCGTCAACACGATTTATCGACTCGCCCGCCAGTCTTGTCGCCGTTTCCTCTCGATGAGAAATTACCAGTCTATGCTAATAGAAATGGACGTTTGATGCCGAAATCGATATCGAACTCTGTAGATGCGACTGCGACACCAATCGCGCGTGACGCAATGACGACGGATCGCCACCCGAGCCACTCTCTAAACTCGCCCCTTGAGGCTCAATCCAAGCAGCCCCGCGTCCACAACAACATGATAGGAGATTCTGCCGACCTGACCACCCTTTCTGATGTCAAGGATCTGGGTAGCGTTACCGAAACATCGACAACCCGCGCTGGAACAGATGCATTGAGTCCTCGGCGTGCAGGCTTTGGTGCTACTGCGTCCCAGGCCCAAATATCCTCACAGAAGCAGCTCAACGAATACCGAGAAAAACTTGCACGCGACCTCGAACGCCGCGAACTGTCAGCTAGAGGCCTGATGGCGAGCCCGAACGAGAAGATCAGGGTTTCTCCCATACCAGAAGAAGGTCTTACTGGTTCACCGCTTCAGACTTCAGCTCTAACGACTACTTCAACCGAGTCGAACACTACCGTCAGAGGCGCTCCCACTCCAGGACCCATTGCAGGCACTCCATCTTATCCGTTTCCTCGAATGGTGCCCCCCGGTTTTGTACCATCGTATCTGCATAGGCCTTTCACCAGTCTCTCACCCACGGGCGCTCCACGATCCTTCAGTTATGGCTCTTTCGAAGGTTTAGGTATGGGTGCTCAAGACAAGCTTGTGTCAAGCACTTCTACCCCGGCATCTAACTTTACATTCAACCCATCCGCCGTATCGCCACATCCCGAAAACCCCGATTTTCCTAACCCTAACCTTTATGATCTTTCTTTAATGCTTGCTGCTGAGCCTGGTCTGGATGCTTGGTGGTCGAATGTTGTCCAAATTATGAGAGATGTGTACAAAGCTGAGCGCGTGACACTGGCCGTCCCGGCTGACTCAACAGACATTGAAAACGTTCCTTGGGGCCAGAAGGCTACTTTTAATCAACACAAGGAGGATGATCTGAGCCTCGGATATATGGCTGCCAAACACCCTAGCAGTATTGGTTTGAGCAATAGCGACTATGATAGATCTGGACCTGGGTCAAACGCCACACCGTCAGTTGCAGACGATACCCTGCACGCCAATTCTGCTGCCCGACCTGGTCTGTTTAGTCGACATTCATACACAACATATGAGGAGAAGAGAGAGAAGTCTCAGGCCCAACCTAATTTGCAGGCTCGCCGACCTGCCTTCCTGGCCAGGAGTCAGAGTAACTATCCTGCAGGCCGTGCCTCCAGGGAGGCCTATGCTGATTTCGCCAAGCTGAATAAGACAACACTTGACGAACACGATGCTATTGAACAACCGATTCCAAGCTGGGAGGCGCCACTCATTGGAGAAAAGGATGGCCAGGGACGTGTTCTGCCTGTGCTGCAGGCTCTTGACTATGAAGCAGACCCCCTCATCGATCACAGTGGAGTGATGCGTGTACTGGAGCGTGGAAGAGCCATCGCACTCACTAGATCGTATCCTTATCTCGCCGATGAAGTTCCTGCCGAGTCTTCGAAGAAGTCAAAAGCTACTACTCAAGAATCTTCCAACGCCCCCAAGAACTTCAGCAAACCTCGGTCCGATTCGTTTTCGAAGCTATCATCGATGTTCAACTCAGCTAGTTCCTCCCGTGTACCAAGCCGCAGCAAGACCCATTCAGCTGCCGACAGGGCTAAGTCAATAGCTTCACGCCTGGATGACCGGTTGGAAGAAGATATGCCTCGGCCCCCGACTCCAAAGTACGAAGAGTTTGAGCAGGCACCCCCATCACCCTGGTCACAATCGCCGGCGCCATCTCCTGCTGTGCGGGCCGACCCGAAGGAGAATCCATTTTTCACAGACGCCATGGTAGATGAGGATTCCTTCAACCCAGATACTGGCACAGATGACTACACAGGAATGCGGCCACCTGAAGCTATCGGTGTTGACAATTCATGGACTGTTCTCCATATTCCGCTTTCCCATGTCCTCCTCTCTAAACCTACCCGAACCTTCAAACTCGATAGCACTCTGATGGAGCAAAAGTCTCACTCCCGCAACAAGAGCGAGAATATTCCTGCTCCAAGTGAGGATGGTGGCCGTAACACACCAGACAGCTTCAAGAGAGACAAGCCGGCACCTATTGCAATCTTGTCCATCCTTAGTCCAATCATCCCTTATCCATCTAACTTGAAGCACTCTCTCGAGCACCTCGCACCGCACATGGCCACGACCTTCTCACTGTCTCGACATTACAGCAATCTTGAAACCGAACTTGCAGGCTTGCAGCGCAAACGACCGCAAACGGCTGGATTTGGTGCAGTTGCACATGATGGACGCCCTTTGGAAAATATGGCTTATCTTACCGCCGACGACATTGTCCCTCACCAGTCACATGCTGGCAGTATGACAAGCCCGAGCGACTATTCGGGAGTCTCCAAGAGTGCTACTGGGTCTCCATTAGGAACACCTGGGTGGGATCAGGGGTCTGGCAACTTTATGAACGACAAGCGACCACCGCCTACCTCAAGCCCTGCTGCCACGCCTTCGGGTGAAGGTTATTTTGCTTCCAGACAGCGGCCAGTGCCTACACGACACGAGACCTTTGGCGGCACAGGTAACCCACGAATAAGAACAAGCTCGAAGGACAGCTCGCCCGCCGAGAAGCGAAACGCTCGCCTCAGTGGTCCCTCGCTTTCGCAAGAGAGTTCGGATCAGAGCTTGTCCGTTGAGAGTAAGACGGCTCGTACTTCATCCAATGAGTCGACTACGGCTTCGGCGAAGAAGTCTGCACAAGGAGATGCTCCCGATGTCAGTAAAGATACTTTGGATCCCGTCGATGATGACAATGCGGCTGAGAATTTGGCTGACACTGCAAAGACTGGACGTGGCACTCGTCAAGGACACAGCATGCTTCACTCTTATGGTGCAGATTTCGCTTCAACCTTTCAATCTCTTCCGCCGAGTTCCACGCTCTCGGCTCGACCGACACCTGTTTCTGCACCATCTCGGAGCGGCTCGTTAACTACCACAGCTGTTGATATGCCACCTCCATCTGACAGACTGAAGGGACTGATCCTAGATTCTCTACCTGCTCATGTATTTGTTGCTCTCCCACAGACTGGAGAAATCGTTTGGGTCAACAGCCGGTACCTCTCCTACCGAGGTCAAACAGCAACCGATCTCGCTGCTGATCCCTGGGGAAGCCTTCACCCCGACGACCGAGACGAATACCTAAAAGCCTGGGGCCACTCTATCCGCACTGGAGAACAATTCTCGAGGACAGTTAGGATTAAACGATTCGATGGCGCGTATAGGTGGTTTTATGCTCGGGCCGTTGCTTCCAAGGACAAGAGGGGTGTCATAATGCAATTCCTTGGATCTTATATGGACATCCACGACCAACACATTGCCGAGCTGAAAGCCGCTCGACAGGAGGAAATCGAAGCATCCGAGGCTAAGCACCGACTACTTGCCAACCTTATACCACAAATCATCTTTACAGCGACGGAAGACGAAGGTATAACCTTTGCCAATGAACAATGGCTATCATATACTGGCCAAAGCTTCTCAGATTCACTTGGGTTGGGTTTCATGGACTTTGTACACCCTGACGATCTTGCCAAATGCCGTATTCCCACTCAACCTCCAACTCCAGGCGGGCCAAAGCGTGAAGGGCAAAACAGTGTGTATCGACAAGGATCCGTGCAGTCTGAAGCAGCGTCAACGAGTACTATACAAGCGCCTAGGTCCGGTACGCCACAGGACTCGCCTATGCGTGGCGCACAACAGACTCTATCCCGGCACAACAGTTCCAGTGGCAGTTCCGCATATGATTGGCCTACTGCAGACTTGACTGAATTGGCTCGTAAGGGAATCATCAAAGTCGCGACTGATAGTGCTGGCCGAGTTTCATACACTACCGAGGTTCGACTGTTATCAAAGACTGGAGAATATCGTTGGCATTTGATTCGTTGTGTTGAGATTGACACAATTGATTTTGGTAGTGGTGCCAGCTCCTATTTTGGATCCGCGACCGATATCAATGACCACAAGTTACTGGAGACTAAGCTTAAAGAAGCCATGGAGACCAAGGGGCGATTCCTCAGTAACATGTCTCATGAGATTCGCACTCCACTCATTGGAATCTCTGGCATGGTCAGCTTTTTGCAGGACACTACTTTGAATGAGGAGCAACTCGATTACACCAACACGATACAGACGAGTGCCAATAGTTTGATCATGATTATCAACGATATTCTTGATCTTTCCAAGGTCGACGCTGGTATGATGAAGTTGAAGTACGAGTGGTTCCATACCCGCTCCATCATCGAGGATGTCAACGAGCTTGTTTCAACCATGGCGATCGCTAAGCGACTGGAGTTGAATTATCTCGTGGAAGCAGACGTGCCTGCATGGGTCAAGGGCGACAAGGTTCGAATTCGCCAGGTCTTGCTTAACGTCACCGGCAATGCTATTAAATTCACTTCTGAAGGCGAGGTCTTCAGCCGTTGCCGTGTGTACATGGCGGAGGGTTCCAACGTGGATGAGAACGAAATCATGCTCGAGTTTTCAGTCACTGACACAGGACGTGGATTCTCCAAAGAAGAAGCCGATCTGATTTTCAAACCATTTAGTCAGATTGATGGAAGCAGTACTCGCCAGCACGGCGGCAGTGGCCTGGGTCTTGTTATCTCACGGCAACTAGCTGAGCTGCATGGTGGTAGCATGACAGGTCGAGCTACACCTGGCAAAGGATCGACTTTCACATTCACAGCAAAATTCGGCCTTCCCACATCCGAGGATCATCCTAACCTTCCTGACAGTCCTCCGCCTACTGGCGCCTATACCCCTAGACCTGAGGTGGTGGATAATGTTCCTAATAGCATTAAGCCTCTACCACCACCAAGGCATCTACGTTCAGTCGAAGTTGCCAGTCCTGGAGGCACAACGTCCGAGTTTACGTCGCCTGGAGGCCTTTCGGTTGGTAGCTCAAATCCATCTGTCCGTTCAGCCAAGTCGCAACTCACCGATCGGTCGTCTGCAACATCCGTCACTGGAGGTCTTGCCCGCTTTAGCGAAGCAGCCAAGGCTAGTGGGCAAGACTTATCTCAGATGAAGTTGGAGATGCCCTCAGGGCGCAGCTCTCCTGGGACTCACCTACTGCCTGTGGGATCACCTGAGGATTTCCGACCCCCAATGTACTCGATCCTCATCATCTGTCCTCAGTTCCACAGCCGCGAGGCTACTACGCAACATATAGAGATGACTCTACCGAAGGATGTTCCCCACCAGATCACGGCATTGGCAAGCGTTGAGGAAGCGCAGACACTGATCAGTGGCGAAGACCCTATCAAGTTCACGCATATTGTTATCAATCTTCCCTCTGCCGAGGCCATTATCGGATTGATGGATGATATAACAAAAACACAGACGATCGATAAGACGACCATTCTTGTGCTGTCAGATTCCGTACAACGACAAGCAGTTCTTAAGCTGGCGGCCGACACTAAGTATGAGCACCTTCTTTCGGATAATGTAGTGACGTTCATCTACAAACCTGTGAAACCGTCCCGATTTGCCGTCATCTTTGACCCGAACAAGATGCGCGATCTCAGCATAGATCGCAATCGGTCGACAGCTCAGCAAATGGTCGAGAATCAGAAGGCTAGCTACCAGGAGATTGAACGGCGCATGGGCAACAAGGGCTACAAAGTGCTATTGGTTGAAGACAATCCTGTCAACCAAAAGGTTTTGATGAAATACCTCAAGAAGATCGGCGTCGATGTCGAGATCGCCGTTGATGGTGCCGAGTGCACCACCATGGTTTTGTCAAAGCCTCATAAGCACTACTCCCTTATTCTGGTAAGTGGATTCTTATGCATTTATATAGTCTGCAGCATTACTAACATATGTCTCTCCAGTGTGATCTTCACATGCCCCGAAAGGACGGTTACCAAGCGTGCCGTGAGATTCGGCAGTGGGAATCTGCCAACCGTTACTCCCAAATGCCAATCATTGCCTTGTCGGCCAACGTCATGTCAGACGTTCAGGACAAATGTGTCGCAGCGGGTTTTAGTGACTACGTTACGAAGCCCGTCGACTTCATAGATCTCAGCCGAGCCATGTCGAAGTTCTTCTGATCGTGGGACTCGCTTTCTTCTTCTTGAACACACGCAACGCAAGTCTGCAATGCCCGCTCTTGTTTTGCCCCTTCACAGCATTATACGACGGCTCACGACTTATCCGCCTACACTTTATGATACCATGGCAGCTTCTCTTTTGACAGAACAGGCAATGGGCCTTTGATCGAGTCAGATTCTTGCAGTGATTTGCAGGGATGAGAAGCACTCGAGGTTCTGTGTTTGACTTTATTGCACTACTGTTATTCATTCCGGCTTTTATGATTCTTTACATCAAAGATGAGTTTACCGCTTTGGTCGGAAAACTATTTTCTGCATACTACGGGACATTTTCCATGGCGTTTGCGACCCTGCACGGTTTTTGTAGGGATCAAAACAGTTCAATTAATTCGTACCCGTGGTCTGTTTTGAAGCCTTTTTGTTTATTTTTCACCTTTCACTTTTTTACCTTTATCATCCGAGTTGAATGACTTGTGGAGGTCTTGGAGGGGTTTCAGAAGACTGGATACGGTGTTACGGTGTTTCTGTTTTTTTTTACGTGCATTACTCTACTTATGCCTCACGACCTATATTGGATGGAAAAAGGTCCATCCATATCTTGGGTTGGGGGTTAAAAGAGATGGGATGAATCGCAAGGATATAAATTTTTGGCTTCTTTCTGGTAATCTTCTTGACGAAGAAAAGGGGGTTCTTATAGACAGACGCGCACGAGGATGAGCTGGATAGGTCAATATTTAATCTATCCCACGTTGATTGACAATTATATACTAGCTAGACTTTTACACTTTAGCTATTAGCTTTGTATAAGCTAAGTTCTTCAAAAATAAAAAAAAGCTCAAAATCATTCATGAATCCCTCTAAAGCTTTCGTCACTTGAATAGACAGTGGTTGCGATCCAAAGGACGTAGCCTTCTTCAAATACCTGACTAAAGGATCCTCCATAGTTGTTCATGTTCTGGCACTTGATCATCAGGAGGGCAGTTTTACAGTTCTCAGCCATCTTTATATTGGCAATAGGAGAGAAGGATTCTTGGTTTAACTCCACCGTGATCTGCAGGGTCCAAAGTGAAAGAATATCTTCAAGATCAGTGAGTGGTATATAACACCTGACTGCACCTTAAATCTACTCTCTGCACAATATTTCTCACTCTTTTGCTTGTAACCTACGTCAGGGTAGCAGGGGAATCAGCCACCGAAAGTGCCATGGTCGAAATACGACAAGCCGTCTGCTTAATCTGTGCTAGCCGTCTCGAGGAGGGCAAGTCTCTTTACCACTACCCAGACGGTTCCGAAAGGCAGGTTCAGTATTTTCAACGGAGGGAACCTTTGAAGTGGAGGGAAGATCATATTCTCCTCTGCGGACAAACATGGCCAAAGTGGGCAAAAGGCCCCCGATCAATGAGCATCCCTGACGAGAATGTCACTGTCCACAAAGCTCATGTAACTCCCTGCAAATACGCTACAATCTCGAGTGGTCCGAAGTTCCTCATTCAGCAACAACCAGAAGTCGATAGTCCGTGGTGGTATCTCCCTGTTCATGCTGCTTGCTACACCATGGCAAGGAAAGCTATGGTAGCACCTGGAAGTAAAATCACAAGCCTGGGAGATCTATGGATGACACTAGAGAGACGATGTCAGCAGACAATGCCTGGCGGGCTGCCTCGTTGGTTATGTCTTCCCCGTGTTCCGAACAACAGACCAGGAGAGCCTATCGAGTTGGGATTCGGGCGTTACTACACTCCTCCAAAAGTAGAGCAGTCTATCCCGATGGCTATTGTTAATGATTGCGGATGGGTGAGTCTTGGTCCCAATATAAATTGTTTCAGTACTGATACAGCCTGCAGTGGATTTTGGACCCTCTCAAAATCCGGAACTTTACCAAGTCACTCATGTTAACCCTCGAGCGAGCAAAACCTCCATTAGTTGACGAAGGATTCAGTAACAGATTCGACTCTCTACCCCCCGAAATCAGAAACATCATCATTGACGACCTCATCGCTTACATCCTGACAGAAGGCGGCAGCTCTCAAGAATGTACCTATCTCATCTCGCAATACCGCTGGAAACAAGCCTTTATTCAGATCCCCTTTTTATGGGATCTCGAAAACGAAATCGTCGAGCGGAAAGACCAAGAAGCTACAACCGGACTATTCGAGTGGAACTGGGAGAAGCTTGCGAGGGTGATCTTGTCAGAGTTTCCTATCTTTCAAGGGGGCGAAGACTGTAATTACGAGCTCTATAGTTACGAGCTCTACAGTCGATCGGGACATGACACATCTGGCCTACCTATTGTTCCGCGGGCGTTTGCCAATAGAAGGCGAATTTGGCAGATTTTAACGGATATGTACCCTAATGACGTAGGGCTGGTTCACCGTAAAGGCGAGGAAGATGAATACTCTGAAAGTCAAGGCAGACTACAGGAGTAATACTTAGTGCAGTAGGAGGGCACGAACGCTGATAGAAGAATCATCCTTAGAACTAGGCTATCATAATAAGGTAGCCTAAGTGGTGGTCTAAGGTACCATAAAGTGACTAAATTGTTTCATCCCTTATGCTAATAGGGGACAATTCTTCTGACGGGTCCCCTGAAAATGTTGAAGTTGTTGTGCAGTGGCAGTGGCAGGAAGTGATTCACTGCATCCTTCCCAATTCAATAGAAGCTCCTTCACTCCTTCTTATTGTGCACTTCTCTTATTCATAATTAATCCATCCATGCATTTGCCGATCTTCGACCCGCCATCTATTCATTACTCGGCATTCTTGAATACTTATTTGTCATGATCTAGCCTTTCAGCTAAGCTCTCGGTATTCTTTACACAGCTATTGTAGAGACCAGTGCGCGCGCGCGCATCAGACAAACGAACAGCACTCGATAACCAACAGAATACTATTCGATATGGAGCAACAAAACGAAAAGGGCAAACACAAACTGAGCCCTCAAACAGACCCGGCAGTCACTAAGAAAAGTCGACCTACATGTTTTGTCGAGACTCCAGGAGGAAGTCTTAGAGAAACGAATCCTTCTACAGATCATCAACCCAGTAGTTCTGCTATGGCTCCTCCCGGCTCCAAGTTGAAAGAGGCTCCATCGCTCGAGGGCGCCGACGACATCGAAACAGCTCAATCTTCTTTTTCTAGCAGGTGAGTAACAGAAAAGTTATCTTCTAAGGCTTATGATATCCAAATAAAGAAGCCTAAATGATCCTCTAAGCCAGCATAAGATGACCAAATTATTTCGTCTTGACTAGCATTTAGGTCACTTTATTTCATCTCTTATGTTCTTGGGGCTAATGCTTCTGACACTCTGTCTAGCTTGCCGATTCGTCCTGCTACAGAATCAACTCGTACCACACCCGCCAACTATGATCTCTCCGAGCAACACCTCAGCACACTGTCCGTTCGCGAGAAGCTCCGCAAGGGTATCGCCATGAGCTTGGCCAACGATGTGGTCGCGGATACCGTTCCTGGAATGATGATAAACACGGATATTGAGCATCACGTGGATCCCAAACTCACCTCCTACCAATTCCGCGGTCGAGGCACCGAAATGGTTAACCACGAACTAACAGCAAGAGTGACTGATGCTTATGAATCCATGGAGACCAGGGGAAAGATGGCTCAACACAGAAATGATGGAATACCTCAAGCGTAAGCCACTCACTACCTTCGATACCACGGAAGTTTTGAACTGTCCCTGCTGACGATGTGCTCAGGAGAATAGCTGGTGCGCGGCTTCAAGCTGTCACTAGAACTGCCAACTACAACCCGTTCAAGCCTTTCACTTACGTTCCGAGTCCCCATCCAAACAATACCATTTCCGAAGCCGAACAAAGGGAAGGACTGACAGCTTGGCTCGAGTCAGCTTGCCGTCGTTTTGGGTACAAAACCCTGGAAATTGATCGCCTTTCTTTCAGGCATGACTTCCAACACAACGAGCTGACACTCATGGAACGTGGTAATGACTTTTGGGTCGCACCTAACGAATCGTATTCCAGTCCTGTGTATATCGATACTGCCCATGAAGGTAGCATCACTTTGTATGAGGCGAATATGTAAGTGTTATTACAAGAGCTATCGAGGACTCAGAGTTGTTGCTAATGCATAGAAGTTCTTGTGGACATCCCCCAGAAGTACAAAAATGGACTTGGTTCAAGATCACCAAACCGTTCAGTAGAGGAAGGCCGAGGGGGGTTGGAGACGTGGTCAATTCCGGCATTACTTTCGCTATCCCCACGGCCAATATTGAGAAGGTCAAGGAAGAGTAGAACCCATCCTTGACTGATAACCAACGCCAGCTCGTACAAGAGTGGAGGTTTAGCACAAACGGCATCCCTACCTTTACCACACCACAAGCCATGGACGAAAAGAAGTTTTGGGGGTGGGTGCAGAGGCTCATGGGCAGCAATGCCTGCCTCGTTGAAGCTATCTCCAAGAAGGGATGGGTCCGAATCGACCCTGAACCGCAGCAGAGCGAAGGAAGTGACAGCCGGGCACCCGGCCGTCGAGCTGCGGCCCGAGGAGCATCGGGGCTACGAAACGAAGTTTAGATAGAGGTCGAGCTGTATATATACTTTATTGAAGTTACGATTATAGTGGCTTATTGCGTCGATATTGAAGTAGTGTGTTTTTAAGCTTAATAACATTGATCAGTCGCTACGTACCTGTCTAGCATAGAGAGACCGAGCTGTATACGGGATACTTTAGACAGTCATTCTCTAAGCTTTAGGGAACTAGCGATAACATGGAGCCTAAACTCGCATAAAGTGACCAAAGGCTTTCGTCCCTTATGCTCTCGTAGTGTTCTCATGGACATCTGCTGTATGAGCTGACTATAGATATCGATAGGAAGGCAGCGGTTGTGCGCTTGAGCATCGCAATGTTGCAACATGGCAACGCCTTCATCGTCAGCAGATAGTCGTTATCAAACCGCCTGTCAGAGTGTCAGAAGAATTGGCCGCCAAAAGCATAAGAGACGAAATAATTTTGTCACCTTATGTCACCTTATGTCACCTTATGTCACTTTATGACAGCTTAGGCTAGCACTTAGGTAGGCTACTTTATTTCTGTAGCCTAAGCCTTTGAAGTTTGCCGTCACTTGCAATGGCTGGACATCTGCTGTGTGTGTTGACTCTAGCATTGTGGTGATCATTTCTTTTTCTTTCCTTTAGACCCTTCCTCCTTCTTATCCCCTGCCATTCCAGCTCTTGCAAAGGCATCACTGGCTACAGCAGTGATCAACCTAAATCTTTTGGACCCCAGATGGACACCCCCATACCAGCGTGTAACTACCACCATGGAATCCCAGAGATCCATTGATTGCATAAGCTGCAGAAGACGGGATCCGGCTCCCGTCTCACCATCGTCATTAAACTGCTGATGGCCAGTTCCGTCGCCTCTAATACGCCACGCCGTGATATTATGTGTTGCATTGCGTATACGTTTGTCCGATTCTAGCAGAGAATCGACATAGGATGAGGCCTGCGAGGGACATGTTACGGGGGAAACGTGTGCTATGAATTCTGATATGCGCTTTGAAGGCGTCCAAGACGGGGGCTGTGATTTAGGCAGAATGGATTGGGCTGCTCTTTTGACTGCCATGATGGGTTTAGTAGTGATTATCCAAGACAAGAAGACTAATAAGAAGTGTTTGAATGTCTTGCTCTTGTCTTGGAGGAAGTAGATAGATACTTTAACACAGCGACAATTTTAGTGGACGAATTGAGTATCATAGACATATAAATCTCCGAGGTCAATTGATGGAGGGGAGCTCCAAACAGCTCAATAGTTCTTGGCTCTTTTGATTGGTCACTCACGATTTCCAGGGGATTCTGTAAGAGGTCATGAGCTGTTAAAGGACCTCATGGAGATATGTACAGCGCAAGGCGGGACGGGTTAATATCAAAGCCGAGAATGAGCGAGCGAGCCCACGTAGACGTAGGTTGGAGATTGGAGGAGCCTCCCCGCCAAAAATCCAATCCTCAGGACCTGACCTCTACTGTATCCACATCCGCTACTGAACTTTTCCTGGTTCAGTCCAGTCTGTGTGCGCGCCCCTCAACAACTGTTCTGTTCTTTTACCTTAGCCTTTTGCTTTGCCCCTCCGACACCGACATCCAATCCCCGGCATCCTTCACCTCCAAAAAACCGGCGACCTACCATTTTTCTATCTCTGCCCTTCAGAGATATCCTCCCAAAAAGACGTCGAGCCGAATAAAGGAAAAGAACAGAATCACATCTCGCCCATCATGCAGGCTCCGGTGGTGGTTATGAGTAAGTATTTCTTGAAATATAAAACCCCCACTCTGGAGGGCGAACCCCTGGGCCCTCTGCCTAAAGAGAGAGGGGAGCTCCCAAAAAAACGAAACATTTGAGGCTGACCGAGATGTTGCGTTGCAGACACCAACAGCGGTGAGAGACAAACTGGCCGAAAGGCTCAGCTCTCAAACATTGCCGCTGCCAAAACGTATGCCATTGTCCCTATCCTCCTCGAGTCGCGTGCCCGACCCTAACCACCGATCCCAGTGTTGCCGATATTATTCGATCATGCCTTGGCCCCAAGGCTATGTTAAAGATGCTGCTCGACCCCATGGGCGGTATCGTCCTTACAAACGATGGTCACGCTATCCTTCGAGAAATCGAGGTCTCCCACCCTGCCGCGAAGAGCATGATTGAGCTCAGCCGGACGCAAGACGAGGAAGTTGGCGATGGAACCACAACTGTCATTATTCTGGGTAAGACGAAATGGCTATATTACAACGTCTAACTGGACATGTCACTGACGTTCAAATAGCCGGTGAGATTCTTGCACAGGCTCTTCCCCAGCTCGACCGTAACATCCACCCCGTCGTTATCATTTCCGCCTTCAAGCGAGCTCTCAAGGATGCTCTCGAGATCATCGAGGAGATCTCCCTGCCAATCGATGTCAACGACGACAAGGCCATGTACCAGCTCATTTCTTCATCAATCGGCACCAAGTTTGTTTCGCGATGGATGGACCAGATGTGTGACCTTGCCCTCAAGGCTGTCCGCACCGTGACGTGGGAGGCTGGCAACGGCAAGACTGAGGTCGACATCAAGCGATATGCTCGTGTGGAGAAGGTTCCCGGTGGCGAGATTGAGGACAGCAGAGTTCTTGATGGTCTTATGCTCAACAAGGATATCACACATCCCAAGATGCGCCGGCGCATTGAGAACCCCCGAATCGTCCTTCTCGATTGCCCTCTGGAGTACAAGAAGGGAGAGTCCCAAACTAACATTGAGATTACCAAGGAGGACGACTGGAACCGAATTCTGCAGATCGAGGAGGAGCAAGTCAAGGCTCTGTGCGATGCCATTGTCGCCGTCAAGCCTGACCTTGTTATTACCGAGAAGGGAGTGTCTGGTACGTTTTTGATGCTTCACAGTGTCTCCGCGATAGCTTACTAATTGCCTTACAGATCTTGCCCAGCACTACTTCATGAAGGCCAACATCACAGCTCTCCGCCGAGTCCGAAAGACCGACAACAACAGAATAGCCCGAGCCACCGGTGCCACTATTGTCAACCGAGTAGAGGACCTCCAGGACTCCGATGTCGGCACCCGATGCGGTCTCTTCGAGATTGAGAAGATTGGCGACGAGTACTTCACATTCCTTACCAAGTGCCAGGACCCCAAGGCCTGCACAGTCCTCCTCCGTGGTCCCTCCAAGGATGTCCTCAACGAAATTGAGCGAAACCTCCAGGATGCCATGGGTGTTGCCCGAAACGTCATGTTCTCCCCCAAGCTATCACCAGGTGGTGGTGCTACCGAGATGGCCGTTTCCGTGAGATTGAATCAGCTCGCTAAGAGCATTGAGGGTGTTCAGCAGTGGCCTTACAAGGCTGTGGCTGAAGCTCTCGAGGTTATCCCCAGAACCCTCGTCCAGAACGCCGGCAAGAGCCCCGTCCGTGTGTTGACGGATCTCCGTGCCAAGCAGGCTGAGGGTAAGACCACTTACGGTGTCAACGGTGACACTGGTGCCGTTGCTGATATGAAGGAGTACGGAGTTTGGGAGCCCCAGGCTATCAAGCTCCAGAGCATCAAGACCGCCATTGAGGTAAGTTTCTGACGTCATTCTGTCTAAATGTATGAACAAAGCACTAACAATTTCACTAGGCTGCTTGTCTGTTGCTCCGAGTTGACGATATCTGCAGTGCCAAGAAGGCGGCGCAGATTGGTGGTGGCGGCGGTGGTGAAGAGTAAACAAAGATATGATGTACATGGTGGATGATGTCGATGTGATATAACACGGAAGTGATAGTGGGAATAAAGACCGGAGGCAGGCGTGCGATCCGGACTGTTTTATATGAATGTCTGTTTGGAAGGACTGGTCATACCCCCTCTGTGCTAGCCAAAAGAGCAAAATAGACAAACAAAAGACAACAAAGACGAACGCCAGGGCTGAGTATGATAAAGCCTGGGTGATTCAAGATGAAAGAAATGGGTATCATATAAATTACCTGGCTAATAATGTTGCCGTTTCTACATGCAAGGCTCTTGTTGAGCGTTCCTCCTCTGGTGATCTGGGCCTCAAGTCATAGTGTCTCCCTCTCTACTGTGACTCTGTGTCCTTATGTACATCCTCCTTTTAATTACTTGACTGGTACTAGTGACCTTTTGAATTAATCGTCTTCGTCGTGGATGACAAGGCCCGCGGGTTGCGCAGATGGTGTAGATTCCGAATCCTTGCCAGCCTGGGTCTTAGAATCAACATCAGCAGAATCAGTCTTAGCATCTTTGTCCGCGGATGGGGAGTCGCCTTTGGACAGTGCTGTGTTAGGCTTCTTGTCAGTCGCACCAGCAGGACCATTTCCCTTTTTCGCCTTGCGAGCCTTCATCTTCTCCCTCTTCTCACGGTTCTTGCGCGTGCGCTCCTCATCCTTGCGATCGCGCTCACTCTTATCCTTGGTAAACTCCTCGATGTCCTTCTCGCGACGCAGATCCTCGTCCATGCTGCGCAGACGCTCGTACTCGCGCCGACGACTGGCCTTGTAGACGTGGAACTCGCCCGAGCCGGCACCGGCGCTGGAGCCCTGGACGTTGGTGACGATTTCCGGAGGTGCGGAGCGCAGGGCGGCAGAAGTGTTGCCGGCGGAGCTGTCGGGGATGCGGATGTTCTGGTCGGGCTTTGCGAAGAGGGCATCTACTGAGGCGGCTTGCGCTGAGAGGGGCGTGAGAGCGCGCTTCTTTGTTGGACGGTGGGAGCGGGGGTCGGCCGAAGTTGGCACGGATTCGGGGCCGGGAGCAGACATTTTTTGTCGGGTCTGTGTAAATGACGAGATTGAGAAAATGGGCTGATGGGAACGCGTGAGAATGAGACGTCGGCGCGCGGGATGGGAACAAGGGCCAAGGATTGTCTAGAGAGTGATCGTTGAGATTTGTTGGGGCGGTCAGATGGATGCGGATGCGATGCGTGGTTGGTTTGACACGTGAAGGAATTCGATATCCGGCAGATTTAGTTTTGGTAGGGAAGGATAAAAAGATGGTGGATGGTTGTTCAAGGTACGAGATTGATCTGATGAGAGTGGCGTGCAGAGTGCAGGGTTGTCAAGGATTAGGCTAAGCAGAGGAGTCTAGAGACCCGTAAGAAAAAAGAAGTTTATTTTTGCAACTAGAACGACTATGGAATACGATATGCAATACCGTTATACATTTTTGTAACTTTATCATAGCAAATTACTACTGGCAATTAGATGAGAACAAACAGAGCTTAGGAGTTAGAGAATGAAGATAATTCATGGACCTTTTGTTCAACACATGCATATCATTACTGTAGGGAACCTTTTACTCCCCCAAGGTGTCCCTCCCAATCACTAGGGTGTAGCATCATTGGCTAAGCGCGCGGCAGTCAAGTCCCATCAAGCTTTCAGTCATGCACATCAACAAAAGCACTGTGACTATAAGCCGCGTCACCTAGACGCAATAGTGAATATGCCTGATGAACATGTGATCCATTTTGTGTCAAACAGGCAATTGAATCATCTGTTGGCTGTTGAGCAACATAGATCATCACTGCAAGTATGATGAGAAATGGAAAATGCTAGACGAAGCTGAAAAAAGAGTCTCAGTCGTTTATGAATTTAGCCAAAGCGTGTGAGTCGCAATCGGCGGCTGTTGGCGCTTCCCGTTGCAGATCATATCACCTCGCCGTAGAGATACACTGTCTGTGTCATTGTCAAGTGATCAGATTGAATCGGGAACAATCTATAGATCAATGATAGGAAACAAGGGTAATTAACCGTGGATTATAAATAAAAAACACCACGAGATATATCGTGAGCATCAAGACGGGAGGCCCGATAATAAACAAGACGAAAAACAAGAACAGGTTAAAATGGATGCATGAGGATTGCGAATGGGATGAATTGGCATGTCCTGATATGGTCTGCTCGAAACGGCGGGAATTACTGCATCTGGATCAGCAGATCTCCAGGATTGGTCGAACAAACAGACATGCCCCTCTCAGATTGCCAGATTCTCAACATCTGGGTGACAGTAAGACAAGGGGATGATGAGTCCAGGTTCAGGTCCAAGCAGGGGACGGGAACAGCGATGTAGAAATCATATGATGTCCTAGATAAGGGACCAGGGGACTGACCAAACCAACGGATATTCTCCGCCGTTTGCAAACACCGAATCGTATCAGTATCAGTCTTTCGGACTTGGACCGCCAGATGGTCTTTGTCTCTCTCAACTATCGACGGATACTTAGATCGTTTGAAGGACCGCTAATCATGATTTAGCAAAACCGTTTGCGGGACCAGATCGTGCCATCTAGTTACTGTACAGGGATTCAGAGAGAGACTAGCTCATGCTTCCAAGAATCTTGATGGGCTGTTTTCTGTGACTCTTTCTGAGTACTGTAGTAAAAAGGTCAATTGCTATTGGACAATCAACGTGTGCTTGGTTGGTTCACTATCGACGACTGAGAAGCTGTTTTTCTACTTTGCTCGACAGATGGCGGGGCGGCTCCGGCCCCCAAGAAGGAGGGGTACCTGCTTGAGAGGTACAGAGGTAGAGAACCCTGAGTGACGACAAGTATCTCGACTGGTTGTTTGGTGTCGCTTTGTGCGGGTGTCGAGTAAAAGATACTTAGCCCTGGAGAGGTAGTGGATGGGTGGGGATATCGAATATCCCGGCATTTTTGGGTGTTGGCCAGGGCGTTTTAATTCGGAAACATGGCTGATGGTTGCACCTGCACTTGCCCTCCCTCACCCCCGGACAGGTAACCGTCCTAGACCTAGACTTGTCTCGTGAGCCAACGAGGGGCAATGATTACCATTACCTTACCATACCCAAAGCAAGCCTCACTCATAGAACCTGCATCTAGAATTTGATGTCAGTAAAGTCAAAAAGACGTTGCATGCTCCCTCTTTTTTTATGATAAACTTCTGCCTTCCTACTCATTATTCCATCCTGTTCTCTTCCCCTCATACATAATTGGTGACTCTTACCTCCATATCTCTACCAACTGGCTTACCAATTGCAAGCCTACCTGACCTTAGGTATCCGTACCTAAATCTACTCCGCTATATTCTATCCCGTCCTATCTCGGACCTTCACCCGTTAAACCGACACAACTTTGAAACCTGCACTTGACATCCTTAACAACCAACTTCTTTCACGACTCTCCCGAATATTTATGACCGTCCAAGACCTCAACTTGGATATCCAACACAACTAGCAACCTACAAATACCTTTTGACATCACATCTGAAACATCATGACCAAACCACGGTTGATCATCTTGGTTCGCCACGGTCAATCCGAAGGCAACAGTACGTTACTTCCAGCTCCAATTACTCTTCCTTCTCTCCACCAAACATCCATACTTACAATCATCTAGAGAACCGCGAAATCCATCAGACCGTCCCCGACCACAGAGTCAAACTTACACCAGAAGGCTGGAACCAAGCTCACGATGCCGGACGCCGACTCCGAAGCCTTCTCCGACCTGACGATACCCTCCAGTTCTTCACCTCGCCATACCGTCGAACACGAGAGACCACAGAAGGAATCTTGGAGACCCTAACCTCTGACGACACCTCTCCGTCACCCTTCCGCCGAAATAACATCAAGGTGTACGAAGAGCCCCGACTACGTGAGCAGGACTTTGGCAATTTCCAGCCATGCAGTGCCGAGATGGAACGCATGTGGCAGGAGAGAGCCGACTACGGCCACTTCTTCTACCGTATTCCTAATGGCGAGAGTGCTGCCGACGCTTATGACCGTGTTAGCGGTTTCAATGAAAGCTTGTGGCGTCAATTCGGTGAAGACGATTTCCCTAGTGTTTGCGTTCTAGGTACGTTTTTGTATATTGCTTAGCTTCCCAATCTCGCTAACAGTAACCAGTCACTCACGGTCTTATGTCTCGTGTCTTCCTCATGAAATGGTATCACTTTACTGTTGAATATTTTGAAGACCTCCGTAACATCAACCACTGCGAGTTTCTCATCATGCGCAAACAGGAAAACCAAAAGTACCTTCTCGAGAACAAATTACGAACTTGGTCCGACTTACGACGAGAGCGAAAGGACAAGAAAGACAAAGATGACGATAAGGATTGCTCAAAGCTGCCACGTACTAAGACTTTTGTGGTGACACGTCGATGGGGTGGATGTCCTAATGGCTGTGACCATGGCCGTGGCTATGCCAAGCGTGAGGATCTAGAGGTTATGCGCAAGAAGGATCATGAGAATGGTGGTCCAGAACCTTATGGCGAATCCTCCTGCGCCGAGGAGATCATCACAACGATCGTCAGTCGGAAGCAAAAGACTCGAAGCGACCGCGTCGAAAGCAAGGGTGAGAGTGACACCCCTGTTATCCCCGATGATGATGATGATGATGGTCCGGTTGAAATCGACATCTCCTCAAACCATGAAGGAAAATCTGTTTCTGACATCAACGACACTCCTTCAGTCATCTCTTCCAGCGAATACATCCAGTCTCCTTACCTGCACATTGGCCGCGATGGGGGCGGTAGCTACTCGGGCCACACCTCCGCTGCCGAAACCGACAACGACTCGTCAGAGGATGAGAACATCAGCTTACACCGAATCGCCTCTCTAAATGCTCACCAAAACAAGAAGACGGACGATCAAAACGACAAGCCCACACGCGACCATCAGAAGCCTCTCCTCAAAGCCGGCCCTGAGCATTTAACCTATACGAGTGATAAGGACTGCACGGAAGATTATCCTCGAATCAGCCGCCTTGGCGATACCTCTACTGATGCTTCTTGTGACGGCGACGCTGATCATCTTGACGATTTGGACCACGCCGAAAAGGAAGATCGCAGCATCCGTGGCAGTGTGTACTGATTAAAATCTCACTCACACTCACTCACTCACCCTTATGACTTGGATTTCATGGAAAAACAGCGGATACCAGCCCGCCGCGCGGGGCAAAAATTGTTTTGATGATATTCATAACTTTTACTCTTAATGATTGACATATGAACGGATTACGGAAAAGCAATGGATAGAATGACTCGACTATGCTGGCATGGTTTTCTTTTTTTGTATTGCATGTTTTGGAGGGTTGATAGCGTGTATTGTGGTATTACATAATAACATATTGATCTCCTTCATTGATCTTGAACTGTTGTGACATGTGGTTGAGGCTCAAGACGTTGTGCGTGTGTTACTAATGCTGTGAAAGGCACCGACGTTGAGGGAGTGAATATGCTGTGCTTGTAGTTGTGAATCGTGGATTCAGCCTGACTGTTGTGCAATGCGCGCCATATAACTACTTTGGTAAATGGTACCTACTGTTGTTCACACCCTGAGTGGTCAACTTATGGATGCTACCATGACGTCTGCAAACATGGACTCGATTGTCAAGAGTGCGAAGTCACCGTTTGACGTGAACCTGAATACAACTATAGCTTCTATTCACCCCCCATCACTCTATCCATACTGCAACACAGTTAATCTATTAAATAAGCTTAACTTGGTTCAGTACCTAGGTCGTAGAATATGGAGACTCGAGGATATCATCCCATGCTTTGTTACTCGTTACACTATATATTCCTAGCATATACTTTACTAAGCGGCCCTAACGGAATCCCATCTTGGCATTAAATCGGAGCAAAATTCTGCTTTCTGTATAATGACCCGGCTTTGATGGAGATTTTTATCAGCCAAGATCTTATCTGATGGCGCTAGCGTGAAGTATCGCAGGGTCAGGGTCCTAAAATCAACAAGTAAATACTACCTCTGCAAGAGCCAGCATGACGTAGAATTCGATGTACGTAGTTCAATCTCTACTAGAGTCTTCCATAGATGGTTGTGCTAGGTCGAGGATTTAGAGAGAGCAAAGAATCTCGAGTGAGGTTGTGATGGTTATTGGGCTTGGTATATCTCATACTACCAAGTTCATGCCTCATCTTCACTGACTAAGTAATTCAAGAGCGAAAGAGCAACTACACATTCTAGGTCATTCATGAGGCATTTATTTTCGAATATTCTGTGGACTTGGTTGGACCTCAATGCCTGTCGATCACCATCTTTCAACACCCAGAACAAGCTTAAACCTTTACCCACAGTCCATCCACTACATGTGGAGATTTTTATCAATCTCATCTAATCTCTTACACCGTCCTCCATCACTACAACGATAAAAGGGCTCCGGTAGGTCCCCAATTCGATGCTTCATCTTCATCTCTATCTTCGCTAACATGAAGCTCACTACAGTCGTCGGTTCAGCTTTTCTGGGCTTTGCTTCAGCTCGAAACAGCACATACGATTACATCGTAGCTGGTGCTGGAGCTTCAGGTCTTGTCGTCGCTGAGAGACTCGCTGTTGCGGGACACAAGGTTCTTCTTGTTGAACGAGGTGGTCCGTCGTTCTACTCGACTGGCAACCGAGATGACTTGATGAAATGGAACAAGAGTGTTACGGCATACGATGTTCCCGGCATGGCTTACTACACTGATACTTCGCCGACTATTCAGTGGTGTACTGACATTGCAGCTTCTGCTGGTTGTTTGCTTGGTGGTTCTACTATGTTGAACGCTCTCATGTTTGTCAAGCCTCGAGCTGCTGACTTTGAGGCTTGGCCTAAGGGGTGGCGGTGGGAGGATGGTGTTTCTGAGGCTGCCAAGAGTGTTTTCGAGCGTATGCCTGGAAGTATTCTTCCTTCTGCTGATGGAAAGCGTTATGATGATGGTGCTTTTGAGGCCATGTCAAAGTTCCTTGAGAGTAATGGTTGGAATGAAGTTAATGCTCTTGACGACGTTGAGTCGAAAGACAAGGTCTTCACTCATCCTCCTTGGCTGGTAAGTTTCATCCGTACTTGAGCTTGTCCAGAGCTAATATCACTTAGATCAGCAATGGCCTCCGTGGTGGTCCCGTTCGAGATATCCTTCCTGACGCACAGGCTCTCGATAACTTCAACCTCCAGCTTCATGCAAAGGTCCTTCGTGTCGTCCGCAAGGGACCTATCGTTACTGGCGTCGAAGTCGAGAATGATAACGGTTCTCGTGAGATCATCAAGCTGAGCAAGGGTGGTTCCGTCATTCTCTCTTCTGGCACGCACTCTACACCACGCATTCTGTTCAACTCAGCCATCGGACCCAAGGACCAAATTCGCATTGTTGAATCTGGTTCTACCAAGATTGAACTGCCTCCTACCTCTCAATGGATCGATCTTCCCGTTGGTCAGCGTCTGAGAGACCACCCCATCGTTGTCATGGATTTCAAGACCAAGGAGAAGCTCCCAGCTCTTGCTGGCGCTGCATTCACCGACCCTGACGATGAGACAGTTGAGCTATTCGCTGAAGGAAGTGGCCTCCTTTCTCAATCTGGACAGCGTCTTAACTTCTGGAAGAGTGTTAAGGGTAAGGATGGTGTTACTCGTTACGTCCAAGGCACAGTCAACGCTCCCGAGAACAACACTATTTCAGCCAAGATCTACCTCACACACGGTCTTACGTCTCACGGCACTCTGGTGATCACTCCTGATGGCAAGACCAACATCACTCAAAAGCCTTTTCTCAACACGGAGGGCGATAAAGATGCTCTCAAGACCTTTATCAATGAACTCCTGTCCTACGCAAGCAAGCCCGATAGCAACCTAGTCGTGCCGAGCAACGCCACTGCAGACTCCATCATGGAAGTCTCCTACAGCGGTAACCATCACCTTGGTTCAGCAAACATGGGAGCACAGGACGATGGTAAGAGCGTTGTTGGACCTGATACTCGAGTCTGGGGAACGAAGAATCTGTTTGTTGTTGATGGAAGCATGCATCCTGAGGTTCCGACAGGAAATACGCAGGCTTCCATTATGGTTGCTGCTGCGCATGCCGCCAACAAAATCCTGGCTGCGACAACCAAAGGAAACTAGACAAGTATTCCTCTTGTACTTTTATAACAAAGTGTAAATAGTTGAAGGTACATTAAAGAAGCCCGACCACTGAGGAAACAGTGACGAAGGTCTTCTATCAGTCTATTGCGACAGCTCATCTGTTGCTAGAAATCCAAATAATACCTATAGATAAAGTGCCCAGGTATCGTTATAGAAATGAAAAAGGAAAGTGTTCGTGAAAATGTATCCGACCATTGAATGATTGCCAATGGCCTCGTACTTGTTGATCATGACTCGTAAAATCCACACCGATGGTTTATTTCAATTCCATCCCGCCAAACGCTCTATCCAACTCCGCACCTTGATCCTCAGTCGCATTTCCACTCTGAGCATCCTGACCGCTCGGAGTCTCAGGCACGTTCCCAACACCCTGCTGCTGCACCGGCGTACTCCTCTCAGGCTCAAGAATATGCATCTCACTATCAAGCCAACCCGGTGCAACTCTTCTCTTCTCAGCTAGTTCGCGCTCCTTAATCCTCTCATCAAACTCTTTCAGTTCACGCTCCGCATCTTCCTGCATCTTGGTCACGTAAGCAGATAGTGCGCGACACGAAGCGATGATGTCGTCTGGATGCGCTGCGTGGCCTGAGCCTGATACCACGTATTTGGGCTTGACTTGGCCTGCGGGGTTGTCTGAAGCGGCTTCGATGCCGAGTTGTGAAGGGGGAATGTTGGAGGGCATTGTCTTGTAGTTGTATGATAGTGTTGTTGCTGTTGGGAGAGACACAAATGGTGATACTGTGAGGGGAACTTGTTCCAACAGGGGGTGAGTTCCTGCGTTGCTATGTTAGCCAGATTCAGTATGAGTGGCATTGATGAGGCATACGCTTGTTATCGTGCATGATTGCAGTGTGTCTGTTTCTGAGGGTATCCTTGGTGTTTTCTCACAGTCGAAGTATCTCAATTAGAAGGGTACGTTCTGAATGAAATTCAGTGAGAGTTCTTGTGGTTGGATGAATGCAAAAGTCGGTATCGATGAAATGGTTGTAAGTGGAAGTCCCAACTTGACGTGCGACGCGCGACCTACACATGAGCCTACTATCAGAAGGAACCAATCAGAAGGTTATAATAGAGAAAGAAATGCGGCTGAAAGTCAATGGTAGAACGTCGCTGGTGATAGTCTCAATAATTCTGTCATCCTTCCACCGATAAGATCCTTATCGATAAGCACCATCCGATAAAGCTCTCCCACCTTCACCTTCATAGTGGACATTTTCTTCGGCTGCCTGGTGAACCCCTCCAAACAAACCTCAAGCTCTTATACGATAATACTTCACAATGCTTCCCACGACAATTCGCACACCGCCTCAGACCGGCGATTATACGCCTCTTGCGGAATATCAAACTACAACACCAGAGACGTTCATCGGTGGAACACCCGTTCTTCACTACCATCTCCAAGGCGCAAAGGCATGGATTCCCAAGTCGCAATGCGGTACCCTAGCTCTATTCCCCGCGGATACGAGTGAAAAGCCCAGTGGCCCCGAAGGCGAAAGCGTTAATGGCGACGCAGAGGAGCTTGTGGAACAGACTATAGATGTTTTTGTCAACTCTGAGTAAGTTCATCATCTTCGGTATGACTTCATAGTTAACATCATCAGGGCCTTGACTGTATTCAGCAGCAAAGTTGGAGCTGGTGTCTCAATTCCTTACCCCTCGATATCCATTCACGCCATCAAGCAAATTGGCCCCGAATCAGATGCTCAGCGCACCCAGGCTGTGTGGATGCAACTCGAGTTCTCCGACGGCGGCGCTGAGGACGACGACTTTAACACTGTGGACCTCACCATCATCCCTCCCAAATCCGACTCTGAGCCCAGCGCTGCTAAGCAACTGTACGAGGCCATGGCTACTTGCTCCGATCTTCACCCTGATCCCAACGACGGCGAGGATGATGAGGACGAATACGACCGTATTGTTTTCGAGGGTAGTGAGGAGCACCAAGCTATTGAGGGCTTCACGGGTGTTATGCACGGTGCCAGCGATGGTGGTCTACCGCCTCCCATGCCTGGCAGCGGCGGTTGGATTACGGCTGATAACGTGCATGAGTTCTTTGATGAGGATGGAAACTTCATCGGTGGTCAGGGTGCCGAGGAAGAAGAGGAGTTGGGTGAGGGCGCTGGAAGAGTTAGAGATCGTGATGAGGCTGAGGGAACTGGCTCAACTGAGAACCAAGCGGCCGATGACCCTGAGAACAAGCGAGCGCGCGTGGAGTAATAGAAGACATATCTCTCAAGAGTACATGGCAGGGCGTTTAGGCATAAAGGACAAGAAAATGAATTACGAGTTACCCCAAATCAATCAGCTGGAGAAACAACCACTATGATGATCACGATCTCTTCTATTAAGATTACGTCCGAAGGGTATATATCCAACGAGTTTCTAACTAAGCTATCTAAGTATCGGTCCACCTTTCCAGCCCCGTTCCCTATTCCCTAATACGAAGTTTTGAAGATAAGTACATACATTAAGCTTGCTGATGTTACAAAGAAAACCAAAAGAAATAATAAGTCACCGTCTACATGCGCAATCGCCCCTTTCCTGATGCATCAGGCGAGCTGTTAAGAAATCCTTCTTTGTCGTACAATCCCACCGACTCAACAGTCTTGCGCTTACTCTCAGCAACAAGTTCGCTCACAGTTCCAAGCTTGGATTTGGCGCTTGATGTTCGGCTCAAATCCCGGGTATCTCTTCCGTTCTTGCGCGTCTCTCGCATGGGCATCGGTTCATGGTTCTCCTTGCCCTCGTCGATATCATCTTCGTGGATCTCCACGTTCAGGCTAGAACGACCACTGCGACTGGTTGGAAGAGGACGGTTTGGCATAGGTGGCACGACTGAGCCGGAGGCGTTCTTGTTGGGACTTCCAAGGTTGAGATAGTTCTGACGACCTGAGGTGCTTCCCCTGGGAGTAGAAGGATTCATACTCCTTCGTGAAAAGCTGCTTGTCAAGTTCAACATGGGTAGTGTTGGCGAATCAGGGTCGACGGTAGATGATCCCAAAGAGTTGGCGCTGTATGAACTAACAATGCTGTTCATCCTTCTAAGTTCCATGATAGAGTTACCGAGCGATCCCATACTTGGTACAGCTGGCGGGGGAGGAAGAGTTGGCATGTCCTTCTTAGATCGTGAGTTTGCACGACGAAGTGGTGATCCTGTTGACATGGCACCAGGATCATCCACGGGTACTTCATCGCGGTATATAGAATTCGCTGTTGAAGACATCTGTCGCAAATGCTGTGAGAACTCTCGTCTAGGCATTGGAGAAACTGGCTTGGGCATATCTATATGATCGACCTGTGCGATATGCTTCGGCGGCTCAGGCAGTGCTCTTTTCGGGTTTGTACCCAGCAGCAATGATAGCATATCTTGCTCGTCAAAAGGCGAAGAGTTCAGGCTCGGCACTGTTGCAATACTATGTCTGTTCTCCTGCAACGCCGGTCTCATTCGCTCAGGAACTTCAGGCTTGGGGCTTTCGTCGATTGTATTCCCTAAAGATAAAGTGCTGTCGCCTTCGGTTGTCACAGAAGGTGTCAGGACACTGGTGTATGAGTTGCTGATAGGGAATGCGAGTGCAATGCCATCTTGGTCGCGAGCTTGAAGACTATCGTTGCGTTGGAATCGCTCTGGAGGGGGTGCCAGGTGTGTAGAGATCGGAGGTCCGCCAACAGCTTGTGTGCTCACAAGGGAGGGTCGAAATTGGCCTTGTCCATGTCCGTTTCCATGGGTGTTGAAAATGGATTGTCCGCCTGGGATCGATATACTCAGATTCCTACCCCTTCTATGGTTCGCCCGTGCTCCGAATAGTGATCCTCTACTATCCGAGCTGAGCCCTGCGGAAGTTCTTCTCTCGATGAACGGGTCAGGTTGATCCTTCTCTTCAGTGGATTCGTTGGCGCTGTACAATGTAGATAGTGAACTTGACGCTTCACTTTCTTGCGACACTCGACGATCAGGACTATCCTCCTTGACAGTTTGTTTTGGAGGTTCTGGCTTAGGGGGAAGTTCATCCTCTTGAGGCTCCCACTGTCTTCCTCTCAAGCGACTCGGACTCGAGAGTCCTCCTGGTAGAATGAGTTCTTGCGCTGCCTCGGCTAACAAGCTATTCGCAGCACTACCAATAGAACTAACAGAAACTTGTCGACTCTGCGCATCCATGGGTACTGTGTGAATAGTTGCTCTTTTACTCGGACTTGGCGGCACTCGCATGATGCGTACTGTTCCAGTTGTGTTGGTCGAGTCAAGAGATGAAGTGGTTCTGTGGCTATGAGGAGTCTTTGTAGGCGAGTTCTTGCGCGGTGTGCTTCTCAGCGAAGATATCTTGGTAGGCGAACGTTTTGTAGGTGAGCTACGAGAGTTCTTGCTAGGTGATCTGCTGGTTCCCTCTCGAAGTCTTTGTTCTGTGTTTCGAAGAATGTCTCGAAGGTCGGTATCTGTCACTGAAGCTCTTACACGAGCTCTTGATGGAACTCGCACAGGGCTGACTTGTATATGTTCCTCGTGGAGGGGCATATCTGGTGCAGTCTTGCTTCGTTCCAGAGTCTCAATACTGTGTCGCTTCTGCACGTGGGGACCTTGTTCCATCTCCTGTGCTTCCTGTGCCTTTTCGAGATCTTCGTCCGTCATAAGAGTTGGAATTGTAGGTGCTCTTCCTAGCCACCCATCTCTGCTAAAGAGACTATCCCGTCGACTTCTGTTAACTCTCGGCCCATGGAATCTGTCTTCCTCGATCCAACTACTCGATCGACCTCGTTTGTTGTTTCCGCCGAAGAAGGTGAAGCTGTTATATGTCGGAAGAGGTGGTAGTACTGGAGGCAGCGAGAGGGATAGCCGACTCAGAGATCTGGAACTGTTGTATTTCCGCTTGACGAGTCGCTTACTGAAGACGGAACGTCGATGATCTTCAATATTCTCCGATACTTGATAAATCGTAGTCGCATCAGATTGATCTCTCGTCTTGACCTTCCAAGTAAGAAGAAATCCGATGGCAGCAAAAAGGAGAATAGCACCACCGATAGAAAAGGCGAGGATCCAACCTAGACCAAGACCACCAGCACCACGCACTTCTCTGCGTAGAAGAGTTGAAAAGCTCATGATTGTTTACACTGCCGTAGCTGAATATCAAAATATCTTCAGCTATCAGCAGTGTTCTGTAAGTTTCAAGAATAAAAAAGATTCAGTTCAACTCGGTTCACGAGGCTTGAAGAGGACAGACAACATGAGATATGGCGGACACCAAATGAAGGAGAAACCCTTCATTCGGAATACGCCCACTTTCATCTTAATTAATGAGTTCATTCTCTATAATTGTGCTGAGGTTATTTCAAGAGTCTCAGTTCAATGTCATGAGGAATGTGTTGCCAGGTGTGACCCATTCCAGCCTCAGCAAACCACAAGACCAGCTTCACGGTTTTAATACATCAGCTTCAGTGATTTGACGACGGAAGGTACGACCAACTTACAATGACTTAATAAATCTCCATTTAGTCGGCTTTTTCAAACATAGATAGACATGAAAATTGCCTACTTAAAGATTAGTTTCAAGTTGAGGGGCATATGGATCACAACATTTATAAGTGAGACTATGGGAAATACGCAATCACTAGGGAGACTTCTTGTCCAATACGAGGCAGGTCGTTTGGTGATCATTCATCATTCCTTTATTTGTATCAGGTAGTTTCTCCTTAAGCTCACATGTTCCCAAAGTCTTGGGCAATCATCGCTCTCCTACGAAGTAAAAACCATTGAACCCAAATGCTCCTCACCAAACCATGCATAACATAGAAACACTTGGAACCAGCCAGAGAATAAGAAGAAAATAGTAGTTTTTTTTTTTGTGCTTTATCTTTTACTTTTCGTTAATCTTCTTTCCAGATGATTAGAAATGACGGTGTCCATGGCCATGGAGGTGAGCACCACGTCGTCGGCGCCTTGCTGGGGCAGCCGCAGGAGGAGCTGCTTCCGCTGCTGGGGGAGCGGGAGGAGCTGCCGCTGGTGCTGGTCCAACTGAAGGTGTAGCAATGGCAGTTGATGTAACAGTAACCACGACTACCTCCTCTTGAAGGTCGGTGACGTAAACAACTTCCTCTTCCCAAAGGATCTTGCTAACGAGGTTACCGTTGGTGATGTACTGGGTGCTATAGAAGCTCTTGGTCTCCTCAACAGGCTCGAACTGGGGCGCAGGGGTGGTTGTAGGAGCTTCAATCTCGGCAGATGTGGTTTGCTCGATTGCGACAGCGCCAACATCTGCAACAGCCTCGATAGTAGGTAGAAGAGCGGGCACAGAGGGCTCAGAGATCTTGGAGTAGATAGGAGATGGCTTCTCTGTGTTGACAGAGCTTGGTCCGGCAGCCGGGGCTTCGTAAGCCGACGACACCTTGAAGATTTGACCAGGCAGAGGGGAGGCAGAGTTTGTTGGCCTTTCACCAGGAGCGTAAGTCAGAGTAGGTGCGGGCTTGACGCCAGTGGGGTCAGGCTTCTCGACCTCGTCAGAGTCTCCGTTGCTACCAGGGAGCGCCTTCAAAGGACCCTTGCAGTCTTCGTTTTCCAAAACCTTGGGCATCTTCATCTCGCAGGTCTTGGCCTTCTCTTCACTAACAACGTCAAAGAGAGGGCAGTCTTCAATTCTTCCAGTTTCGCTGGTGCAAGTCTTGATGGCGTCCTGAAGGAACTCCTCCTCCCAGCCCATGATGAAATCAGCATGGTAGCCGTAACCTGCATATTGGGTCAGTATTGCGTCAGTTTAAGATATAGGCTTCGACGTACCAGTAGTGTCGCCGTTGGCAAAGACAAATCGACCGCTTCGATCGGCGAAAGCGGCAGTGTTCCAGATGACCTCATACATAAGACTGGGCAGTCGAACGGGGTAATCCTTGGGGCAGGTACCAGTCATGACAAGATCGGGGAAGGCGACGTGGTCCTTGTGGTTGTCACTGTCGACGGCATCACCGCCCTTCCAGCAAGACGGGAACATGATCTCCAAGCGAATACCATCCTTACAGTTCGCATCGAGATAGGCCTTGTCGGGCATGTAGTGGCGGTAAAGGGTACCTTCGGGGGTCTTGTCGTAGTTGAGACAGTTGAAGCCAAGCGCACGCTCTTCGAGATCGCTTTGCGAAGTTTGGCCCAGAGCTTGCCACGTAGACTTCTCAGGATCAGGCTTGCTGGGATCTCCGAAGGAGTAGGTTCGTCGCTCATTTGTGCCAGACAACATTCTGAAGTCAGGGGGGAAAGCGGTAATGTTGTCTCCGAAAAGCAGGTAGTAACTAGACTTTGTTAGCTTCAATTCAAGCAATGTGATATAGTTAAAATGGGAATACGAACGCGAGCATGCCACCAACTTGATCAACGAGTTCGAATTTTCCGGTCTTGGAATCCTCGAAATACAGCGAGGGATGCCAGTAAGCGGACTTGTCTTGTGTCACTCGGCATGAAGTACAATCAGCATCGAGAAGCTGTTCAGTAGTAACAGTTTCAGCGAATCCTGCACAATTGTTAGTGTTACTCTCACAACGAGTTATCTTGGTGCGACAAGACACATTAGCAGTCTCGCCCCGAGTTAAGACGTACCAGAAGATCCGTGGATTGAGTGAACATGCTTTGAAATTGTACCGGGATCGATGATGGGATCGATACGGGCGAGACCTACACGGCCAGGACACTCCATGCGCCAGAAGGCATGAGCGCTGCCGACAAGGCCCGCGGAAACTGTGATGAGAGATTTGAGCATCATGACGATTTAGCCTGTAGGCTTGAAGTGGCCTTGAGAAGGCTTTAAGTTGAATGAATGGACGATGCGATAAAGCGATCTGTACGATGTTAGAATCCAAAGACCATCAAGATGTTGAAAGAGTGTAGTCAGAATGAGGAGAATTTGAAGTCTCAAGGGAAAATTTCCAAAGGAAGGTGCGAATGATGGTGATTCACAAGCACCAGGCAAGTGCATGTGGTTGAGGCATCAGACGGAAGGAAGGGCTTATACGGGAAGGAAGTCGGTGGAGCTGGCAACGGATACCTGCTGCACTCATATCGGCTGCCAACGCATGAAATTGGACGATGATAGTCTTGGAAATTCATCATTTGAGAGGATATTAAATTGAACAGTCAAGTTTGTTCGTTTCATATACCCAAGTCTCAAATTCAGGTGGTGATGGAGGAGTTCCAGATAAGGTGAGGTAGATATAAGTGAACTAAACATGTACTTACCGTCTTCGTAGGGGACTTTCGATGAAGTCAACGAGATTGTCTGTAAGCCTCGAAACTCCTCTTTTTGACCGAATATTGATCCGAAAAAAAGAAACGAAGGGATCAAGAGGGGAAATATTGAAACCAAAAGCTGCAATGGCTGGGGATACCTTTATTGCTCTTTGTCAGTCGCACACTCTGGCCAGCCCCGCTAAGAATCTGAGACCTCAGGATTCCAACGCGTGGTTTAGATCTTCCAACGTCAAAAGTCACTCACTGCCACGCTTCCGGATTAAGCCACGGGGTCCTTTTAAAGGAAAATAAGGGGACCTTGTAACCAAAAGAATGCTCTGTCCAATGGTGCCACTTCCGGTTTACCGAAAAGCCAACAAACCGTACGATCGGTCGACGTGTCTCAGCGGTAAAGTGGGAGAACGGTTCGAGAAGTTTTCCTGACAGAAATTCAATTTAACTGAACCAGATTTAGGTCTCCGTAGTGACGAGAAATGAGGTCGTTAATTCAAGTGAAAAGCCGGTTTCGATATAACGCGGTTGGCAAGCCTCCGTTGATAGATAGAGTTCCGGAAACCGTTGGTAACGATTTGACGATCAACGGTCGGTAGCGAGATTTCCAGATAACAGCCTTCACAATAGAAAACAGAATGGTAGATTGCAATAATAGAAAGAATGTCGAACGGGCGGGATCGCAAGGAACGTTGTTGGTAGTTCGAGTACCGATAATGAGTGTAAGTACTAGCAAATAGTACAAAGTTGTAGCAGTCGAAAAAGAAAGAGCAGAGAAGAATGAATGTGAAGCAGAGCCAGCCCGAACTTCGAAAAAGAATGGATCAATCAGTTAAAAGGCAACTCGAAAAGGAATGATGATAGACAGAGGAGAAGCAGAAAAGATGGAGAATTGGGAATGATAGCCACTAGTTCTAGTAGATCGCCTGGCTCGTTTGCATTGACAGGCAAAAAAGCAGAGACCAATTCTCGGACTGGCCTATTACCTACTGGGGCAGCTCATCTTGGCAAAGGAAGTCAGGTACGGACCAATTACTCTGAGGGGGGACGTTTTGCTATGTCGCAGCCAAAATTGCATCGGTTCCAAGGGTCAAGCTCCAACCCTCAGGGGTGTTAAAGTGGTAGTACCGAGCCAGGAACCCAGAAATATTCTGGGTCTCATTGGACGATCTGGGAGACTAGTATGTTACGAATACCTTGGCCTTGGTGATGAGGAACGTGTTGGATGCAGGTACCAGGCACATCGTAACTCGTCGTATAAAGATCTCCAGTATGTTCATGGATGGACTGCCTTGCCCCGAGGCTAAGGAACCAAAGGAACCCTCCTTGCCAGGTAAACGACCGAATCAACAACCGTGTACGAGTTGCAAACGGCGCCAGAAGATCTGGGCTTCCATCATTTCTCCTGTCAATCACTTTCGGATGGCCGGCTGTCCAAATTGAGATTGGCATCTACAGATCTTCACTGTTACTTATGAAATTGGTTGACATCCGTTGAGGCGTTGATTGGATTCCTGCGCCTTCCATAGTCGCGCAAAACTCCACCAGCCCAGCTTTGCATAACTTGAAGAGGTCCCCAAATCTCCTTCTCGAGGCATTCCGCTCAGAACACCTGACTAGAAGGCTAGGAACTCCATCACGGTTAGATCGGATTGTTAGAGCCTAGATCGACCCTTTTTAGTATCCGTGCTGAGAGGTTATGACGCATCTCTATGACCTGCCTTTCTTTTCTCTCAGATCTGGTGGCTGGCTGTCTTAAGCAAGGGTCCATCCTTCAGAGACAAAGGGAGAAACAAGGGGCGTTTGTGAAGTACCGCGACGTAGTATTGAATGAAACCTCCTGACTTTTTCTTTGACACGATCTTCAGGAACCGACTGCTCATCCTCATCTTTCTGTTTCCTTCAAGTGTTTCCGGAAAGGTTTCAACTTGATTATCCCCAGACGTTTATTTCTGCGGTGCATAAATTGGTTAATTATTTGAGGTTCAATCCAGGGGCAGCCTTGCAACCAATAGTTGATGGAGCCAAGATGCCTGAAACGGGTTTCACTTCCGCTCTCGACCAATCAAGATAGGCTGGTCCCTCACTGCCACTGAGTCCCCTTATCACACTCAGTGGCGCTGGTGCTTTAGTGGCGGCTATGACCTCGGGTTATGACCTCAGTCTGGGGTTAGCTAAAAAGGACTCACAAGACAAAAGGAGACCCATGTATATATCAAACACTCAAGAACCAAACACAATTTCTCTCCTTTCAAAGCCCAAAGTCTTGGCTTTCTTGGTCGCGTTTCTTCAATTTTCGCATGGAAAATAGGAGATTTCGATCATTGCCGCTGATACCCTGAGAGTTCATACCAGCAAGCACTTCTCCACGCTCCAGCGCAGATCTAACTCTCTCTAATCTCCCTTGCCATGAATTCTGACGCAAGCAATATCGATCTAACATTACGATGACGTTGACAACGTTGTATCGAATTCTTCCCTTTTTCTTCGAGAGTCAGAACTGAGACTTGTCGTTGAGGTTGTATAATATAATGGCCACGTTTCTTCACTACGACCATAAACCACATGCTTGCGACAACAACCAACGGTCCAAACCTGATTTGCGACAAGACCAAAGAGTCTAGAACCATCCTGGACCTTAGTGTTTGCCTCTATGCTAGTTGCTCCTATAATACCCGTAACACTCCAATTTAAAAGTTGGATCATGAGCGCCCTATAGCTGGGACGTTTATACGTTTGAAGAGTCACGCGATTTGTTTCATCGCGAAACATTGCGGAACACAATCAGAGAACCGATAGGGTTGGTGGCAAGTGACTGGTCTCTTTTTCTTAGTGACAGGCTTCGTCTCTGTGATAGAACAAATACATCTGTGTGTCAGTCATGGCGATGGGCACGTTCTCTCGTCCGATATTAAGGTGGAGTAGTAAGGGCGAAAAGCTCTCATAGCACGGATAACACATGGCGGCATGGCTCAGAACAATGACTGTGCTTGAAAGTTAACAGACGCACAGAAGCTCAAAATGTTTGTCTGCCTTGGTTGTTATCAGTTCTGAGCGTGGTTTCATGTCAATTGGTGTAGGGTAAGACCATGACCGCTACGTGTAAGTGGTGGTCTGTTAAGTGTTTGTCAGTAACGAAACCACGATTTAATTTGATACAGGTCTGTGATATATTAGAACAGAGATATACAAATGAGTGATATATTGATTGATAGGCTTGTCTTCTTTTGTGCGTAGTGCTTGTTATCTCGGTATGAGGTGAAAAGTGGTAGGAAATCCAGGGCGAGCGGGGAGCTTGTTCGTCTTCCTTGACGCCTAAACACAGAAGCAAAGTGCTAATAAACTTACTAGACACCCTAGAGATGAGATTTAGTGACACTCAACCCAGTAGCATGTGTGTTTGAGTAGTCTGGGTTCTGTCACAGTACCCAACCTCTATTAGTTTTGCTCCTTGAGTTCTACATCTATTATACGTCACTCTGTTGATGGCTTTTCGAGGAAATAAATCAAGACTTATGGTTAAAGTCCAGACTTAGGAAATAAGATCTAAAATGCAAAGAGTGCCAGTGTCTTTAAAGACAGACATGGCTGAGATGTCCCGTCCTCTTTCCACCCCATGTCTCATTCCTGTTCTTTTATCGAATACCATTACATCGTTGAGTCACTGATGCACTCAATTCCTCACAACCATTGTAAATTCTTGACAATCCCATGACATCAACACAGCATAAACATTTGTTCAAACTTTGGTGTTAACAACTCTATATGCTACAATCATGTGATGGGTGAGCCACAGGAACCCAAACTAGTTACACAGCCACAACCCCACACCCGAATGCGGCCCCTGGATGGGGTCGCAGCTTCCAGTTGCGACAGCACAGAAGACAACTCATAACTCACCTTATCGTACTATGATTGACTATTTTCAATAACATACCAGCTCTCTTCACACGATGGACGACCTTTCAGGCCTCGATTGGTCTGCAAAGCCAACTGGCGGCCAACCGAAGCCGCCAGTAATGAACTCGGCTTTTGCTGCAATGCGACCAACACCATCTCCTTTAGGTTCTGGACGTAACACGCCTCTATCTACACAGGGCTCTGGATCCTTGGCACCCAAGGCAGCTCAGGCACCAGTGAAGCCATCGCAGGACAGTTTCAGCAATTTGATGAATTTTGGACCAGCAAAGGCGAAGCAGAACCTAACTTTGGCTGAGCGACAGGCGCAACTCGAAGCTGAGAAGCGTCAGAAGGAAGAGGAGAGGAGGAAGCAACAGGAGGCTCAATTTGGGAATGGGCAGCACTGGGACACGCTTGGAAGCAGAGGTGCATCAGTCAGTCCTGCATTGCAACCGCCGCCGGTTACCAGTATACCCAAATCGGACGACGACGATCTCTTTGCTGCCTTCAATAAAGACACCAAGGTCGACAATGCGAGCCATTACCCCCCTCCCGAATCGCACCGATCGACACCAGCGAATGCGGCCCCGACCGCGCCGCCGATCAATCTGAGCGACCCGAACGCGTGGAAAACTGGCGGGGCTAGCTTAAATGGAGGTGGATTTCCGGTCGACGACGACGATCCATTCGGGTTGAATCAGATGAAGCCTGCTGCTGCTCCCGCGGCACCTATTCAGCAGGTTGACGATGACGACTTCCTGGGCGATCTTGGACGACCTGTCGATGAAGTGCGACGTAAGCAGGAAGCAAGCCAACCTCAAGCTGAACCTGGAAAGCCTATCGAGGACGACGACTCAAGCTCATCCGATGAATCAGCTCCCCCAGTGCGCGAGCAGTTTGCTGAGCGTAAACCTCGAGTCAACAAGGACCCATTTGATAGAGCGGTAGCTCAGCTTGTGGACTATGGATTCTCTGCCGATGATGCCCGACGTGCTCTGGTCGAGAGCGGCGATGGTTACAATGCTCAAGCTGCAGTCAACTGGCTTCTGGACGAAGCGCACCGAAAATCCAAGGAACAAGCGCAAGGCAAAACCTCGTCAGCTAGCTCTAGCAGACCTGGAAGCCGACCCCCGGGAAGTCGACCTCCAAGAAGTGACAGCAGATCGCCAGCCGCAGGAGACCAAGACCTGGCCAAGACTGCTGCTGCTGTTGGCAACAGCTTGTTCAAGACTGCCAACTCGCTCTGGAAAACAGGACAGAAGAAGATGCAGCAGGCCGTTGCCGACTTCAACCAAGAAGGTGGCGACCCAAACCAACCTAAGTGGATGCGGGAAGCGCAGCAGCAGCAGCAGTCATCTAAGGCACAAGGCAAGGCCCGGGCAGATGCCACAGATGAAGCCATGATGCTTGATGGCGGCCGCCCTCAACCTCGTCGTACTAACAGTCGACCTGCCGAGCAGAGGGAAAGCTCCCAGCCACCCAGAGGACAATCGCCTGCCCATTCTGCTGGTAGCCGCTCAAGTCCTGCTCCTCGATGGCAACAACAGGCACCACCTCCGACATCGGCTTTTGATTCAAAATCACGACTTAACCGGCTGGCTGCAGACGATGATAGTTTCTCGACATACAGGAGTCCTAACAGAAGAAACAAGACACCTTCACAGGCTTCCTCACCAGCACCACCCCCTAAGCAAGCTGAGCCGGAACCAGACCTGCTCTTTAATTCACAGGAATTCAAGCCATCTCAGCCGTCTCAGTCTCTACCCACTAGATCAGCTCAGCCATCTCCTAGACTTACACCACAAGCCAAGCGACCTTCACCTGCCCCAAGACCTGCGCCACGACCAGCTCGTGAGATACCATCTATCAGCCCTGTTGCCCTGCAAAATTCAACACAACACCGACTTCAAGGCACAGCTCACTTCAAGCGAGGTGACTATGCTTCCGCTCACTCATCGTACTCTTCTTCGCTGTCGGCTGTCCCACCTACGCACCCTCTTGCCATTCTACTCCTATGTAACCGTGCCTTGACTGCTCTGAAGACCGGAGAGCCGAAACAGGCTGTTGAGGATGCTGATACAGCACTCAAGCTCATTGGACCTAGCAATGGCTCAGGAGAAACAGTGGCTGTTAAGAATGAGAGCGGTGTAGATGAGAACCGAGACTTGAAAGACCTCTATGGTAAGGCCCTAAGCAGAAAAGCTGAGGCTCTCGAGCAGATGGAGAAGTGGGCCGATGCCAGTGCGGTTTGGCAGCTTTGTGTTGAGAGTGGTGTTGGTGGATCAAATGCCATCAAGGGTCGACAGAGATGTCAAAACACATTGGCACCCAAGCCCAAGCCAACACCTAAGCCAGCAGCTGCTCGACCCAGACCTACGGCTACAGCTAGCCTTGGACCCCAGAAGAGCTCTGAAGCTGTTACACGTCTTCGTGAGGCAAACCAGGCTGCAGCTAAGGAGGATGACGAGAAGTTTGTTCTTTCTGAGAAGGTCGATGCTAAGGTATCAGCATGGCGCGACGGAAAGCGAGACAACCTCCGTGCTCTTATCGCTAGTCTTGATACCGTGTTGTGGGAGAACAGTGGATGGAAGAAGGTCGGCTTGCATGAGCTGGTCATGGCAAACAAGGTCAAGATCAACTACATGAAGGCGATTGCGAAGACCCATCCCGATAAGGTAAGCACTTCTATCGATGTTTTAAGATCCATTCTAACATTTTACAGCTTCCTCAAGACGCAAGTACCGAGGTGAGGTTGATTGCTGGTTTGGTATTTAGTACTCTCAACGAGAGCTGGGACAAATTCAAGGCGGATAACGGGCTATGAGCGATTATGCATGAGATGGAGTTTGTAGAGCGTTCACGATAGAAGCGGGTTCTCGGAGGGATGAGTATATGAACAGTTTTATTTAGGCGGCTAAACCGCTGCCGAACACCATGCTATGCCATAACCATGCCAAAATGATGTGCGCCGATGCTCCTTTGCCACTTTATTCCTATTATTTATAGACCCAGCATTCTCCTAACACCCTCACGGACTTTATTCTCGTATTCGGTGCGTCGTTCGCGCCACATCTTAGCGGCTTCGACATTCGCGGGAGATTCATCGTTGGGCTCGGCAAGCATGCTCATGACAGATATGAGGATCTTTTCAACAGACTGAATAGGTGACCATCGCTCAGAAGCATGTTCGTAGTGGTTAGGATCGTCGCCGGGAGGATGCAGGATCGAAATGCAGACCAGACCGCTAGGGTACACTATCAACAAGTCAAGTCAGTAAGCGCCGTGAGACAAAGAACGGGAGGGACGGACCGTTTGGATGCCACACGTCGGCGAGGAAGCGCATAGATGGCGGGGCAAGAGGATAGTCCTTTGGAAACTTGAGCTCAGCGGGAAAGACACCGCCTTCGAATGGTGTGCCTTCTGGTCCTTGGATAAGACATTCCCAGTGCAGGAGGTCGTCTTCTGTGATGGGGCCTGCGGTGATGCCCTCTGGGGGATTGTTGGTGAGGGCGCGGTACTCTTGGAGGAGACGGCGATGGGCGGTTGATTGCGCCATGTTGTGCGACGAGGATATTAAGAGGAAACGGTATGAAAAGGCGCTTCGGTTTTTATCTAGTGTATTTCGATTTCGCGCAGGTTGGTTTGTATGTGTTATGTCGAGACTCAACGTTTCGGAGAAAGTGGAGGGAAGCTGGAAGGTGACGGAAGTAGGTGGGGACCCCGGGATTCGGACTGCCCCATACGACCTCGGAGGGTTTATACCTTGTTGGGATGTATCATGATAGCGTTACGAATCATAGAGAATGAAACATAGCAGTATCAGTGTTGAATTAAAAGGTTCGATAAAAAGAACAACTTGTAAAAAGTAACTTGCAAATGCTGAACTTTGGAGCATGAAGCCAAGCCAGTGGAGGAAAGGCACGTATAAAGAGAGCAGAGTCGATGACCGCTCTCACTTGACACTCAACATGCTATCTTGCCGATGACTTACAACTTACAGCACTCAGTAACCTGGAGCTAACAGGTACCTACCTAACAATCACCGTCAAAGTATACAAAAAAGCAAAAAGTTATCGCAAAATGCAAAAGATAATGTGCTCCGGTGCGGGGAATCGAACCCCGCTCGCCGCGGAATTTCAGTAATGAAAACGCGGTATGCTAACCGATACACCACACCGGATGTGTTTGTTGAGAACAGTCGCTCTATATGGAATTATATTCTGGGTAACGCGTACGCCAGCACACTTCTCTCGAGTCAATGACCCATCCACTTCCACTCATTCATTACTCTCGTGTAAGTCCTTTCCACCAGCTTAGGTAGATAGAAGCTAGAACTAGGCTGTTGGCTCTCAATGACTGCTGGACTTTCTAATAGCACCAGAAGTAACCACGAGTTATTATTGGAGGATTGTAGTACAGGCTCAAGCACACTATGAGAGTCGAAGTGTTCGAATCATCTTTGAGTGCAGGACAGAACATAATGCTTTGTTCCATTGATGTTGCGTAAAGATAACAAAGACAACAAATTCAACCAAAGAACAGAAATTCTTACCACAATAGGTCTGGTATAGTTGTTCAAGACGACAAGGAAAGCAGGCATGTTACTTCACACAGCACATCATAGAACAGGAACAATGTCATTGCATGCTTAGTTGTTCGATTGCACAGAAACCAACATACCGAACACTTAAAATCAACTCTTCTAGAGATACAACTACATATACCTCGATGCCATCTCCAAACTTGCTAACTCCAATTCCATCAACAATCACACTCTCAAGACAAACCAACAGCTTCCAAACTTACACCACTCACAAACACCACTCAACTCACAAAGACTACTCCAAACCGCAAACATGGGTTCTTTCATCTCTAAACCCCAGGAGCCTGTCGCAGTTCCTACCGCACAGGAACCTGTCCGCGAAAATGGCAAGCCAAAGACTTCAGGTAAGCGGAAGCGCTCAGACGACGACAACGATGAGGAGGAGCTTCGTGGTCATCTTGCCAAGAAGCCACGCCTCAGTCCCGACTTGGAAGCCCATGAGCAACCGGAAAACATTCCTCGCCAATCAGTGGAAAAGAGTGGTAAGCGAAAGCGTTCAGAAGACGATGAGGAGACCGATGCTCCTCCCACCAAGAAGCCAAGCCCTGATCCCATCGAAGTGGACCGTGAAATCAGTCCTGTGTGGTCTGACCTCTATCCCATCTCGTCAACCGAAGAAGACCGCGAAAGCAGTCCTGTGAGATCGCCTCTATTTCCCTACCGAGCAGTTAGCCCTCCTATGCCGGATTTCTTTGGGCTAGAGAATCCTTACGATGATGACTTGTATTATATCCCAGTCTTCGAGGCCGGCCTCGAACACAACGCATACCAGGAAGACGTTGTTGACTGGGGCAATGCTGACGATTTGTATCCCCCAATCATCAGAACCGACCCCGAAAGAAATGCAGCCTGGGAACTTAACTATTATGGCTGGGAAGAAGCCTATGACTTCAACGATGATGAAGATTTGTATTTTCATTTGGATCCCCCCGTCATTGAGAACAACTACGATGGGAACGCAGCCTTGGGACGGGGCGTTGATGGATGGAGAGAAGCCGGCGACGTTGACGAAGCAGGCTCACAACATCCAGATGGGCACTCTCAGAATGAGAATCACAACGACAATGACTCCGACCCTGAATCTGAACCCTCTGAGGGCACCGTTGTCGCCGATCAAGAGGAGCAAGAGATGAAGCAGGCAGCTATCAGGCGCTACGCGGAAGAGGTAAACCTCATTAGATCCCTCAGACCTTTGACCTTTGATAATCCACAGCAGGCTGCCCAGAATGAAGCCAGAATCGAACGTATCCGTACACGTATATTGGCGGAGAAAGAGTGGTATGAGGAACTCGAAGCATGGGGTTTCGAGAATGAGCTCTGTGACATTGTTCTAAAGGCACGCAGATCATCCCGCCACATCGAGAACTCCTATGCAGAGATTGGAGCGGCGTGTAAGAAAGAGAGAATGCGACCCAAGTATGCCTTTCCTCGCATTTGATTGACGGGACATATGGTGAGGTAGGCAGGACATCATAAGAAGGTAAGAGGTTTGTCAGAAACAGTAGGAGAATGTACGGGCAGGCCCGAGTTCTCACGATGGTCTGATTATCAGGTAAGTTTTCTATCAAAGATAGGTGTTTCCAATTAACTCCCCCATTTCCTTATTCAATCTCAAGGAACTAAACAATGTGCTTCGCTATATCGCTATGAAAAATGTGAAAATCGTATTTACATGATTCAAGTATTAATTAGTAGTCCCAATCATCATCATCTCCCCAATCTCCACCAGAATAGTCCACTGGCTTCTTTGCCCATTTATTTTCAACCACAGGGGCAGGCTTGGCAGGTTCTGGTTGTACTTCGACCGCTTTGGCTTCGACAAGATTGTTCTGTTGGTCTGGGACAAAATTGTTGATGGGAGCAGGTGAGGGTTGTTCGGGCTGCGATGGAGCTTGCGGCTCTTTGTTCTCAAGTTTAGCCAGAGCTTCGGGTTGAACAGTCTTTGGGGCATCGGAGTTAGAGAACAAAGGAGCCGGAACGTTGTCTTTAGGGATATCAACTTGAGGTGTCGGCTCAGGTCGTGCAGCAGCAAATGAGGACAAAGATGCTGGACCAGTGTCCTTAGGAACATCAATTTGGGGCGTCGGCTCAGATCGTGGAACAGCTTGCTGATGCTGGAGAGTTGAAGGCGGCGAAGGTAGCTCTGGCCCAAGACGCTTTGTCTCTTCAGAGATTCTCGGAGTAGCATCAGAGCTCGACGGCACATCATGAGCCTGCGTCAACATATCCGTGGATCTTCGTTTGACTTGAACAATAGAAGGCTTCAACACAGGCTGTGTCTGGGCCTGTGCCACCTCGATCGTCGTGATGGACCCGGCGTCGGAGAAATAGCTTCTCGTAGAAGACATGCGGCTTATAGGAGTTCCTGGGGTAACCGCTGCGAGCGAATGTGGCGACGGGACATCATTGGTAACTGTGTCATGTTGGAGATGATTGGATGCCAAGAGTTGAGGTGACTGTGAAGGCTCATTTATTGAAGGCTGAGGAGAAGGAACTTGTTGTAAAGGTCTAATCTGACCAGGAGAAGGTTGACGCGGTGGTGTTGGTTGCTGACGAGGAACGTTATTCGAGGTAGCCCCCACAGGTGCATTCATAACAGGCCCGAGGTTATTAGAAGACATCCTCACCGGAGGTCCTGTCATAGAAGGTGTTCCTGTTGGTTGTCCTTGAAGCTCATGTTGTCGAGGCATTGTTCCTGGACCTGGAGCCGGGCCCTGAGTGACCATTGGAGCATTGTTATCAACCCGTCCTGACACTAGCGTTTGTTGAAGTGACAACCTCTTTTGGAAGGATAGCTGTTCTGACTGTGGACGCCTTTGACCTTGATGAGGGGGCGTTTGTCCCTGTTGGATAGGTACTTGTCCTTGTTGGATGGGCGTTTGCATCTGCTGAGGAGGCGAGTATCTCTTCGGAGGGGGCGCTTGTCCCTGCTGCATAGGCGTTTGTCCCTGTTGAGTAGGAGTTTGCCCCTGCTGGGGAGGTGAGTATCTCCTCTGAGGCGGCTGTTGTACTGCTTGAGAAGCCACCTGCTCGGAGTACATCTGCATCTGACCAGGCTGATTAGGGTCGAAGCCCATTTGATTCGGTTCAGGAGCTAATTGGAAAGAATAGGAAGCCCTTCGAGCGGGTTGAGGCTGCATCTGCTGCTGAGGAGCCATTTGCATATGTTGAGGCTGCATGTACATCGACTGTGACGGCGGTAGGTTGCCCTGCGGACCTGGTTGCGGCCCAGCAGCCATAGGTTGTCCAGGTTGCCATACAGCCTGCTGTTGATACTCTCCACCCCAGCCTGGACGCCCAACAATTGGTGATGAGATAGGCGAAGAGATAACTGGCGTCGTCGGGCTGTGCGAGACAGACTTGGAACCACCTTTCAACCATTTCAACCACTTCTTTCCTTCTTTACCTTCCTTAGCGCCAGCACTTTGTGATGATCCAGGCTGCATTGAAACCGGTCGTTGACTTTGAGGCATCACAGGATGTGGGCTGGGCTGCCAGCTTCCCTGATCTTGAGGGATCTGAACATGAGGCTGTACACGACCAGTAGGGGTCTTTTGAAGAACATTCGGTTGTCCTGGAGGAGTTATCTGACCCGACATGTTCTGTGCCTTCAAGCTAGGAGGCAAAGGCCCTTGGAGAGCTGCGTTTGGAGCCATCTGTCCTGCTGGGCTTGGTGGACCATACGAAGATCGTTTTTGAAGTCGTGTTGGAACAGGTTTGGGAGGTAGCACGGAAGATGTAGGTCCTTGGGGAGCATGTTGAACTTGAGTATTAATCTGCCCAGGATGAGGCGGTCTGCCTTGAGTTTGTGGTGGAGGCATCTGCTGGAGAGGTTGTCCTTGTGGCCCAGGACCTTGTTGTTGAGGCATTCCCTGAGCCATCCTTGGATCATGGGTAGGCATTTGCCGGCCCTGGAGCGGAGGCACACTTCCCTGTGAAGGCTTCCTCTGAAGCTGCTTCGGATTTTGAGGCGGCATGGGAGCACCTTGGGGAGTCTGTGCTTGGGGCATAGGCTGCCCCGTGTACCCCTGGAGCATATGTCCTTGCTGCCCTTGTAGCTGGCCGGGTGGAATATTCCTTGGACTTTCTGATTGCAAACTAGCTCTTCTACTCCCCATCGGGCTCGGCTGTGCCGATGAAGAAAACGATCCCTTCCTCATCTCAGATGTTATACTTGCTGTTGAAGACCGACTGATAGTTCCGCTCGGAGCTTCTTCGTATTCTTCGATTCGTCCTAAGCTCTGCTGTCCCTGCGGCGGAGGTGTAGGAGCAGCATCTGGACGCTGATTCTGTTGTGCAGCATTGATCTGAGATATCTGTGGTGGAGACTGCAAATGCGGCAGCGCCTGAGATACTGCGTTATATCCTTGTGTGTTCTGCTGTGAGAGAGGTGATCCGCGCTGAGCACCGAAGGGGTCTGCTCCAGCAGAGTTACGTCTTGGGTCTACACCACGGCCCAAAGACTGTTTGCGCAGCGCATCTCGAGCAGCATTATTATAACCCTGACTCTCACCATCTGGCATGTGGAAGTAAGACCCTTGTTGATACTGATTTGCTAGAGCAGAAGGAGGCGTTGAATTCTGCGATACAGGTGAAGGTGTATAGTTGGAAATCTGATTTGAAGTGGTTGAAGCACGGCGACTGTGTTCCATGGGAGAGGGACTCTGGAGAGGAAACGACATGCTCCCGTGCCTTGAATCCGGCGAGACCATGGAAGAGCCGTACGATGAGTGTCGTCGATTGTTTTGAATCGGAGGCGATGGGCTGACAGGACCTTGGTTTGGTGGAAACTGCACAAACGGCTCTTCAGGATATGGAAGATCCCCTCTGCGAAATGGTGGTTGGTCGTCAGGATAAGGCAGATTGTCGACCGGGTAAGGAGGAAATGGAGTTGTAGGTCCTGCTGTTGCCGATCGAGGAAGTCCTCTCGGTGGAACACTCTCAACCGGACTCTGATACTGAGCTTGTGATTGCATTGCCATATCAGGCAACGCACTAGCCGGTCGATTTTGCATAAGCGGTCGATTCGCTGTGCCGTGTGGCAGCCCTTGTTGTCCATTCTGAATCACGGATTGTGGCCTTTGAGATGGCAGTGAATCAGGTACAGTATTGACTCTCTGAACACCCATTCGCGGCTCTTCGGGACGTTGCTGCTGGACAACAGGCGCTGGGGTCATGGATGCTGGATGTTTTCCTCGCATAGGTGGTACATAACCATGGCCTTGTGGTCCTCTCGTAGGACCAGGCGTAGGTTGGGAGTTGGGCTGCCCGGGACCTTTTCCACGTGCTGGTTTCAACACAGATGGCATATGCGCTAACTCAGGCTCCTGTCCCGGTATATAAGGCACATTATTGGCGGCCCCCGGCGGTAAATTGGATTGAGAAGACTGATCGAAAGCGTGCTTTGGGGGTATTTGAGGTTGAGTTGGCTCATCCAAAGGACGTTTGGGTGGTACCTTGGGCGGCGAAAGTACATTCGGCGTACCAGCATGGCCTCGATCAGGTGGTTGAATCGGACTCGCATTTGCCATATATCCAGGTTGAAATGTCGATCGCCGCAAAGGTGCAGGATGGGGTGTTATCTCTATACGATTCTCTGGTTTATACGATTGAATCCCAGGTGTTTCCTCGACTGGCTCTGGAGGAGTCCTTAGAGGCTGCATGGGCAGACTATAATTCCTCAACGACCCAGGCGCAAGTTGCGGCTCATCCTTCTTCTTTTCCACAGGACTGCTCTTCTCTGGTAGTTCAGCGATCATTGGCGCCGCAGCCTCAATCGGTGCAAGAACTGTGTTATCTGCCATCTCGATCGGTGGAGGGTTCGTTTCGATATGCGCTTGAGCTGTATCGTATGTTGGCATCTCAGCAATGATGCCCACAGGATCAGGCGCTCGTGGTGGTTCGTGGCTAGGCATTTCGTGGATCTCCTCGACGACTGTGGGCGGTACCAGTACTGGTTCTGCGATTGGACCTGTATGCGAAGAACTTTGCGCCGGTGTCGTTTTCTCACTGTTCAATGGGCTCACTCCCTTTGAACCGCTCTTGTCGAATCTCTCATCGATTCCTCCTGCGACAGCTCTCTTCGCAGCTTCCTCTTCCTCTTCCGCCAGCGGACTCACATCGGTATACGTCCCAGGCCCGAGATACATAAAGTTCTCAGGCTGAAACACTGTATGCTCCTCTTCGTACGATCCATCCCAGGTCATGCTCACCGGCCGCGCCGTAGCAGACATACCATACCCGCCATCATCCTTCTTCGGACTCAGCTTCGCGGGCACAGTAGTAGTACTCCCGTGCCTCCTCACCTGCTGCTGCGACTCGAGCCGTTCCTCAGGCGCAAGATCCGGCACGGACGAAAAGCTATCGATAAAGTCCGGAAACTCGTCGCCTTCCTTGGGGAAGTGGTACTGAACGTGTCCCGTGGGCTTGTACTTGTAGAACCAGCGACGGCCGTCGTAGTCGGCTTCCCAGTTGTCTGGAAGGCCTGACATGGTTCTATATTTTCGCTTGGAAGGTAAGTCGGTATTATTGCGCCGCGACGGTGGGCATTGTTACTCGTTGCGAGACTCGTTCTCGAAGACGAGGCTCTGGAAGTGCAAGATGCGTTGTAGCCGGGGGTGGTCAAGGGCGAGCTTCAGCTGAACAACGTCGCGACCATTCATTGGATGTAAATGACCTAAGGCAGCGATGGGCGTTTAGGGAACACAAAGAAGGCGCAACAACAAAGTCTTGACAACTACAGAGTATCAAGACATAAAACGAAACAATGATAATTTACTGATATATAAACAGCTTCAGGCTCAAGCATTCTCATCCCTTGTACACGGCCTAACCTGAAAGTTGGTTTCAACTACGAAGGGCCTGAGGACGATGCGCGGGAGCTGAACATCAGTCCTCTCCACTTTAGCCGACGAGCTACAGAATAGGCTCTGGCTATTGGTTGTAGAGCTTGTAGGGCCGGACTTACAGGACCCTTTAATTACGCTAGCAGCTCTAATTACCACCATGGTTTTGGTTCCCTTGGGACTAGGGTATCAGCCTTGATTGAGGGGTCCGACTCCTTCTTGAAGGATTGTATGTAGTGGCATGATGATCCAAATAAGAGCTATGAATTGCATTAGATATATATAGCAGTATAGCTTAGACGACTAATTTTTGAGATGAGATGACATTTATCGATTGACTTTCAGGTACGAGATCGCTTACTTTTACCATTACATCATTCTCGTTACCCCAGGATTATCCCTGTATCCGTCCCATCACAATAGTCCATCATGACAATTACATCCCATGACACGTCAGAATCAATGATCACGATACTCCTTTTTGACTCATTCACAGCCTGATAATGGAGTTTTGGGAATTAAGAATAGAATTTGTCTAATATTTCTGCTCTCTATATGTTGCCGAGTCAATCTGTTTCGTATGTGTTTGCAGCAATCTATGCGCGAAACGAAACAAAAAAGAAAAAGAAGATTATGCACCACTCCAGATATGCCAATCTGGATCTCTATATGCTAAGGTAGGTAAAAGTTTTGGTTTTCATAAGTATCATAAGAAGCCTGCTCAGACAATGTTGCCGGGAGGTTTGCTCTTGGAACCTGTCCTCACTCGGTTGAATACATGTCGTCGGCTGTCTGTCGAGGCAATGCGGTCCAAGCCTGAAGAGCTGGCCACCGATCGTCGTTCTGCCTCTTCTTCGGCTCGAACACCGCGCTCCTTCTCTCTGATGGAAGCTAGGCGATGTGCTTGAACATTATCTCGTCGGTTCTCGAAAACGTCCTGGAAGTCCATGTTGTTCTCCATGGCACGCATGCGTTCGGATGTTCCACGGCGGCTGTAGTTTGAGGTTTGGTGACTCAGAGGAGGACCCTCAGAGTGGAGAGGTCTATCGTGCTGAACAGGCTTGTCGTGGAGATCAACACCATGGCCACCGTTGCCAGCGCCATGATCGGGCTCCTTGCCATAGGGAGGAGGCTGCATACCAGACCAGTACATGGGGTGCTCGCGGCTGCCACCGGGCTCGATGCGGAAGGGGGACTGGATGCCAACGTTGACCATCTGAGTCATCAGTTCAGTCACAAACTTGTTATGACGGTTGAGACGGAGCAATTCGTTCTGGTAGTTGGTCTTGTGGAAGAAGATCATATTCATCATGCAAGATCGAACGTCGTCAATCTTGACCATCTCGGTAATGATACGAGGAGCATAGTCACGCTTGTTGGCAAGACAGAAGTCGGTCATTCGTTCCTTGAGATCATCGATCATGTGCTGGGGTGTACCAAATCGCATCACCAGAGGAACAACATCGGCAAGACCGTTGGATCGTCGCTGGTTGAGAATAAAGACGTTATTGAGAACCGAGTTGGGAGCCTGCACGATGTGGCCTTGCATCTTCTTAAACTCGGTGTAGAGAAGAGAAATCTCGGTCACGTAAAAGTCGTCACCCATCATGTTGTCACCGGTAGATCCGTAGACAGTCACACGGTCACCGACATCAAAGGGATGCTTGACGAAGACGAAAATGATGGACTGGAGGAACTCTTGAGCGGTGGCTTGGAGAACCCAGGCCAGACCCAGAACGACAGTACCGGCGGAACCGAGAGCAGCAGCAGCTGAACCAGAAAGAATCGAGATGAAGACAATGATGGTGATGATGATGATGATGAAAACAAAAACCTTGTCGAGCTTCTTAATCACCGAGTCAAGATCCTTGAGCGAAGCGGCAATGGCCTTCTTTTCGAGGTGGATTTCATTGCACACAGCTTCGAATTCGTCAATCGAGATGTCACCGTTCATATCCTTGTCGAACATCATGAAAGCAGCTTCGGCCTCCTCTTCACTGCCAAAGATCTCTTTCATATCCTCTTCGTAAACCAGGTCGGTGCCGTCCTTCACGGCACAACGGTAGATGAGACGAGCCAGGGTATGTGCCGATTGAGTGTTTCGAAGGAGTTCGTTGACAACTCTGCGAGGGTGGTTGCTGTCAATCTTGCGACCGATCAAATCGTTTCCGACTCGGCCAGCAACGTAACCGACCTTGCCAAAGATCTGGCGGGCGTTGTCCTGGAGAGTCTGCATGGGAGTTTGAGCGCCACTAGCGGAGTCACTGCCGCGCTGGAAGAAGTAGTCGGTCTTTTCATTGTGAGCTTTGGCGTGCTCGTAAAGATGAACGAGTTGTCCAACATCCGCCTTGTTGTTGCTGATTCGGGTCGCGTAGGTTCGCTGATGGAAAGTGAAAGCGATCCATTGGATGAGGATCTTTTCGACAAAGTTGAGAGCTGACAATGTGAACAGGGCAATAATGACCTTGTTCATGATTTCAACCCAGTGTGGCTTTCGGTCTCGGAAATTGTGGTTCAGCATGGTCGGTTCGAAAGAAATGAGGATGGCGAGGAACCAGAGGAAGACGGCTGTGTGTAAGTCAAGCTGGTATCCAATATCCTTCCACTTGCTAGCATTGGTAGATCCAAAGAGCTTGGCGACGAGTTTGAAAGTTGGAGGCAAAAGACTGCTGATCATGCGAGAAACCCAGAGGACTCCCCAGACAATCTCAAGCCAGATACCGAACCACATGAGATCAACACCATTGACATCTCGTCGCTTGCCGTCGTCTTTGATAGCGAATTTACCCAGCAAGACGGGAATAAGAAGTAGAACAGCTCCAGGGACCAGGTACAGGCAGTATCGGACGAATCGAGGAAACTTTCGAAGGAACATCCAAAACTTGAGCAGTGTAGCATCTGGATCTTGTTCCTTCTCCTTGTGCATGGTTTCAGAGGGAATGGGTGCATTGAAGGCATCTTCAGGCTCAAAGTTGTGAGCTCGCGATTTCCTCATGTAGCTGACATCGTCGCGAGCCTCGGCAGAAACAGCACGCTCAATTCGCAAAAGTTCGATGTTATCGTCCAGTCGACTAGCATCTGCGCGCTGACTGAGAGGCGACCGGAGTGAATGCGAATCATTGGTCTGGACAGGAGCTTGTAGAGTAGGGAACGTGTCGAGTGCAGGCGGAGGAGCCGAGTTTCTTTTATCGGCAGCACTTAATTGAGGTGAAGATGTTTGTGCGGGTTCTGATTGTTGGCCGCTGAATTGCGAAGGATTTCTTGTGGGAGGTGGTTGTCTGAGGTTGAATTCTTTCATCGAGATGTCCTTCTCGTCGAAGCCGCCGCCATTTGGGGGCGGATCTGAACTCATGATGGCCCCTGTTGATGATATTCACAACGCGAGGGCTTTGTTGCGATGATCAAACAAGGAAGAGAGATAGGAGAGAGTCAATGTCCAGCAAAGATTATTTGAGAGAAAAGCTTTGTTCAGCTTGTGGTGGAGTGAACGGTGAATTACCCACACTGCGGTCGGTCTGATGTGATAAGTAAAACGAGAGACGAGTCGAGACGAGACAATTAAGAAACAAGAATAGTAATGGAAGTGGATCGATCAGACGATGATCCTCGATGACATCGATCTCGCAGATAAGATGGGGATTTCTGTCTGAGGCAACGCGTGGGCGCTCAGATACACGCAAGACGATATTTGCGTGGTGTTTTAGGAGGTGAAAAGGTGATATGATGTCGTCACCCAGATCTCTGCCTCTGTATTTCTTCTCAGGGGAAAAAGGAGAGAAGATAATGGAAAGAGAAAAGGAAAAAATAAAGTAACAGGAGAAATCTGGGGGAATTGTTGGAAACCCTGCGGGTGACGGGGATGCTGTTGAGCTTTTAAGAGATCGGCCAGAGGTTACAGCGCATTCGCGTGGAGCGATGGAAAAGCTATGCAATGAAATAAATGGCCTGTGAAGACAAGAAGAATGGGTCAATTGAGATAGCCTTGCTTGGCCAAGACCCAGGGCAGGGAGTGGAAGAATGAAGAGTTGATGGTGGTTGTTGATGAAGCGGAATTAATATCCACCATCTTCATGCTGTACTATAACGTAGACCGTGAATTATTCTTCGCCATCCAATTTCATCATACATTATTATTTCTAATTTTTCTTCAATGTTGCCATCTCAACACCAATATAGTTCACACCTCCAGCAACCAATCCAAGCACCAAGTAATTGACCAAAGAACAAAACAAGAGTTGTACAATGATAAGGTCCCGGTCGGGCGTGGTTAGCAAGTGGATCCGCCGGAGTCAGGGTCAAGACCCAGCGACCGGCCGCCAAATGTCGAGTAATGAGCCCCCGAAGCCCCGTATGGCCGGGAGGTGAACAGTGAAGAGTGGGGGCCTCTAAGAGTGTGTACAGTGGGATGGTGTCACTCGATGGAAACCCCAAATGGGAAAGCCCGAGGATGCCGCCGATAGAATGGAAATAGGGAAAAAGCACGCCCCAAGAGCACTGTAAAAAAGGAATTGATGGGAACCTCTATTCAACTCATCACAATCCAGAGCATGTGAAGTAAAACACTTTTGGTTAAGCTGATGTAGATCATATCATGACAACATATCATTGCATTTATCCAGCAAGAAAACATGCTTGTAAAATCAGGGACACATTTCTTCCAATCTGCAGGTGAATCCGTCGATCTGACGCACTCTCGCTAAATGGAACCCGAGACACCAAACGGGCGCATTGAATATGAAATCTGCCAGGGGTTTTTAGTACTACGTAGTAGGTACTAGGGAGCTAATCGCAGGGAATAACCAAGCTGACGTCACAGCCAAGAAAACGGCCGAAGTGAGTTTGAATATCCACTCAAGAGGCAATCCAGCACTTTTTACAGTGCTGTAGATGGTTAGTAGAGGTAATTGATTCGATCTTAGAAGACTGATCGAGTCTTGATCATCAACCTCGTATTTCTTCATGCAAAGGTGGCAGCCATCATGGTGACGATCATCACTCCATCATAACTTGGTGGCGGCAAAATACCCTACAAAAACCTTTTTTTTATCCGTCGTCACCCGTTGAGAGAAATTCTTGTTGACCTTCGATTGGAAGCTTTTTCTACTAAAGGGTGTCCCCCTGCATTCCTTACCACACACACCAAATTAATGGCTGTTCTAAAAGCACCGTCCCGTCTTTCTTCATCGACTGTGTTCCCTTGGCTTGCAGCGTGGGGGGCACTCAAACACTTCCACAGTAAACATCCAGAGTAGCACAGTTTCGAGCATCGTGAAACCAAAAAAGACCCTTAAATGTCACCTGAATCCTTTGCCCAGACTTTTAGACAGAGCATGTCACCTCCGCTTTGCCGAACTACAGGGTGACATCTAACAAGCCAAGATATTTTATATGGAAACCTTTTCAAGAAATCCGCGGATATAGCTGTACTGTAACAGCCTCACACAGGAAAGCAAAGATCCATCCATTCTCCATCTCTGAACCACATGGGAAAAAAGTGATCAATGCTCAAGCTCAGGGGGGTTTGGTTTAGCTGGGACCAATCCCATTGGACTTTTTCTAAACGCCCGCACCGCTGGTTTTCTAAGACACTGGCATCCTCCCTGTTCCACCATGTCCAACCCACATGCTGATAAGGACGATGCTGGGAGGTTGACATTTATCTGCCCTAGTATCAGTTGTTCTAGGGCTGCTTGGACATTGGAGAATTAGGTCACGAAGAACAAAAGACAGAACAGTTTGGGTATCTCAAATCAATTTAGATCGGCTCTGAGGCCTCTATTTGGTGTCCTAACCGCCAAAAGACAATCCTACTCCTGTCCAGTATCCAAAGTAAGGTCCCAGTGACAGTTCAATCTAGTAGTGAAGTGCATATAGATAGGGGAACAATAAAACAATGTGTTCTTTTATTGCCATTACAGATCGGAGATCGGGTTGTGGAATATAACTTACATAGAACAGTCTTCGTATTTCTGTACCACGTATTCTACACAATCCGCAACCTAAACCAGGGGTGACGTACCATATCGTAGGCACTAATACGCTCCGCAGGTTCATACTTGAAGGTTCTGGTGACCAGATCATAAAGAAGATCGACTTCCCGGGCTGAAATCTTTGGAAACAATGCCATCATTGCATCCGGGTCCTCCGTCTTGTGAAGGGGCTCGCCGTTGATCTTGATTGCAGATGGTTTCCAAAACCAGTCGCTGTGGTGTTCTGGATAGGGTCTCTCCTCCTTGTGGTGATCCCAGCCGTAGACGGGGTCTACTACATTGACGACGGCAGCAATGTCGCTTTCTAGCCAGTCGCCGCTCTGAACGTGTGTGTCGTCCTCATAGGATACAACGTCTGGAGAGTTTTCATTATCGTCTAGATCTTTCGGCTTGTCCTGAATGTAGCTGATCCATTGCTTCAGTGAGCGACTCGAGCAAGTATCGGGTGTCGCCCTTTGCCAACTGTGTCCCATGTTCCACGTCGGTCGGCCGTCGTACTCGTCATATAGCGGCGGCTCTAACCAAGACTCTGGTATTTCTCCGAGGTACTTTTCAATCATGTTAATCATATCCGATGGACCACCGTGGCCGTCTTCGTGATGGTATGCGACCTGATCGGAGGTTCAAGATTGTGACACCCAACGCCCAAATATCACTTGCTGGGGTGGAACGTCTTCCGATGGCAACCTCGGGAGGGAGGAACCCAGGCTGATCCATACACATTGGTATATAGAAAGGGGAAAATGTTTCTTCAAAGCCGATGATACGAAGGTCCGGATATATGGTTCTTTCTCTGCTTGACAGGAAGTCAATAGAACCGACAATATAACGGGCCTGGGATGCTTCCATCGATAGTCCTCACTCGATCGATCACGGGCTTGCTTAAAAGACGATAGATACCGTCGTCGTCAAGATGATCCAGATTGTTACTTTGAATTAGAATGTTTCTTGGCCTAATACTTCCATGACAGATGTTGTGGCGATGCAAAATACTGAGTAGAGAGGCTACCCGAATAGAGTAGCACCGAGCCCATCGAGGATGTAATCTATCCATGGAATCCAGATTCGGGCCACAGAAAGGAAGAACAAGACAAAGATGACGACCGTTAGGACCGTCAATGTGGAAGTAGCGTTTGTAAGTAATGAAGTGAGGGTCGTTGAATCGAAAAAGCATATTATGACAACCGACCATGTCTCTCTCAATCTTGTAGGATTGGTCAGCTCTCACGATTTTGAGAGCTACCCAGCTAGAGAGGACAGAATCTCGAGCAAGCCATATGACTGAGTTATCTCCAAAACCAATCTTGTGGACTATGCGATATCGATCGTTGTCGTAACGATCGCCGAGATGGACCGGGTGCAATCCTCCTGTTTCGTAGGCCTCGACATATTCTGAATTGTCAACCTGCGGACACTCAAAGCGAAAGTTTGAGGGGTCAGATGATGTATCCATATCTGCTGGTAAAGAACCCATTTTGCACGGCTCAGAAAGATGCCCCGTGAGAATCGGGAAGAAGTTGTTGTCTCGTACGAAGCTGGCAAGTTTGAGCGAGTCGAGATATAGTCGAATGGCTTGAAGGAGGGGTGGAATGTAATTTATAGTGTGTCAAGAACTTGAGGCAATTGAGGTAAATGATAAGCTTCGTTGAAAGCAGTTTGTATGTAACTTACACAAGAGAGTTGAAAGGAGGCTTTGTTATGTGTTGTCGATGGCATCTTGAGTACTTTATTCAACACTGGTATGTATTTCATGAACTAGAAGGATATTATCTAAAAAGCTATCCTACTGGTGCCATTCTTGAAGACTTTACTTAAATGGAGATAATATAGGTTATGTAGAGTCTGGAAATTGGTTCGAAGGAAACAATAGCCATCAGCAATAGACTGTCAGGTAGGTAATAGAAGAATATCCCAAGGCTTAGGACATCGAAATAAAGTAGCTTAAGTGTTAGTATAAGTTAACATATAGATTTCTCATCTCTTATATCTGCAGCAGTTAATTCTTCTAGTACCCTGGCGGCTGTATGAAAAGAAGGATGATGTATTGAATGGGTGTAACAATGAGAACCTGCTGGATCGCCTTTGGACCAGGCCAAACTATCTCAGAAAGATCTTCCAATTGTAGAAGCTACATAAAGTGTGCAACAACTTTCACAATTCAAGCTTTAATACCTACTCATCTTCACATCATCTTATTCGTGGCCTTACGCGGACATTAAACTTGTATGCTAAGAAGCTTAATCTCATCACGGAGGTTACATTGGTCCATTCAAAGTATCACAAATCATTTACCGAATCTCGAAGCGAGCAAATCCTTTGCATCAGATCAATGCTTGTGCATTCAGTGGAGCTTTTTGCATAGACGATATTTGCCGAACGAACAGCGCAATGCGAGTAACTAGGAACGCTGACTTTTAGGCATTATAGTATAAATATATAAAGCACAGTCTAGTCTAAAGTGCTATGAACTGAACTGATGTTTTCGTCTCTTATCATTGTGTGGACTAAGGTTAAGGCATGGTGCGTCAAGACATGAAGAAACAATCCCATTATGAAGTGTGAAGTCTTCCAACTGCACAGCACAGACATACCATCGCGATCGACCGATTTCAGAGGCATCCCATTTCATCTCTAATCATGCTTATTTTTAACCCTGTATCTACAATTATTACACCGCGATTAATCCGATGTATCCATATTTCCGTACGCGCCATCAATGTCGATACTTGCCTGATTAGTAGCATCATGGTGTTCACGACTCTTCACGCGGGTGCTGCCGTCGACCGTTGAATCACTGTCCAAAAATTGTGTCTATTCTTAGCTTTCTCCCCACCTCTAATCAAACTACCATCTAAGCAAGCTTAATGCTCCAGTCATCACCGATTTTGGCTCCAACGCGGCCCACAACCGCAAAGGCCGCACGGCTGCCCTTGGCTTCGTGGTATTGGATCTTGACGGTCCATGTTTTTCCTTCGGACGAAACTGTGGCTTCCTTCTGGTTCCAGGTCTTGGGTGCGCCGACGATAATGACCTTGTCAACGTAGACGGTTTCCATATCCTTGAGCCATGGGCCAGCCTTAATTGACTTGGTGTCGCGTCCCACAGTATCGATAGAAGTCAATGTGTTGCCGCTGAAGGTGAACTTGCGGTGGATGTATTGATCTTGCTCGTACTCAAATGTATCACCGTCATCAATGTAAAGCTCGCCTGAGGCGTTACCATCCTTGGAGACGGAGACAACGAGTGTGTAGTCGTCAAATCGCATAAGAGCACTTGATCGTCGGGGAATATCACGTCGGGGGATGATATGTCCACCTTGAAGGAGAACAGGGACCTTCTCGAGCGGCGCGCTGACTGTGAGGTACTTACCCTTGCTTGTCTTCTGAACGTCGTAGGTAAAGTAGTCGTAGTAAACCTCGTTATCAGGGATCCAAATGTCGGTCGACTCCTTGCCCTGTTCTGTGATTGGCTTCACAAGAAGACCAGTCTCGCCAACAAAGAACTGGTCTTCAAGAACAAAGCCAGCTTCTTCAGAGGGATGCGTCCAGAACATAGGGCGGATGATAGGGCTTCCATCTTGGGACGCGGTGTGGAAAGCGGTGTACCAAGCAGGCAGCAGAGTGTATCGGAGTCTGATAGCGGCAGTCGAGATCTGGGTATAAGGCTCACCCAAAAGGTAAGGCTCACGACGTCGGGCGTCGAGATGGGCATGAGCTCGGAAGAAGGGGTACCAAATACCAGTCTGGTACCAACGGACGAGGAGATCCTTCTCAGGGTTGCCAAAGAAGCCTCCAACATCAGCACCAGCGAAGGGGAACCCAGAGATACCCTGGTTCAGGGTCATAGGGATAGACGCGGCCAGATGTCCCCAGTCAGCCTGGTTGTCACCTGTCCACATAGCACCAAGCTTTTGCGAACCCGCGTAGAAGGCTCGTGTCAGGATGAAAGGTCGTCGAAGCTCCCCCTTTTCACGGTGAAGGAGGGCCTGGAAAGTGGCGTTTTGGAAAGTGAGACCGTTCAGGTTGTGAACATCACGGTGTTCCCATCCTCCGTGGTGGATGTTGTCCTTGGGCATGGTCACCTCGGGTCCGTTGAAAACTGAAGGCTCACTCATGTCGTTCCACATCCAAGTGTTGTGCATGGTACCCTTGAACTTGTCAAACTTGAGCATAGTCTTCCACCACTCAATAGCCTTGGGGTTAAAGCAGTCGATCCAGTTGGAGGCTCCAGGCCAGCACCATCCCTCGTACGGTTTCTGGTCCTTGTCGTGAGTAGCAAGGTCTTGGGCAAGCATTTCCTGTGAGGCAACGTAGTTATCAGTCTTCTTGATATGGGGGTCAAGAAGGACGACAAGTTGGCGACCATGAGCATCCAGATGTTCACCCATGTCGATAGGGTCAGGGAAGGAGTGAGGCTCCCAGGTGAAGTACTTGCGGTCATCGGTATACTCGAGATCCAGCCAGATAACGTCGTATGGGATCTTGTGCTTGTCCATGTTGCGATCAACGTTTCTAACGTCGTCGCTGGAGATGTAGTTCCATCGGCACTGGTGGTAACCAATGGCAAACTCTTGGGGCATAGCAGTGTAGCCGGTCAACTCTCCATAGGTCCTAGTGAGATCAGAAGGAGTGGGACCGAGGAGCACGAAAACATCGAGGAGACCACTCTCGGAAATCCAATGAGTATGTGTGTTCGTCTTGCTACCAACACCAAGGCTCAGAGGGTTTGCCTGGTTCTTCTCCTTGGTGATGTCGACCCAAGTCTCGGCAACGTTGAGCCAGAAAACACCAACAGACGAACCCTTGCGGTGAGCTTGCATGAAAGGAATAGCACCGTAGAGGGTCATTGGGCTGTCAAGGATGTATTCGAACACATCGGCGTTGTACATGCGGTAAGGTTCAGCGTAGTTGCCATCTCCACCACGGGTCTGCTTCAAGGACAGAGGACCAGTGTGTTCGGGAATACCAAACACATGCTCGTATCCATGGAAAGTAATGTCCATAGCCACACTTTCAGGTCCACGAGGCTTGGAGTCGGTGTTTCCACCAAAGGACTCGTCCCACCATGTGCTCTCATCCTCGGCGGCTTCCTCACCTTCCTTGTTCTCGATCTTGGGTCGCCAGTGTTCCATGTTCAACCAACCACGCTCGTTGAACTTGACGTGTGAGTTGCCATCGCGTCGGAAGTCGATCTCGAAAGGTGAGAACTTGATGACAGCTTCATGGTTGCCCTCAAGTCCGAACTTGATGTTGACTTGACTCTTGTCTTGGTGTGCAAGTTGCGCGTCCTTGTCGAGATCCAGACCAGCAACAAGAACCCATTTATCAGCCTCGTTGTAACGTTCTTTGCGAACAGGACTGTCGTCTCGTAGCACAATATCCTTGTTTCGTCGCTTCTCCTCGTCCATCGTGACTCGGGCGGAACCAGACATGAGGAATGAGATCGTAAGGGGGAGGCGAACGGTGTCTCCGTTGGAGTTGATGGTCTTGACCACCATAGCTTCCAGCTTTCCATTCTCGAAGGATACCGAATCGGCGGTGATCTCGTATGGTGTCTTCCAGTTTGATCCTTGGGCAAGGGCGCTGTCGGCATAGGCGCGGTTTCGTTTACAGAAGCCAGATTGGTTGCATTTCTTGAAATCGTTCTCCTTGACAGCAACTAGAGATTGTGAGTCGCAAATTGGTCAATGTTCAGTTCCAGAACTTACCGGCTGATTGGAAAAGGCAGGCAAGAGTGCCTAGCAGCAACAACAGCGCCGTCCAGCGAAAGGACGACGCCATATTTGACCTCATGATGTTGAGACGGTCAAGAAACAGACCGCAATTAAAGGTTGAATAAAGAGATCGTAAACGTAGTTGGTATATCAAACAAACATTCGCAGAAAGATATAGTCTCTTGATCTATATCCACCTCTAAATCTTCTGACTAGCAGAAGTCTCGGTTGTTATTGTGGTTTGTGCTGGGGATAACCTCAGCTTTGATGATGTCGAAGTCAAGCTGTCCCTTAGCTCCCCCTGTGAAACTCCAATCCGGATTGGGACTGGTGTGAGACGCAGGGGAGCGGGTACCAAGATGGCGGGGCAAGCTTCGGTAGAAGACTAGACCTGATAGCGAACCAGCTCTTATTGAGTTCTTACATTTTGGAGGTTGTTTTCTTTGCCATTGACTGCACTGTACACTGCTGATCAGAAGCTTATAAGTATTATTACTGTATCTTGTTTGCGTCTTCAGCCCTGTGAGTATTGTCCCGACTGTCTGTTTCTCACTTAAGCTGACACAACTATGGCTGAACTCTATTAATGTTTCAGTATATGTAGAGATCCCCTTTTTGTCTCTACTCCTTTCTTCAAAAGTACCCCTTGACTGTTGACAGCTCTTACAAGTGTCAACTTCAACCAATTTATCAGTCACGTGTCCGTGTGAATTCCCCAGATCTCGCACCTACCAAGACCCCTCAACGCCAGCTCATCATGGCTGCTGAGGAGCCCCGCCAGCGAAAAGACCCCGCCGTGAGTGGCAGCGGCAACAGCAACGAAAACAGCAAGCAAAACAGACGGAGAACAGCGGAAAATCTTGCCCCGCCATTTTTTGCACTGCTCTTCGCCCTTTTCGCCCTTTATATCCTCTTTTCACCGCCTTCTTCAAGCCTTTCCCCTCCAGTCCCCGTCTGCCCTTCTATCTCTACTTCCTCTTCTGTTTCTTCATCTCAAGTCATACCAGACAAGAACATCGCCAAAATGTCCTCCTCCGAGCAGACGTAAGCTACCCCGCCATCGAGCTATCACGGTCGATGCCCCTCCATGTTGAACTTTTGCTGACATTGCTATAGCTTCATTGCCATCAAGCCCGACGGTGTCCAGGTAAACAGACCTTGGCGTTGATATCATTGATACGAACAAATCTAACATACATCTTACAGCGTGGACTCGTTGGCCCCATCATCTCTCGTTTCGAGAACCGAGGGTAAGCTTATACTTCGATCAACGTCATTACAGGAATTAACTTTGGATAGCTTCAAGCTTGCTGCCATCAAGCTCATGACCCCCGGCAAGGAGCACCTCGAGAAGCACTGTTCGTCACCGAAAACAACCACATAAAGCATCAATTGATACTGACATACCCGCAGACGCTGATCTCGCTGGCAAGCCTTTCTTCGCTGGTCTCATTGAGTACATGAACTCTGGCCCCATCTGCGCCATGGTCTGGGAGGGCCGTGACGCCGTTAAGACTGGCCGTTGTATGTTTGACCGCTCCCAACGATTATACAATTGCTAACCATGGTTCCAGCCATCCTCGGTGCCACCAACCCCCTTGCCTCTTCTCCCGGTACCATCCGTGGTGACTACGCCATCGACGTCGGCCGCAACGTCTGCCACGGTTCCGACTCCGTCGAGAACGCCCAGAAGGAGATTGCTCTCTGGTTCAAGGAGGGTGAGGTTGTCTCCTGGAAGTCCGCCCAGTTCAACTGGGTCTACGAGAAGGCTTAAATCTGTCATTGATATGACGCCCTGAATGACGGAATTGAAAAAGCACATATAAGTGGGATGACTTCATCTCGGGTATAACAAAATCAAAGACAAAATCTTCTCAACCTTGATGGTCTCATTGACTAAGCCTTGCGCGTGAATACCCCTTTGGCTCTCATGAGCACTCCGGCAAACCATGGCGTAGCCCAGACACTACCGATAATTCGGACTGGCAGTAGAGCCTTTGTTATCGCATATGCTAGAGCAACCTCCACAAGGACCTTGTAACGTCCATCTCCACTATGCCAGCGCTCAACTGCATTCTCGGATTTAGAATCGGGGTGTGTCGTAGTGCTCGATGTTGTGTGCTCTTCATTCTGCCCGAACCCAAACCAGCCCTTGCGTTTGAAGTATCTCTCGAATCGACCAACTCCATCTTCGACATAGCTTCCAAAGTGACCCGTTACGTAGTCGACAGGTACATAATTCGTGTAATGAAAGAGTCCGAATAGTCCTAAAACCGGTACGATGGCTGTGATTTCGTGCAGAATAAGAAAGGAGACTATGTGCGAGACTGGTGCGTTGCGCAAACCGCTGGTGTATTTTTGTAAACGTTTGGGGAGCTTTGAGGTAATGCGGTCGATGCGGGAAGCTTGGGTTGACTCGGCGCGGATGTTTGAGCTGAACAGGCGTGGAGGAGCGCGAGCTCTTAGGCTGGGACGCCAATTGAAGGCTACTAGGTTGCGGCGCATGCTGGGATTGAGGCGATCAAACATGAAAATCTAGGGCAGCATCAGTGTGGTGGAAATGGAGAGGTCATTGTTGATATTCTGCCAAACCTGGGTGGAGCTGCTGACATAGCGATACAAGCGTTTCTCAGTGAAGCTTTAGGGTAACCAGCATGGGACGTTTAATATTCTCTTCTATAGGTACGGATCTGGATCGGTTTGTTCATGGCGTTGATAGATTGTCGACATGCAAGAACTCTCAATAGCCTTTATTTCGTCTTATTACTTTTCGCTGGAAAGAGTTGACGAGATTTTGTGATGCTTCTCATGTGGATTTCTTGAAGTGTTATAGGTGACGCCCTGTAACTGTTAGATACCGAAAGAATAATGGCTTATTGGAATGAGAGCTTTCCCAAAAGGTTTTATGAATCAGAGATAACTATACTGATCTCATTACCAAGAGGAGATCTTTGGTCAGCTGCAATAGAAGTGGCGACAGTAACATGGGAATACGGCATATACAGAGCTTGATATCCTTTTGAGCGTCTACAACATCAACACCAAGTTCAAGCAACTGGTCGATGCAATCATCACTACTATCATGTCATGGAAGAATGTGGGTATGCAATTCTATCCAATCGCTATACTGATTCCTCACTCATTGACAACTGCCCTCGGCAAAAGTGAAGGCATCGTGGGCTGCATGTCAAACCTTATACTGCACCCCTTCCTTCCTTCCTTCTGCGCATCAACCTCTTTTACGTCACTTGATTCCAAACGATTTCGGAATGACGCGTGTTGGGGTGCTTGATAATAAGCTGTGTCATGTTCAGGCAGCTGATGGCATCATTTCCATGTCTGCTCCTGCCCTCCAAGTCAATCTTTCGCTGCATTGCGCACAAGCTCCTTCCCAAACATCGTTCAACTGCGTCAGAGGTCCCCAACGAAACATCTAGAATGAGGTAATCACAATAAAGAGGGAAGGCACTCGGTCTGCTGGCTGCCTCACAGCAGATGCTGAAGACTTAATAACTTTTCTTCCATCTCATCTTGTCCATCTTCTCTTCTTCTCCTCACACCTCCCATCACCAGCTTCACCTAACACTCACAAATCCCAACCCCTTTGTCGCAATCGACTATCAGCTCTGCTACACATCTGACACTCACCTCAATTGCACACAATTCACTACCTCATCAACATGGTCTCTGTCAAGTCGGCGGCCGTCGGCGCCCTGCTGGCAATTGCCCAAGCCCAATCCAAGATTCGTCATCCCAACGAAGATCTCATCCTTGCTGATTGTGGCATTGGAGACAACAAGGCCCATCCCAAGTGGTCTACTTCCCGCCAGGTAAACTGGTACAAAGACATCAAGTGGCCTGAGGATGCTTCCTCATTCCCTGCTGCCCCTGACTTGTCTGTTGAAGTTCCGTATGCAGGTGGACAATATCCCTGGAACCCCAAGGGAACCACCGTCAAACTCTCCAACGGTGTCGTTTGGACAGCCTACATCAACCCTGCCGTTGCCGATGGCATGCCTGCCGGATCCGCCGTCACCACCAAAGAGGGTGGTCAAGAGCTCAACTGTTTTGCCTACCGTGGCCGTCCTGTCAGTGCTGCTCTCAACAAGACAGTCACCGACGATGCTGTTTGCCTGTCTGCCTTTGTCTGCAACCGCGACAAACAAGCTCCTCCTCGTCCAAGCGACATGAGCTCTCCTACCTCAACTTTGCAGACAAAACCCGCTCCTCCTGCCACCACTTTCATCTCAACTGCTCCTGCAACCCCTAGCCCTACTGGCGGCAATGAGCCACCACCTCCTGCCGACCCCAATGCTGGCAAGCTGTTTGTGAATGCTCTTGTCAGTCCTCGTTTCATCAACTGGCCCAACACCTGGCAAGCCTTCATTGAGAAGTTCTCCTGGGATCGACAGACTGGCAAATGTGTTGCTCAACCTGTCAAGGGAGACGGATACACCATCAACATCGATTGCGCTGGAATCCAGATCGATTCTGACTCCCACTTGACCCTTCTATTGATCAAGTCTCTCAGCGATCTTGGCATGAACAGCACTCTGTTCAACCAGAATCCCATTGTGCCCGGAAAGCGCAACGCAACTTCAGATCACTGGGTCGTCATGCCAGAAGCCTTCAGCCTCCAGGCTATTGATGTTGCTCATCAGAACACCGTTGGCTATCTCAGTTACAACACAAGCTACGACAACTTCCTGAGCGGGCCATGCGTTTCCTGCGACACCAAGAGGTTCGACACACAGTTTTTCAGCCCTATCCTGGCTGCTATGAAGGGCACCTACCCTCGCTACAACAGCTACAACGTTGAGGCCCAGTGCAGCCCCTGGATGGCATGCTTCTAAGGGCAGAGGTGGTGCATATGAACGACATGGTTCGACGATGGTATGTTGTATGTCTTATGAAGGGTAATGCGGTTCATTATGGACGAAAAGGGGATGTAATATTTGGTGTCCGATGTGGCATTGTCTTTGCTTTCGACATGTATTTCAATGGTTCGCTTTATTTTATGACGAGTCAGACTATGTTATTCGTTAGTTGATCGGCTTTCTGTACAGATATTTACTAGCAATGACGGAACAAACTCAACTCAAATCAGATGAATATCTCTCCATGTGAAGTCACCTGTGATGTGCTCCCCAAACATGGCACCATGGACGTACGCGTCGCCAACCACTTGAAAGCAACTGTCAGATGGACCCTTTCTTCGCAATACCAAAGGAGTAGCACAGCCTGAAACGATCATGATTCTGTCTCCAACTTCGGCGTGAAGGGGAACTAGACACAGGTAACCTCTGACAGTCCTTACGAGGCGTCTATTTGCAACGATGCTTATGCGTAATAGTGCTTCAAAATGAGCAGATGCTTTCTCCCAGGGAGTGAACTTATCCTGGTTCTCTGATTCGGTATTGACTCGGACGGCCGGGTCATGTCGTAAGCCCAACTCAAATAATAATGGTATCATGTCACTCGTTTTGGGCAGAGTATTAGTAGAATCCCGAGTATTGGCGAGTGTCCATAAGGGCTCCAAGGCATCGAATTGGTCATATATGGATGGGCTCCTAGACTGACGTGCGATCAATGCCTTGATAGTGATGAGAAGTATCCACTTAGAGAAGGATTCAGCAAGATGTGATGGCGCAGGACGTTGGGATTGATCGCTATCCATGATGAGAGTGCGCCAGAAGGCTTCAACGACGGGCTGGCCCGTAGGTATGTATGTTTTACCACAGTGAAGCAGCATCTTCATAGTGTTGTTGAAGTTGCCTTGACAAACATCAGACCATAGCTCGCCGAGTTCCTCTATGGAACCAAGATGAGGGCTCACGGCCTTGACGTTGAGACGATATAGGTCTCTGTCGATGGTGAAAACTGCCTCAGCACTAGCTGAAGCATCGAATTGTGGGAGTGTTGTATAGCTAGGACCTAAGACAGGGGCATGAACAAGGTCGAACGAGGGTATCCATGTTGGTAGGTTGGACGGTTTAGCTCGGCTGGCGATACCAGCGAGGGAGAGGAGATGAAGAGCTTTAGTATCTTCGAGAAAACTGATGCCGAGTTGAGTGAGAACAACGTCGTCGAAAGATTCATAGTCAATATTGAGATCCAAGCGAGGTCGTCCTTTGGCTTGGTTCATGTGATTGACAATGCCGATTAGGGAGTATACCCGATCTCGAGGAACAGTCGCTCTGAAACCGATGCTACTCAGCAGTAGTTCAAGTAACAGCCTTTTAGGGTGATCATCTTGTATGCCCACTGAGTAGTCGATGTTTCTTAAGAGGTCTTTGTAACGACTTTCTTTGTCTTGGCTCCATTGCCGGGTGACGTGGAGGTCTGAAGCATGGATGATGGATTGTATCAGAGGGATAGGTTGTAAGTCTGAGCCAACAGAGAATAAACCGACGAGAGCACCAGACATGTTGATTAAGCCTGCTGTATCGCCAACTGCATCCCAAGGAATCTCATGATGCCCGATGAGAACAGTTGCAGCTCGGGAGAGTGCGACCTCTTGAATCATCCACGTTCGACCGAACCAAGCTCTTGTGTAGATATCCCCAAGCGCCACCCAGTCATCCGCCGTAAGACCAGGAAGACCGTTCCTCTTCAACATTTCTGGATCATAAGCGATGAAGACATCGCCGTATGATTGGGTCTTTCCCCATTCGATGATCTTTGCCTCCGCGCCTTTAGCGATTTCCTGCACGATCTCAACAGATCTATTTGTCTTGTCCGTAGCGGTTCCAAGCCATACTACTGTCTCAAATGCGCCGTTGTAGATGTGATCCATTATAGCTACTTGGGCAGAACGCTCTGTTAGGTCTTGTTGGTTGATGCAGATGCCGTCGACCCAGTGGTAGTGGCCTGGTCTTGAGAGGCATAGTTGAGAGAGTGCATCGTAGAGATTTGGCTGGACAGTAAATGACTTGCCATCGAGCGTTATTGTATATCTCTTGTTAGGCGAGAAGGATGTATTCTTCACAGCGGGACCCCAAGTATACGAGAGGGCGAGATATGGTGGGCATTGGTCTAGGTAGAAGGTATGAAGAGTGATATTTGGGGATGAGCTTGAGCTTGAGTCGGGGAGGCGAATGAGACGGATTTGTTTGTTTGAGATTGTATCAATATAAGTGAAGCCGAACAGTCCTTGGAAGACGCTGCAAATCACTGTTGAAAACCTTTGCGATGCCGCAGTAATAAGACGATTGATACGTTGAAAGTTGATAACGAGAGCAACAATGGTAGCACTAGCTACAAGGTGAGACGACTGAACTCGAGTGAGTACCAGTAGTCGGTTACTGAGCCCGAGACTTAGCTTCATGGCGGTAAAAAGTCGTGATATGAACGAGGCATTTGAGCTGGGTTGTTGATGATGAGAGGGTTAGCTGAAGATGAGAGCGAGATACGCCGCATGAGGTGACAGGGGTCTGGCGTTCGAGCTAAAACGTTGATAGCCTAACTGTTGAAGACAAGTATCTCACGATATCCAATATGGCATCGAAATAACTAAAAATACTCTTTCATAGTTTTGGAAGTAAAAGCTTAATTGTATAGAAGAGCCTAAGGCCTCATCTGGGCAGGCCTCTTTGCGAGACGTATCTATCTATTTCTCGTCATGGTAACAGAATATCTCCTTCTAAACACCCTTGCCGCGCCTGAATCTTTGCGTAAACGTCGAGTGGTAGCCAGTCATGGAATTACCATACTGATGGCCATTCTGTCTATGCATCCGAGCCATCCGTGTAGTAGTCGAACTGCTTCGGCACCGGTACATCCTTTCCGCCTGGTGTATCTGGATCGACATCTCGGATCTTCTTTGTAGGTTGTTCTGTAACAGCCGGCGCTTGTTGTGTCGGCACTGGATCCGAGAGAATATGCCCTCTCAACAACTTGGTCATCTCCCTCGCCCACTCCCAAGGCCTCTCCTTTCCACCAGGCAAGCTGTTAAAATACTCCCAACCCATCACACCACCAAATTTCCCATACCGTCCCCGCAACGTCGTAAGCACCATGTTGAGAGGATTAAACGGCACGTAACCGTGTCCATTCTCAGGATTGGTGACGAGTCCGATGACGATCTTCTCTGGCGGCCAGCCCTTCTGGACCATGAGATCGTACATTAGGGGATTGCTGCAGTCGCCCCAGCCGCAGTAGAATTGGGTGTTGTACCAGGCGATGTCGCGACCGCGCATAACTTCTAGAGCTTCGTAGTCGAAACCGCTGAGGTTCTTGGTGAAGTCGAGAAGAGACATTGCAACGGGTGCGAGGGTGATGATGAAACTTGGACCAAAGTCGCTGCGTAGACGATCGATCAAACGCACGATTCCTCCCAGGGACATTTCTTCCTCAACATCCAGATCCAACCCATCGAGTGCCCTCTCTCGAATCATATCCCTCACAGGACCATAATACCGATCAAACTGGTCCTGATCAGCATCCAACTTGGCATAGCTGCCCTTACAAGCACCGCCCAACATGCCCATAACCTTAACGCCCGAAGCTTGTAGAATACGTAGCTCTGCCCACATGGTCTGGAAGATAGCGTGAGACGGGTGATAATCGTTCAGCGTTATCTTTTCAGGGTCATCGTTTATGTGGATGGCGGCGACAATGACGTGAGTGATGGCGATATTTGGTTGTGTGATGAGGGGCAGAGGAGAGATGAGGTTGCCTGAGGAGTCATGATGGGTTTGGTAGTATGTTACCAGTCGGGGGAGAGGGTTTGCTGATGGTGGTAGAGGAGGCATGATGTGGCCTTTTTGGGAGTTGAAGTTGTTGATGAGAGAAGTTAAGCTGGGGAGCTTGGAGGTTGTGGTGGTTAAGCTGAGCTGTAAGCTTTGGTGGAGCTTGAAGCCTAATTCAGCAGCTATTCAGCCACTAACAAGACACTGAATCAAGAACGAATATTCCAAATCAACATTTCATTGTCGACTATAACAAATATTAAGCTAATTACTAGGGTATCATTCTTAAAAATTCTGGACTCGAGCCTGTTCCTTTTCCAAATCCTTGACTCTAACCTTCTTACCTACACATCGTCCAGGATGCCAAATAGCAAAGAGCATAACAGCCAATGCAATAGGAGCAAACTCAAGACAAGCAAAGTAAATCTCGTTCGAGTACAACTTTCCTCCAAGACCCTCAGCAGTTTCTGCAAGACGAAAGATGGTTCGCAGATAAACCATGATAGTAGCCACTGCAAAAGCGACACAGAAGATACTGAGTTTCTTTCCACGACCACTAACCTCTCTTCGAGCGCGGAAGAGGAATGTTGCTGAGAGGATAACGAAGATAGTCATAGCAAAGACCTGATAGGCCAAACCTCCGAGAAGAATGTTATTCGCAACAGTAGGATCTTGACGGTTCGACTGTCTCACTCCAATAAGAGCAGCACCCGTAACCTGAACAACCGTAGCAATAACATCAGAAGTAATAAAGAACCAAAGGATAAACTTAGGCGGCGCAAGAGAATATCGTCGTCCCAATCTCGGAATCAGTGCTGAAAGAATCGTGTACACGCCTGCAGCAAGGAACACAGGTGCCGTGACGATGAAGAAGTAGTTAAGGATAAAGTACAGCAGATGATAAGGATCTTTCTTTGCTGAGAGGGACCGAGCGATGTATCCGACGATTTCGAAGAGGAGACCGATTGGAAAGGTAATAAAGTACCAGCTGCGATATTTGATGTTTTGGAAGAGGTGGATTATCATGAAGAGGGCGAACCAAGCTGCTGCGAATACGGCGAGGGAGAATGCTGGAGTGTAGCCATAGATGATGATAGGTGTATCCCATTTGTCGTTTGGGTTTGGAAAGTTGGGGTCAACATAGCCATCAATAGGCGGACGACCTATAATCTATCTGTTAGTATAAGTTGTCTCTATATTGAGGTTCTATTCATACCGTTTGAGCTGCTCATATTGAAGTGAAGATCAAAAGCTAGTACTCGATAATCACAAGAGTCTACAATGCAACATCATCCAGGTTACCCTCGGATCTTTAAATCCTTCAAGGACCCTTCAAACTGTCTTAAACACCCTTATTTTCAAGCTTCAATAGAACCCCTGGTACTAGCCAAAGTCATGAATCATCATTTTTGTGCTGGCCTCATACTAGAGCTTTCTATATGGATTGAACCAACGCCCATGTTCAGGGGTCTAACGAACTACCTAAACGATAATTGAATGGATAATCGTTTACAAGTCAATCAGCAACCGTTTCCATGACGATTTGGTTCCCTTTTTGGGTGCAGCCTCTGGGTCTTGTTCACATGTAATGTCTTCAACAGACACTAAAGGGAATGGTTCAGTGCGCTTTGACCACTGTCAGTTATCCTTGGCATTGTGTCATTAACTGTCAAATTAAGCGACCGTTGCCGAAAAGACGAATCATTGAAGTCAATTCTTTAGCGAATGCGAAGTTGAAGATTTGAAGATGCTGAGCAATTCTATTGTGGACTTTGAGAACATTCTATAAGCCGAGATCCGAGTCTATGTCTATGATTTGATCAAGTCATCGCCTACAACCTCCTCAAAGATACTCTGTCGAATCTTTTGCAACTCCGTCCTCGCTTCCTCCATCTCCTCTCCCTTGCGCTTCAACTCCTTGGACAAATAATATCTCTTCTCCTTTGCTTCACTCAAACAATTCTCCAAAGCAGCTGTACATCGAGCTACTTCTTGTCGACCACCTGTGACATCCACTTTTCCCCAGACTTCACCCAAATTGGATGTAACCTCCATAGTACGTGGGTTAGCCTCGGGAGGAAGCCTGATAACGTCTGAACCGAGCTGCACCAGCTGATCGACCGTCGTCTTGCTCTGCTGAATGAGTTCTCTTCCCTGATTTAGGGAGCGGATGGAATTCATGTCTCCTGACTGAAGAGCCTTTTCTACTTGCTGGAGACCAGCTGACATTGTCGCTGTTGATTGCTCAAGAAGATCTAGCGCTTTTTGGTGTAGTTCATAGGCTGACTTTGTAGAGACATATGTAGACAAGGCAGCATCGCTTCGTCGCTCCTTTTCATCCTCCTCTGGGAAATCAGGCGTTGGGCCGGAGAAGATATCGTCGTAAATGTCGTCCAGTTGCTTCTGAAGATCAAGATAATACTGCATGCTCTGGTCAAGCTCCCTCTTCTTCGCGAGCTCTTCTTCCAACTTTGCCTTGATACTTGAGTTGTGTTCTGCCGCGTGATGCGCCTGTTGAAGCGTGTTGTGATAATTCTGCTCTTCCTTCTCAGCCTGCCCTGTAAATGAATTCTCTTTACCGCCGATCTTGTAAAGAAATTTCATAGCATGGCCATCGCGGTACTTTTTATGTGACTCAAAGTCAGCTAGACGCTTGCGATCTAATCCTTCGAGTTCCCTGTTTGAGTCTGCTAGCTGTGACTCAAGGTCTGTGACGACCTTTTGTTGTAGAGCAACATCGTCGCGGATATGTTTTGTCTGCTCTAGAAGGTTCAATAGTTCCGAAGTCCTGGGGAAAGCCTCTCGTATTGAGTTCTTGATATTGGACATTTGAACGTGAGAGGTATCTTGGCCATTAGAGCCGAATGCTGGTGGTGGGTTGTAATCCATAACTGCTGTCATGTTGGAGTAAAGTGAAATTGGAGTAATTGAGATTCAGCAACTAATAACAAGCTACCATGTGAAGAACTCGTCAGATGATATATGGGGTATCAGATGATGTAGTCAATAGAGCGTATAGCAACTGGAACTGATATAGCCGTAGAGTAATCACTTGACTTGGAAGAGTCGGTTCAACTTGACGAGATGGAAGAATCTTATACATAAACCAACAGGAACAAAGTCCTACATAAGAAGGCGGCGGCTACCGCGCAATAAGAAGCAACTTGAACTTATCAGGCATCTTAAGACATGAATCGAACAGTGCAGAAGGATTTCCCTATCACATTCACGTTCCCACGTAAAAACCTCAATAAAATTGGAGCAACATCGTCACTTTTTCCCATCTGAGGCAAGAAAAGGTTTGAAAGAACCACTAGTGATCGACAACGGCTTTCCAAGCTTGTAAGGCTGATGTGCTGATGCTGGTAGCGAATGAGTCGTAAGGCACTGTAAGGTGTGGTACATGGATGCTTAATGAGGCAAACCGTTATTTACTGTACTGGGACTTCCGTAATTTGCCGGTCCTTTGCCGCGAAAACGGAAGCCTTCCCTGTTTGTTCCACTGAGTGAGTGACCTAACGTAGGTACCTGCTGTACCCAGGGCAAGCTCCATCACCAATTCAACTCGCCATCGCCAATCATTTCATCAAGGCCAAATAAATGGCTTCGTCGAGAGCCCGTTTGCCTCGCGCAGGCAAACTAGGCGCTTTACTGCAATCTCCGAAACCTTCAATATGTCCATTTTGCTCCATCACATCATCTGCCCGCCCACGAATACGGACCCGTCGCGATGCCCTCGCAAAACGCTTCGCTTCCACCTCTACGAACGCACGTGCCGAGCTTGAACAGCACCTCCTCGATATTCAGAAACTCGCACCTTCGCTGGTGAATCTTTCAAGATTACAATTGGCTCTTCAAGGTCTGCGACAAATACCAGGTCAAGAAGCTGTCAGGGTTGCAATTTTGGGACTGGCTCCGGGTTCCGATGCGGGACAGAGAGCAAAGGATGTGTTGAGGGTGCTCATGACGGATCCGTTGCAGGATGAGCAGGACTGGGAGCGCCAATTGAAGGATCATGACCCGAAGAACCCTCTTATTGTCCGAATCCGATCTACCGAAGAGCAGCAGAGTACTTTGACTGTCGCCAAATCGAGTTTTCTCAGCGAGGTGAATGTTTCGTCTGCCGAATGGAACAGTCTTAACCTGGAGCTGCTGTTTATGGAGACACATCTGCCCGAATTTGCCAGAGATGAGAAAACGAGAGCTATCGAGGTGGAGGAGTCTGTTCTTGTTCCGAAGGTCGCTATTCCTTCAGCCGAGCATCGAGTAACGCCAGTGACTACTCCAGTGCACCGGGCAATTCTGGTTGGTGATGGTTTCAACGGAGCTGTCAGCGTCACATCAGTACCAGCCGAAGGAGAGGACTCGGTACTCAAAGTGGTGGATTTAAAGGGCGTTGATCCCAAGCAGCTCGATGCACCATTCGAGACCGTTAACGTATCCGCCGCGGACAAGGGCCTATCCCTTTTCCGTAAGAGCTCAAGCAACGCCATCCAGTATGAGCGACTTTGGTTCGACAGCAACATCCCCGCATTAACGACATGGCTCAAGTCAGGCGTCAGCTCTGCAGACGAGACTACAAAGCCTGCAGTACGAGGATTGATCTCTTCGCTACTAAACAACGTCTTGGCAAGATGCGAGCTTGAAAACCGCCGCGAAATCAAGCACATCTATCAAGAGGAGGCCCCCGTTGGTGAAGAGCCTGCTTTCTCTCCTAGTCTGAACCGAGCAGTGGGTGAATGGTCACAAAATGCACATGCCGAGCTACAAGATGAGCTTGATTTGGCGTTTACGGGCCGAAGATGGCGGAAGCTGGGATGGTGGCAACTGTTCTTGAGAGTGGATGATGTCGCTATGCTCACGAATGAGATGCTGAACCAGAGATTTCTACCTACAGCAGAGCGAGAGCTCGTCTACCTCGCTGGTCAGATTGCTCAAGCTGCAAATGCTGATCAGAAATATCCTCAACCATACTCTGCCGGCCGCCCAAACCATGACCTAAAGCAGCTTACTTCAGGGGAGTTGGAACCCTTCGTGTCAGCCGACACTCGTCCAGGACTACCAAAGTGGCCTGGTCATATCGCCTTTACGCGACGATACCTACAGAATGAGACTGTTCCAGCGCTGCAGGCCTTGGCTCAAAGGCTTGTCGTCCAGTCTCTCGGTACTTCCGGCCTTACCACCTCCCTTGGAGTCCTCGTCTACCTCTCCGACTTCTCCATCTTCGAGGCCGGCGCTGTAGCAGCACTAGGAGTAGCATGGAGTGCCAGTCGCCTACAGAAGAAGTGGGATGCCGCGCGCTCATTCTGGGAGGGCGAAGTCCGCGAGGAGGGACGTAAAGCTCTTCGAGGTGTCGAAGAGAGTGTTGCAGTTGTCACCAACAGCGAGAAACCACAAGAACGTGTGGTTGTAGACCAAAAGGGGGATGAGCTTATCGAGATCCGAGAACTCGTGGCCAAGGCTCAAGAAGCTCTTGGACGCATGAAGTAAAAAGGAGAAACCTGTACATTAAAACGAACGTGAAAAAGCACCTGAGACGATATAATAGATGGTGACGAGATACCAGGCGTAACAGACGCCTCTTTTTTTTGTAATCTAGTCAAATCTCAAAGAACTCACGAGGGCATGCGTTTCCTCGTTGAGCTTTACCGCCATATCCCTCCACATCTAGACTGGTATCACACCGAAGCCTGCTTTCTCTTCTTCATTTTGACCAAGAATATAAAACCCCTCCTTCGTTTGAAGCTTTCATGAAAAATCCAAATAAGCCTGAACGCCAAAAACACGCATTTGTCTTCTCTATTAATCATTCTTCTAGGCGATTTATGATTTATCGTCCTCCTCGACCGCCTGCACGCGCTCGGCTGACTGTTGCGCGACCTCGAGCGAGACCGACACCGCGGCCGCGGACGTTGCGGCTGCGGAACATGGGCGCGTTTCGGAGCATGTCGGGGACGATGAAGAAGCGTACGTGGGAGCCGCGGATGTAGACCTGGTCGAGATGGGAGACGCGGCCGTCGCGGGCGGTGACGGTGATGTCCTTGAGTTGGACGTTCATGTTGTCCTCAGCTGTGAAATGTTAGCAAGTCCGTACCCAATGAAGCATGTCCAAAGATCACAAGGGGACGAGCGTACCATCGAGAAGCTTGCCGCGGTAAGTCTGACCAGAGGTGATTTCGAGGGTAACGATGTGGCCCTGCAAGAACGAGTTAGCTGCGATTCCTCCCAATTTAGATACCCAGCAAGAAAGTACGGACCTGCGCCTCGTTCAGGAGCTTGATAGGAATACCGATTGTGGAAGTCATGGTTGCGGGTTTGTGAGTATCGTGTTGTCGCGTGTAGACGAGGCCGAGGCTGAGCTGGAGCTTGGTATATCTTGAAAATTGGCGAGGCTTGGTGGTTGAGCGACGAATCGGTGGAGAAGAGTTGATCCGGCCGGAAGTTTGGTGTCAAGGTGGCACTGTGTTGATTGCCTCGAACTTAGGTTTTCTAGAGCAAAGTCGTTGGTCAGTTCAAGATTCCCAAGTATTTAATTTTTAAAATACCATGAATACTCTAAAGTCAACAGTCTGTAAGTTTATTCTTGCTTCTTGAAATAGAAGTGCGATATGGGAATTGGTGATCTGGATCATGAGAGAAATTGTTTGGCTTATTTGGGCTTCTAAGACACTCACAGTGCGTAACACTTTACACCATGAGATGAGATATCTTCAGCTTCAATTATACCAAATGACATTATCTTCCAATTCTGCAATTATTGTTCTAAACTCCATGAAAATCACAAATACCACCGACTGTCTCATATGAAACTAACCGCATTACAGACCATCTAACCATTTATTAACCTTGACCTTATTACTGACCTGCTTCGTCTTTCCCTTATCGACCTCTAACTTCTTGCCATGCTTCTTCTTATCCTTATGCTTCTTTGGGGTTGTTGATCTTCGCTTAAGTTGAGTCGGACTCGTTACAACCACAAGTGCTTCTGATGTATCTGCCTCTGTCTGCAATGCACCGCTCATCAATAAGCTAGCATCCGGTAATGTCTCGGCAATAGCAACCTCATCAGTTGTGGGGTCAGATGCTTCTTGTAAAGGTACTGATGGATTGTCTGTCGTTGGTGTCGTTGCAGTAGAGCACGTTGAAAGCTCTGGGGCTTGACTGGGAAGACTTTGGCTTGCAGGATCCTCAACGGCAGCGGATTGGTAGTGAATGTATCCGCCCCGGACATTGGGAACAAACCAATCCTTACCGGTAGGCCGTATTGATGAGATATCTTCTAATGATATATATCGAGCTCGATAGTAGTACAGTCCCGTATCATGAAGGGCCCATTTTGACCATCGTGAACCTCTGTGTGATGGCTCAATCTGCTTGGTGGCTGTCTTTGGGTGTTGCAGGTCATGCGTGAGTTGTCTATCGTTAACCATTGTGAGAATGCGGCGGATACCAATTTAGAACAAAATGAACACGAGACCCGGAAGCGTCGAGCAGATATAATTCAAGGATCGCCCTTCGAGCAAAGAACGTCTGCATCAGACCAAAAATCCAAGGTTCGCATATCTATCCAACATATATCCTCACCCGACAGCCTCACTCTGGTCGCTGGGTGCCGAAAGGAAGCCCGCATGCATCAGAAACACAAATTTCGACCTCTTGTGTCGCCAGGAACTCCTGGGCCGTCAAGGCATGATCGATAGGCGCCTGATTGGGTACTAAATGAGCCAATATTCCATCTAGTTGGTCAAAGCATCTGGAAGGCGTATTTGTGAAAGCTATAAGCGTTGGACAGGTGTCACTGCATCTGCCAATTGAAGAGCTGCACTTTGACTAGACCTGCGAGGTTCCTGATCTGGTAAAATGAGCATGGCCTCAGCCAAGGCCGCCTTGTCAGCTGCCTATCGCGTGCGGCGCGACTTCAACCCACGAATAGCTTATTGAAAGTATGAGGCTCTTTGGGCATCAGGGATTTGTGATTGAGAATTGATATCACGATTCAAAGTAGACGAAATCACAACTGGCTGAGCAGAATGTAACCCAATTGATCGCTTAAGGCGCAGATTGGCTCCGAGAAATCGATATGTTTGAACTTACAACCCGCTTATCAGCGGATCACCTCATTATTGCGTTTCTGTCGTCTCCTCGGCAGCTCCCTCTTTCTGGGTATCATTTTCCTGCTCCTGCTTCTGCTTCTTCCTTGCCGCAAGCTTCTCCCGTGTCTGTTGCTTACGAGCCTGTCTGTTGAGGCTTCCAATCACTCCACCAGACTCTTGTCCGCATGGCCACTTTGCGAAAGCAGCTGCCTCATCCTCCTCTGTCCACTCTCTAGGCAGGACAGCAAAAGTGAGATATGATGTGTGAGTCTTGAGATCCGTCTCGGGTCTATGGTAGAGGTTTCCAGCCATCCAGGGCTTTACATCATCTTCAGCGACCTTTCCGTTGCTCTTGGAGGAGTTCGACTTTGGTGTGTCAATGTCCATTGCTGAAGAGTCGTCTTCGGTGTTTGTTGACTTGAAAGCAACCTTGTGGAATTCTTTCGTTTTTCGGTTAATTTCTTTGAGCCTTTGCATAGCCTCCTTAACGTCTGCTGGTGCTTGAACATTACCCCTTTCAGCGGGAAGGTTTGCTCCGACTCGCTCACGGATAGTGTTGATACGTCGGGCAGAAATCTCCACCATATCAATATCTGTCCAGCCCAAGAGTCGCATTTCCTCGATTGTTCGGGTGACTTGCTCTATACAAGGTGAGAAAGTGCAAATATGAACACTCCTCTTAGGGTCAAGGGGTGAGACCCAGTTCTCCTCGTTCTTGAGCTTTTCAGGTCTTTGTCGGGAAAGGTGGTGAAGAGCTTCCCATGGCGCGGGCAAATCGAGAAAGACTGAAGTAGCCAAAGGAGACTTTCCATCCACATTGAAACCATCTCCGTAGACATCACGGTGTGTCAATTGCACAACACCATCCAGCTTGTGCTCGTGAATCTCTTCCTGCATCTTCTGGTATCGTGGTTCGTGGTACTCGAAGCTGTAAACCTTTCCTTTTCGGTCACTATCATCCTTGGGGTAGCCATTGTATACAGCTCGAGCAGAGGCGTGTGTGAAACTTCCACTACCTGCACCTGCTTCAATAATGCGAGTGCCAGGAACCGCTCGTATTCTCTGCAGGATGTAACTGTAATCGGGGGTATACACGACCTGAGTTCGATGGGGTAGACTGCTCGTCCAAAGCTCGGGTGTCGGTCGAAGAATATGAATGAAGCCACTTGCCGCAGCAACGGCCTTCTTTGCAGGCTTGGATGTTACATCTGTAACTTCCTCGTCTGGGCCAGTCGTCGTTGGCGTATCGTCGTCTGTCGCTTCACGGCGGCGCTTTCGTCCTCTTGATCCAGTATCAACATTTGATGCGCGAACTTGAGATCCCCATGGAATATTGAGTAGCGTAGAGTGAGGGAACGATCCGAATCGTGTATTAAGGGTTGCGCCTTCAAGATAACCATCAACTGCGCCAGTCGATTCCTCGAGGGTGACGGGTTGGAGGTTGTCGCGTGAGAGAAGAACAATTGCCAGGTCACCGGTAGAGGTGGTAGGACCTGGCTCGAGGAAAGGCGACGGTGTAGCCATTGATGCGATGGCACGTCCAAGCGTGTCTATTAAGATCGAGGTGGTTTTGGTAGGATGAAGATTTTCAGACGAGGCAGGAAAATATTTCCAGAATACAGCGCGAGGCTGAACGGATTAGCGTTGGCCCCACTGAAAACTTAGTGAGGGGCATCCAATATGACGCTAAAAATGAACTATTGATCAGGCTATTGGAGAATGTTCGCGGGGACGTTAGGTGTGCTTCCCTGTAGCTCCCCTGTAGCTCAGGCCCTTGCTTGGAAAACTGATTGATGGCGTCTTTCTCTCCCTTTGACTCGACTGTGACTCAAAGCCTCGCTGTATTGTAGACATTTGTCTTCTAAGGTCCCTTGTCTTGCATATACACCTCCTTTCCTCCCTCTTACGATACCCCTTTCTCTCTTTCTCTTTCCTTCTCACTCTTTTCCATTCGTCTTTCTCTTTGGCGTCTGGATGAATCTCTTGCGACAACGTCTTCCAATTCGATCTAAAATCCCCACTCCATTCTCAGCCCGACTGCGACCCCTCCATCGACTGTATTCGTCTCTATCCAGCTCCAACACGAGCACAATGGAGTCGCTAAAGCTTTACAACTCGCTCAAGCCTGGCGCTCCAGTGCCTTTTGTCCCTATTGAGAAGGGCAAGGTCTCTTGGTACGCTTGCGGTCCTACTGTATATGACAAGAGTCACTTGGGTCATGCTCGCAACTATGTCTCGACAGACATTATTCGTCGTATTCTGATGCACTACTTTGGCTTCGACGTCAACTTTGTCATGAACATTACCGACATTGACGACAAGGTATGATAGTATGCCAGGCATCTTGCGACTTGTCTAAACCTCGACAGATTATCATCAAGGCCCGAAGACAACGATTGCTCGAACTCGAAAAGAACAAGAACTATTCCAAGGACGAACTCCGAGACCTTGCTCTGTCTGCTTTCCGAGCGTACGCAAAGAGCAGTCTGCCCCTGCTACTCAAGGATGGAGAGGAAATCAACGAAACCAACTATGCCCAGCGAAGAGAGGCAGGATATGGACATGTGCTTGCAGGTGGTACCATTTCTGGCGAGGGCAAGCCTGGAGACGACGAGGCCAAGGTCAAGATGCATCTCAGCAACATGACTGCTGCTGCTGAAGCTATTTCTTCAGGAGAGATCTTCCCTGGTACCGATGAGATCCTGCTGCCCTACCTTGACTCGCTATACAAGGAGACTATCGACACCCGCGATCAGACCATGTTCACAGATCTGACCCAGAGCATGGAGAAGCTATTTATGGACGATATGGATGCGCTTAACGTCCTCCGACCCAGTGTTATTACCCGTGTTACCGAATACGTCCCTCAAATTGCCGACTTTGTCAAGACAATTGTCGACAAGGGATTTGCATACGAGGCCGATGGTTCAGTCTACTTTGATATCTCTGCATTCGAGAAGGCCGGAAACACCTACGCAAGACTGCGTCCTGACAACCGAAACGACAAGTCTCTTCAAGAGGAGGGTGAGGGATCCCTTTCCAAGGGCCTCAGCGGAAAGAAGAACCCCGGCGATTTCGCTTTGTGGAAGAAGTCCAAGGCTGGTGAGCCATTCTGGCCCAGTCCTTGGGGTGATGGCCGTCCTGGATGGCACATTGAGTACGTCTAATTCATTGAACCGTGGTGCTGAAGCTAATGATAAAAGGTGCTCCGTGATGGCAGGCTGTGTTTTGGGACCTATCATGGATATTCACTCCGGTGGTATCGATCTTGCATTCCCCCATCATGACAACGAATTGGCACAGAGTGAGGCTTACTTCTGCGAGCACGGTAAGGGTGAGCACACATGGGTCAACTACTTCCTCCACATGGGACATTTGTCTATCTCTGGTTCCAAGATGTCCAAGTCTCTCAAGAACTTCCAGACCATTCAGGATGCGCTTGCTACAACCTACTCTTCGCGAGGCATGCGAATTGTGTTCCTCATGGGTCGATGGAATGATGGTGTTGAGATCTCACCCGATATGAGATTGCAAGCTGACAACTGGGAGGCTACCATCAGCGTGAGTATGACTCAGCTCGTATTTGATCAATACTAACATCAGATAGAACTTCTTCATCAATGCCAAGGCTTTGCTCGCCGAGGCTGGCATCACATATGGAGTCAAGTCAATGTCTCTGAATGCCGATGGCAAGTCAAGTGAGGGTCTTTCGGCTGAGCTTGAGCAAGCCAAGCAAGACTTTGAGGCTGCCATGACCAACTCGTTCGATACGCCAAAGGCCATGTCTGTTATTCTCAAGCTGGTCAACACTGCCAATGTTCATGTGAGAGACAACAAGGATGCCGATCTTGTCGGTCTTGAGTCTATTGGTCGATGGATCACCAAGATGGTTGGCATCTTCGGTCTCGACTCCAATGCTTCACCCCCATATGAGGGTCTTGGCTGGGCTACAACTATCGCCTCTGATGTTGAGCCCAAGACGGCCGTTCAGCCTTATGCTGATGCCTTTGCTAAGATCAAGTCAGATGTTTCTAGCCTTTCTCTTGAGAGTGAAGAGATCTCTTCATTGCTTGAGCAAAACCCCACCGCTGAGTTCGAGTCGATCGCAGCCGGTGGCTCGCGCGATCCTGAGCGATTGGCCATGCCTTATCTTCGCGCCGCTTCTAAGCTTCGAGATGAGCTTCGTCGCATCGTTGGTAACCAATCACCTGACACCAAGAAGGCCATCCTCGCTTTGACCGATCGTATTCGTGACGAGGATCTCACAAACCTCGGCGTCTACCTCGACGACAGAACCGATGCAGCCTCTCTGATCAAGTTCATCCCAGCTACTGAGCTGATTGCCGCTCGTGAAGAGAAGGTCGCCCAGGCTGCTGAGAAGGCACGAAAGAAGGAAGAGGCCCGTCTTGCCCGCGAGAAGGCTGACCAAGAAGCCCGTGAAAAGGCAAAGGTCCGACCTGAGGATATGTTCAAGGGTGATGAGAGATATAGTGCTTGGGATGAGCAAGGAATGCCCACCAAGATGAAGGATGGAAGCGACGTGCCCAAGAGTCAGCTCAAGACTTTGAAAAAGCAGTGGGATAGACAGAAGAAGGCTCATGATGATCTCAAGGCCAAGGGACTATTGTAGATGTTAGACGGAGATTATCTAGTATCTAGAAAGAGGAGTAGGGGGATGAAAATAAAAGCGCTTCAAGAGTTGATCATCGTAATTGGCTCCTTATATGGATTGCTTTATACGTCTGTGTTTGACTTGCGAGCTCAATGTTCGTAGACGGAGAGACATTCAACCGGTATCTCAGTTGGTTATTAATTAAGTGTACTTCAGTCATCGGCTTAATTGAGATTCCACCAATTTGGCAAAGCAAGTGTCGAGCTTTAGTTGTTCAACTTTTGATCAATTATTAGGATATCATTAGAGAATTCATAGACTAGAGTACAGTTCTGTGCCTTTATTTAGAGGCCTCCTTCTTGGCATTTCCAGCGATCTCCTGGGCCTTCTCAGACTTCTTCTCCAACACTTGTCGCAGCTCCTCGACGGTCTCCTTGAAGAGCTTCTCACCCTCCTCCTTGTGCTCGGAGGCGACCTCGCTCAGCTGCTGGAGCTTCTCCATGACCTCTCCACCGTTGGGGATCTCCTTGATGTACTTCTCAATGTCGACCCAGCCGCCAGTGAGCGAGTTACCCTTGGACTTGGCCTTCTCTGCGGCGTCCTTGACGTACTTCTGCAGATCGCCCATGTCACCAGAGTCGGCAGCGGACTTGGCGCGCTTGAAGAGCTCGGTTGCGTTACCCTGCTTCAGAGCATCGGCGTTCTTCTCGATGAGCTCCTTGATCTTGGGGTTCTTGTCAAGGTAGGGCTTGGCTTCCTCCCAACCCTTCTTCCAGGCCTTATCACCGAGCTTCTTGATCTCCTCAACCTTCTCCTCGATGAGCTTGCGGGCCTTGGAAATGCTGGCGGCGCTGAAGCCACCGGCGAAGATATCCTTGACCTGCTTCCAGGTCTCGTCAACCTGCTTCTTAGCCTCGGGGCCGTACTTGTCACCAAGCTCCTTCAGCTGATCGACGTTGCCGCCGAGCTTCTCCTTGACTTGAGGGTGGTTGTCGATAATGTCCCCAATGGCGTCACCAGCGAGGTTGGCGACCTTCTTGCCGAGGTCAGCGAGGACATCGAAAGCCTTAGAGGCAGTCTCCATGCTGAGACCGGACTTTGACAAGTCCTGGAACTGCTTGTAGGCATCGTTGACAAGCTTGTCGGCCTCATCTTTGTTGTTCTCGCGAACCTTCTCCCAGTCCTGGAAGGCAGCATCGACGTAGGCTCGGCCACCAGGGATCCAGCCAACGTAGGAGTATGCGTACTCCTTGATATAGTTGACGGCCTGGTCGGCATCGGGTGCCTTCTCTTGGAGCTTCTTTGCGGCAGCGTCATACTTCCTCTGAGCCTCCAAAGCGACCTTGTTCACACTTGAAACTGCGCGTCCGGCAGGTGTGTAAGAGTAGATACCGTAGAAGAGAGCTGAACCGACGAAACCACCAGCAATGCCTGATGCGAGGTGCGTGCTGCTCGAAGATGATGAGGAAGATGTGGTAGACTGGAAGCGAACATTGCGAGTGGCGCGTGTCGCACGAGCGGCGCGAGGCACGCTTGATCGGATGATAGGACGAGCAGAAAGCATTGTGTCGGTATTAGTTGTGAGAGGTGAGGATGAGTGAGAAGTGAATTAGATTGAGAGGAAGAAAGATGAGAAGGGACTTTATGATAATGAGGGGAAGAGAAAGGTTAAAGATGGCATTTTTACAGCAACGTAAATATTGTTTGCGGGTAGCTAAGGAATGACGTACGTAAACCATCAGATGCAAACAATTGGAGAGTCAAAAGCTCCTCATAGCTTCAGGACCAAAGCTCCGGAAAGGTGACGTCAATGACGCTCATATGCGGACATTGCGGGGGGGATTCCAGAATTGGCGTTCTCCACGTGAGACAAGAGGTTCGTGAATTGTCCAACCACCTTCTTTTGTTCTGTTTAGAGATCGAGATCAGATTCAATCCTTGTCGCAGCTCAATTGGGTTCCTGGAAGATCAGGGGCTACTATTACATAGACGGGGACAACGTTGACGGGCTGAGCCGTCGAATGTTACGTCACGACTAGTTATGACACCAGATGCACTAACAAGCAAGCTCTACTTTACAATTACCAAGGTTAATATCGGATGTACGACAATGAGCCGCTTGTTCTTGAAGAGTTTCTCGGAATAGACCCCGGTATGCTAAGTCTGGATCTTTCTAGCGGTTTCGTGGCGTGTAGTCGTTGGCAAGCCAATGATCAACCAGGTTGCTGTCACTCCGTCCTCATCTTCTCTGATGGCTCAACTGTGCAACTTCCAATTACTATTTAATTAAACACCTAATGGATGAAGCAAGATGATTCCTATTCCGGGAGTTGACCAAGAAATTCAAGCATTTAAGATCATGGCGATGCAGGTGCTAGAATCGGGGCATCAATGAGATTTGTTACTGGCCTCGCAACTACCCTAAAGTACGCGACAACATCATGAGATTATGCCTTCTACAGTATGGCTCACTTCCCGATTATGTTCATTATCACAAATAAAATGCCAACGTTTTTCTCAAATGGTCATCATGTCATTGCTCTACATATGGTGGTCGCCGACAGCTAAACGTAGACACGCGACAATATAGACTAGAGTACAACCGCATCCACATACAACCAGCTTTTGGCAGAACTCCGCTTCCAAACATCTTAGCGGTAAGCTTTCCGATTAATCCAAATACTCTCTGAAGTATCGCTGACTGAGTGCGAGGTAGAGATCAACCGCAGTCTCCTTGCTCAACTTGCGAACACGGTCGCGAATATCAGCCTTCACCTGCAACTTCTTGCCCCTGGGGTCTTGAGCAGCGTTCCGAAAGCTCTGCGCCATGCCAGGGGTCACATCGCTGCGCTCAACTGTGGGCTTTCGTTCATGGTTGGGATGGGTGAGGTAATAAACGAAGTAGTTAAGCAGGACATCATAGTCAGCCAGCTCCTCAGCCTCTTGAGCCAGCTTAAGACGTTCGATCTCATGCCCTTTAGCGTTGTTCGCGGTAAATGAATCATGTTCGGCCGACTGCTTAGAGCTTCGCTCAGAAGATGAGGAAGACGAGGCAGGTGAATCGTCTTTACCGGAGGGCGCAGAACCACGTACTTCAGGCTGGCGGTCTGCCGGAGAGGGGGAATCGATCTTGCTTGATGATCCAAAGCTTCGTTCCTCAGATTCTTCAAAAGACGAAGAGAATGGACTACTGCCGTCCGGTACAGCGATTGCGGCGAGGCGCGGGTTGGCCAGCGAATCCCATACAGTTGCATTGTTAGGACGTTGGCTGTTGTTGCCAGTGTCTTCCGGAGCTTGGGCTTGCTCAGGAGACTCGGACCCGAACTCTATCTCGAGGCGAGCAACCTTGGCCGTGCTTGGAACGATGATCTTGGGAGGAGAATCCTCTACCTTTCCCTTTCCACGTCGTGGGTCCCATGCGTTCCGCATCGTAGTAGGACGCTTTGCAAAGATCGACCCTCCATTGTCATCATAGGGAGGTTGGTATCCTTGCCACATCTGGATAACCATCTGCTTGAGTTCGGAGATCTGGGCGCTCAATCTGGCGATGTCTTCTCGGGAAGCTTCGTTCATGGGTTCCTGCTAGTTTATTTAGTATGGGTTGTAGAGATAAGTGGTAGACTCACGTTGGCCATCTTCGTGGGCAAGAAACGAGAGGCGAAGTCTTCGTAAACGTAGGCGGCGCTGGAAACAGGCTCACGGAGCCTGTTAGATTCGATAGCGGCAGTAGTAGCATCAGCTGCAGTGCTGGTGGTAGTAGTGTTCGTGGGGATGCCTCCTCCTGCTTCAGCAGTGGAAGGGCCATCGTGGTTCTCTGCCATGTTGACGGTTATTCAGAGTGAGGCGATGTTGAGTTGAAAAGGATAAGTGAGAGAGAAAAGGAGGGGTAGGTAGGTATTTATCTTCAGCGAAGGAGCGTATTGTTGGTGCCTGCCTGACGGGACTGGCGGTCATTTCCTATCAGTGAATGGCGGGTGCGTGTCACTGTCAGGATTCGGTCACCAGCTGGCAAACAATACCAGGTAAAGTGGCCTTAGTGCTAGCCACCTAATTTTGCATAAAGTGGCCAAATTATTTCATCCCGATTGCTTTCAGAGGTTAATTCTTCTGACACCCTGTTTGTTGTGTTGATTTGACCTGTACGCGTTAGGAGACCTGACTTTCGAAAAACTCGACTAGCCAGCCTAAACAAATCAATCAACGGACCCATGACGAGTCAAGGGGCTGCAGAACTCCATTGCGTATCTATAATATGCAACTTGCCGATGGTCAATAGCAACCGTCGAAATCTTCAGTTGATTCGGTGGTTGTGCATTTGGTGAATATGCAGCTGTCCGAGATACAAACAGGCAAATACATATTCCTGGTGACTCTGTGTTTGCTTTGTTCCATTGCATGATAGCTAGTTATATCCAGGGCAAAGCAGGTTGCAGAGCTAGCAATGTGCAAACAGTTGAGTAGCAAGTGAGTTGGGATGCAGACTTTGAAGTCTCTCGATTTCAAATGTGCCAGAAGTTCTGATGATACAGATGACGTTCTGTCGATAACGATAGCGCTGAAGTACCTACTAGGTAGCTAGACACGTCTTTATATTTCCTACCTTTGCACACATGAACTGAATAAGACGAGGCCTAGTAATGTAGTAACTGTAAGATTCTATTCTGATGTTTATATATCAATCTACTCAATCTGCGACTTTGATTGAAGAAGACTTTACGCTTGGAACGGTGAACGATGAAAAACATTTGTGCTGACATAACAGGCAATACTTTCCGTCAGATTCCAACTTTTGACCCTTCAAGTACTTATTTGCGAGTCTGGTATCTGTGTCGTCAAGTGCCAATCTTGATAGACAGCTCACTATTCCCGAATTAATCTTTAAGCGAAGCCTCAAAATGCCAAGACTAGTACTCATCTGCTTATAGTATCGTTAGTTACGCCAAGTAAAACCGAGTCAAATTCCAGAACTTTTCAAAGACCAACCAAGACCAAATTCCATCATAAGACTTGGCTGGTCGTGTTTGGTGGAGTAAATGCATGTTTTTGGTGTTGAGATGACATTCGTCTCCACATGATGTGAAGGTCCAGCCGAATTACGTAGTTTGCATATATAACAAAGTGGCTGACCGACCATTCTTCCAAACCAAACATCGACATCTCAGAAATAAATCAACATGTCAACAAAGGTTTGGATTCGACACACGCAACCTGGCACAGCCCTGGCAAAGGTTCAGGAGGCCATCAGCAATCCTGAAGCCACGGTTATTCCCAAGCCGCCTTCTGACGTAAGTGACTTTGAATACATCTCATCATGAGACAATCTGACACATCTCAGCTTGACGAAATCAAGGCTGATAGCGATTCTTTCACTTTGGCTTCGTTCACCACAGAGGATGCTTTCGAGCTAGGCAACCTTTTGTATGCCCGCCTCTACCCTTATGCCATCCAAGGCAAGCCAACAGTGATTTCAATCGCTCTCGCAAACACTTCTCAAGTCCTCTTCCAGACTGTCACTGGCCCTGGAACAGCTCCCGATAACGAGCAATGGGTCCGCCGTAAGAGAAACACTGTCCTCAGATTCGGTTCCAGTACTTGGTTCATGCACAACAAGATGAAGGGCGATGAAGCTGCTTTCGCTGCCAAGTATGCAATCGCCGATGCCAACAAGGGCGACTATGCTATCCACGGTGGAGCCATTCCCATCCGGGTTCGAGGCGTTGAAGGAATTGTAGCTGTTGTCGTCGTGAGTGGATTGAAGCAGGATGAGGATCATGGAGTTATTGCAGACGTCATCAAGAACAACTGGACTTGAAGAATAACTACTTAAAGTTATAACTGATCTTCATATAATTGAATAATACTACGAACACTTGAAACCGGATGACCCCATATCCATCATCCTTGAACCTGTCAATGCAGGGAACAGTCGGTATCTCCGAGACGGGGCATCCGTCACCACAGAAAATATGCATGTATATGCACCAAAAGGATTAAGGTTTATGCAGCTAGTGAAACCGAAATTTGACTAGCGCATCGACGGCGAGTCAAGACAACTACGGAGACTACAGTACCCTTAGCATTCCATCCAAAACCATGCTATGCCTTAAATCGTTGAATTTCAATTTCTAATTTTATCCCATCTGTCTCTGTCTCTACCAGCGACGATGAACGCGACAAAATGGAGAATCTCAAAGGCTTGTCAAGAATGTCGCGCCAAGAAGATCAAGTGCAACGGCGAGACGCCCTGCCAGAACTGCCGAATGAGAAATCTCAGCTGCGTCTACCGCGAAAAAGCCAGGAATAGGACGCGAAAGGTCAAGCCGCGAACTGCCGCTTATGAGACCATCATGAGCCATGATGCTATGGAGAGCACCTCACTAGAACCATCCGACGAAGGGACCGTGCCGCCTACCCCGAGTGCCGATGATGCCGCCTCTATCGGACCCTCAGTAATGGACAGCGAGCGCAGTATACCTCACAACGCTGTCGCTGCGACACATCGCGCATCCGCGTCATGTTTTCTCCAACTTTACTATGGACCTTCATCAAATTTCGCCCTTCTCAATTCCATCTACCACCAAATAGCAGGGACATCGCCAAACGATCCTCCGTCGCGCACTGGTATTGTTGAAGAAGCTGGAGCAGGACTCGATCTTTTTAGTCATCGAAGATTGTTCTTTGGAGACTTGGCAGACAATCAAAGACCAACGGCACTCCCGGATGATTGTTCAGCTATGCTTATTAACCCAGAAACAGCCCACCGTTTGCTCGAAAGATATCTTTTGACCTACTGGCATGGTCTGCCTGTCATGAGCAAAGATGATTATCGCCGTCGCTTAGATGCGCTGTTTCAACCACCGGGAATCTTTGATTATGATCAGCCCGAGACGATCATTATCATGCTTGCAGTTGGTTTGGGCGCTTCCATGACGGGTGAAGAAGCTATCGCAGAATTCCTTTTTCAGAAAACCAAACAAGGTGCTTCGAAATTGGACGAAGTTGTCAACATGCAGGTCGTCCAAATACACCTCCTAATGATAAGTCATCCTTACCCATACCTTGTATTTACCTAAGCTTACAACCGCAAACGCTCACTTCCAATCAGAGAGAGCAAGGCCAAACTCTAGTTTCTTGCATGTCGGCACGGCATGTAGAAAGGCCGTGGCTGCTGGTCTACACAAAGATGGATGTACGCGCTCGGGGTATACAGAAGATGAGACAACCCAAAGAAGCATCACATTTTGGAGTGTGTTCTTTTGGGAAACGTATGTTCAATTTTCAAACGTCCTGAAGGTCTCTAATATGATATAGGTGGCAATGTTTTGTGCTTGGTCGACATAGCTCGATACCTGATCCTGGTCCTATTATCCCCTTACCGAAAGAACAAAAGCTACTCAGATCTTTGATTACATTATCACGCATCATGGATAAATGCGTCAAGCGTATATACAGTCCGCGACACGATTCTTTACTACCTGTCTGGAATGCAGCACTCGAGATCCGTCGCGAGCTACACCAATTCGCAGAGCAGCAGCTCAAGGATATGAAGTTTGGCCTGATCGGTGACCCTAGCACTGGAGAGCTGGGAGTATGCCAGGCTATGGTGTCAACCAGTAAGTCATCCTGGTCACCGCCCGTCGATCGTCTAGGTAGCTAACCCGAAACAGTGTACCACCATACTTTGCTACTAACGTTCCGACCATTCTTGATTTTACGAGCCAAGTTGAACCATGATCGAGCGTCTGCTACATCTGCAGACAATCTACAACCACCTCCACCTTGGCTTGATAGTGCTTGCGAGTACTGTCTGGAAGCGGCGAGGAATTCAGTTGGTTTCTTGACAGGTTCTTGTGCAACTAACATTTTGTGCCGTGTATGTATACCGCAATGCGTTCCAGGGAGCTAAGCTGACAATTCACAGGACATCAAGTACCACGGTTTCTTCATCGAAGGAGCTTGCTACGCTCTGGCTTTTGACATGCTCCAGGAGAAGAAGACAGCCCATCGCAACTTACCTTGGATTCACTCAGGTCTAAGATGTTTGCGTTCTATGATGGAATCTGCAGGTATCAGTGCTGGTCAACTACCGATAACAATCGCCTCTATCGAGCAGATGGTCCGCTCTGCCGGTTTCGAGCTGAAAGATCCAGTCGATCAGACAAAGCAATACCAGCAACAAACTCCCAACTCGACCCTCCCTGGCTCACCAGCACTCACGACTATAGCAGGTGGTACAGGAAGTGAGCCAGCGTTCACATTCCCTTCTATGCCATTTGGGTTCGATGTTACTGGTCAGATGAACGGAACATCTCCTGCTGGTGCTGGGCAAGAGGACATGGCAGATTTCACAGCTGCTGATGTTGGTTGGGATATTGATTTTGGATCCATGAACATGGAGGCTTTCTTGTCTCTTGATTCGGCGGAGGCCTTCAATTTTGCGCCTTGAGCGTGTTTCTGACTGACTGATGGGGGGTTAAAATTGCAGTGCAGAAAACCACTAATGGCTTGCAGGAGGTGGTGGATTGCCACGTCAACCTTTCTAATTGTCACAAGTCCTTGAGCGAGTTAAAAAGGCAGTGAATATGCATACCTCCGATGGTGGGCAACCCTTTGACTCGACTTTCTTTACTTTACGGCTGAACATAGAGGGAATGGTAGATATTTTCTTGTTATGGTGATGAATCTTACTGGGTGGGAGGATATAATTGCTAGGATGTCTGAATACAGACACAATGTTTGGCATTGGGAGGAGTACTGTTTTTTGTTTTTATACCACTATTTCTGAGCTGATGGCTCATAATGTCATTGACTTTCATATACATAATGAAACCCATTGATCATCCTTTGCTCACTCTGAATAGCCAAAACAGCACAGACCACCAGTCAAAGCCAAAAGTCCCCTAACGATATTCATCCATCGCCACTTCTTCAACAAACCTACAATTTCTTCCTCTCTAACCTTTTCCTGCTCAACACCACTAGCCGCAATATCATTAAGCCGATTATTCGTAGCCATCATACCCAAGCCGGTCCATGGTAGCTGAGACAGCGTAGCCACAGCAGCAACAGTCCAAAGCGTCCTCTGCGCAGGAACAAGATACGCAACAAGGCCTGAAGATGCACCTGAGAAGATGGCGAGTGGGACAATAGTTACTGCACCGCCGGTCTAGAAGCCTTTGAAGAAGGGCGTGTTGATGGATGTGGGTTGGTTATAAAGAAGGGGAACTGTTAGGTGGGAGGGGCCTAGGTTTACCCCTGCGAGGAGGAGGCTTGATGTGAGGCCGAAGACTTGGAATGTGCGTACGGTAGAGTCCATTCTGAATCAATATTTGAGGTGTTTATGAGTGAGGATGACGATGACAAGGAGGAGTTGTCAAGGTTTGGTTAAGTATAGACATGTGAAGATGCCTCGTCAGACACATGTGGCTTATTGATAGTGTATCTATAGGCTACTATTCGAGACATGTCTCAACTTGTGACAGTCTAGATCAATCCGACTACCCCGTACCCTCAACACTTTCAAGTCCTCTCAGGGCTCATTAGTGACGTTCTATACATCATGAATATGTTATGTAACGGATATACGATAACCGGATACTCGTATTCGTTTATAAAGTTTCCGTATGAACCGGGTACCACTCTATTCAGGGGTCAACATCAGGCAATTCAACACAGAAAACAAGAACAATCCTTCCAATTCTTCATTCAGGCTGTGCTCGAATGTCATCCTATAGTAACAACAGATCATATATCACCCACGGACTTGTCACAAACTCCGTAGGATGCCACCATCCCCGTAGGGCGCACTTCTTCCATCGCGCTAAGGATCGCTTCATGACGCTAAAATCTGAGAGTGTAGGGATGTAAGGGTCTAGTATAACCAATCAGGTAGATCATATTAATACTATAATTTCGTCTGGGGAAATCTTTCTCTTCCTTAACATCTTTTGTTGTTGCTATCATGGGGTTGTCTACTCTTTATGAGAATGCTGCGGCGGGTTTTGGTTCTTTATCTCTGACTTATAAAGTTCTTTCTGCAATTTTGGCAATTGTTGTTTTGAACGTTGCTTTTGGTGGTCGAGGAAAGGGGTACAAGAATTTGCCGGCGTACGCTCCGATTGAACTTGCTATTGCTAGCTATATCCTCAGTGGAGATGGTATCGGTCGAAGAATCTTGTAAGAATCACCTATACTTTCTTAACTCACTGATACTGACCAAAGACAATAGTTCAGCTATAAGCCGTTATGGAGGCTCTCTCTTTGGAATCACTTCAGGACATCAAATCGCAGCAGACTTACCAGGCGTAGAGCGTCTTCTGTCTCAGTCACACCACATCTTCGACTCTACGCCAGCACAGTATTCACTCTTAATACTTGTCTTTGGATCTCCAGATTCTCCTCAGCTGAGGGACAAATTACATACCTCTTTGAAAGATCTTGTTCCTCCTCTGGAACGCACTTTTCTTAACGATGCTGCTTCTACTGCTGCTGTTGAAAGATCTCATATCGAGGAGCGCGGTGCATCACTCGTTACCTTCTCTTCAGATCGAGAGAATATGGCACGCTGGGAACTTTCAGCAGATGTTAAGGTTCTTCAGCCAGAAAAACCAGGCATTCCAGGAAAGGTCGAAGCAAATTTGCAGAGCCTAACCCGCGATTTCGGAGCCTGCATGTCCATCCCTCTCATCTACGGCCAAGATATCCTCGACCGCCACCCTCAAATTCTCGACGACTTTTGGGTTTTCGATAACGAGCTTTTCCCCCTCCTCATGGTTGGAATTCCTCAGTGGGCACCATTCAAAATGATGCAAGACGGTCTCAAAGCGAGAACCAGAATCATCGATGCTTTAGAAGGCGTATACAAACGCATCGAGCAGGACCGAAAAGGAGAACCGATCGATTTCAACGCTGATGTCTCAGATGTCAGTACTATGCTCCGGGAAAGAAACGCGATTTACAATAGAGATGGCTGGACGCTTCGAGAACGTGCTGCTGCTGATCTCGGAACCTTCTGGGGTCTGAATGCTAATGCTCAGCCTGTTCTTTTCTGGTTCTTACTTTACGTTTATTCCACCCCTGGTTTGCTTGAGAGAATTCGAGAAGAGATTTCCCCTTACATCAGACTTTCTGGTGGTGAAAACCCGGAAATTGTCGGCATGGACTTTCAAAGTTTGTTCAAAAAGTGTCAACTTTTCAAAGCTTGTATTTTCGAAACATATCGCCTTGTCAACGAACCCACATCGATTCGACACGTTTCTAAATCAGTCAGTATCACCGACGGCGATCGCCAGCACAATCTCAACCAAGGAACATATATATCTGTGCCTCTTTCTCTCAAGAGCAGAGATCCTGCCCTGTATGAGGACCCAGACTCCTTCATACCTGATCGATTCCTGGATATAGATCCTCAGACAGGAAAGGGGACCGCACGATATGGAAAGCTGAAGCCTTGGGGTATCGGAGCTGCTATGTGCAAGGGACGTACTTTTGCTGAGAAGGAGATTATTTCTTTGGGGTCAGCTGTTGTTAGTCTTTGGGATATTGAGCCTGTTGATGAGGTGTGGAAGTTGCCTGCTATGATTCCTGGGACTGGAATTAAGAAGCCAGTCAATGATATTCGGGTCATTATACAGCGAAGAAATTTGTAAGAATTTTCATATGGCTGATTATTAGGAGTCATAAAAGATTTTGCTGTTCATGTGATGCCTAATGTTCTCTTTTTGTGAATCTTATATCAATATATGCTTTGGGAATATTCCGGATTTTCTTTTCTCAGCCATTATACTATTCCCCTGTATCAAATTTTCTTGCCTAATGATCTGTCAATGTTTTCCCGACGGTTTGCACTTCCTTGTTTCCATCCTTACAATTTTCTTCCTCCTTGAACTAACATCAACCACAGAGACATCAAGCCTTCGAATTAACCACACTTCCTTTACAACCAAGTCTAAGATCCTTGAGGAAATACAAGCACTTCGCCAGTACTTATTACATCTTGCAAAGCAGATCTTCAGAGACTAATACGCTCCGTTCAGAAAGAATATTACGACGGATACTAGTAACTCAGGGGCAGGGGGACGGAAGAAATGTCCTTTAAGACTTGGGCTACCAAAACAAAGTAGCCTAAGTGCTTGTCTAAAGTGACAAAGTATTTCGTCTCTTATGCTTTTGAGGGCCAGTTCCTCTGGTACCCTGAGGGGGGATGTTAGCAGAAAGTCCCAAATCACAATAGGAGTTCCTTACAGTAGCTAGATTCGTATAGATAGACACTCAATACTATACTTCGATCTAGTTTTTTATCCCCTGTTCGATCCAGTTCTATGTGACTCCTGTTGTCACATTCAAGAACCGATTTTTCATCTTCCAAACTCAAAAGAATTGCTGATTAACTTTTTCGTCCCCTCAGTCTCTGTCTATATAAGACCGGCTGTCCTCCGCTTCATTTTCTAAACAAGGACGACTGATTTGAAGACTGATTAAGTTTTTGGCCGGCCAAATTCTGTGTATAAAATACCGTCTTGTCCCCTTTCTGTCTTCTCTTCAATCTTCGACTTTTCTCTATCACTCAAGCCTGTCCTCAGTTGCATTCAGCTCACTTACAGCCTTGCACGTTCAGCCTTGTGCTCAGCTCATAAAGTCTATCTTACTTTCTTTCTTTCGCTATCAACTTCTCAGCTATAAGCTATCAGTTGTCCGCTCACACATATATCTTCTTCGTCATCAACTCGTCAGCTTCAAGCTCTCAGTTGCATAGACCATATATCTACCTTCTTCGCTCTCGACTTCTCAGCTATAAGCTATTCGTTGTCAGCTCACACACATATCTTACTTTATTGGCTATCAGCTTTTCAGCTTCGAGCGATCAGTTGTATAGACCACATTTACCTTACTTTCTTCGACTCATCATCTTCATTCATTACTCTATATTCTCTTTACACAGCTATTCTACACACCAGACCTATACACACACACATATATGTCTGATACGATGGCCATGATGATGTCCCCCAAGCTTGACTGGGCTGAGTTCCTGAGTCTTTACAGCCGGATCAACAACTGTTCATCTTCTCCTCGCCCTACTGCTGGGTTTGAGAATTATCTCTTCTCCCCTGAGAAGATTCGAGAGACTTGCTCGCGCAAACCTTGCCGAACAAGACCCTCTCCTCGTGGTAGGGCTACATATTCAGCTCCCTCCATCGCCTCTTCTTCGTCCTCCTGCTCTGGCAGCACACATAGCTATGTGGCATCCTCTTATGGCAGTGACCGAAGCTACTCTCCCTCTTCTTCTTACTCTTATTCGTCCTCTCCCTCGCCATCCCCCCGGGGCAGGGATCTAAGCTATCCTCAATCTTCTTCTTCGTCCTTTCGCTATGGCAGCACAAATAGCTATGTGCCAGCCTCTTGTGGCAGGGACCGAAGCTACTCTCCCTCTTCTTCTTCATCTTCTCCGTCCTCTCGCTCTGGCAGCCGACCATACGGATATATCCCACCCGCTGAGCTAGATCGATATGGTAAGCGTGTTTACCTGCCTTTGGGAAACTCCCTACGCATCCTTTCAGATGTTCAGAAGACTTTGGAAGACGCCTGTTTCTTCTACAGCGACCGAAATCTGCCTAAGGTCCTTGAGGAGAATGGATGGGACTGCCCTGAAGCTGTCGAGCTGAACACCTGGGTCTCTGTCTTCTTCAAGCCCGCCAACTTCGAGCTCCTCAGCCACGATTCTAAGCAAACTGGCAACAAAAAAGATCTTGGCGACTTGCTGCGGTCGATAAGACAAATCCGCCACTCTACTGTCCACCGACACCGTCTGACGGTCGTTACCATTAAGACCATGATAAAAGAAGCCATAGCCTTCTGCCGCATCCTTGAAGAACACACCTGTTACGACAAACTCCATACCATTTTCGGCGCTGCCCAAATCCAGATCGATGAACACTATGAAAAGTCTCAGCCCTGTCCACCTCCTGAGCCTTCAATACTTCAAATTCCCTCAACTCCTAAGCTCCTCCCAGAATCTCAAAGGGAAACCAGCACCGAGGAAGACGACCGAAGCACGGAGGCGGGCAGCGACTACACTGAGTCTACTAGTACTACGACATTTTCTAAGGAACACTTGTTCTGGCAGGGCCGCACTTGGCAGTAGAAGATCTTCGCTTCAATCCCTCGATTTCAGAGTGGATTGACGAATACCCTTCGAGCGATTAGCTTTACCTACAGCATCTTCATCCAAAGCAGGGGAGCGTCTGGCACAACGCTTCTTCCTGTCTTTACTTCTTCTTCTTATACGCATTCTTGCGAGGCATCTTTGGCTTTACGACTTGGCACTTCAGCAGACATTGCATTACTACCTTCGAGCGACTGGATTTACTTTACAGCACGTCTTATGAGCCAGTAAGAGATACCGTCTTATCTCCTGGACTCATAGCATTTTAGATGGCGATTCCTGTTCAACGTCTAATTTACATTCGTTGTTTTTGGATTCATACTATTGTTCATCAAATTTGTCGTGACATGTCATTGTGCTGTACCCAATTCCCCTCTAAAGCTTAAGCTGTCATAATAAAATAGCCTAAGTGTCAGTCTAAGCTGGCCATCAAGTGACGAAACTATTTCGTCCCTTATGCTTTCAGGGGCCAATTCTTCTTCTATTACCCTGCAAGGGCGACATGGATGATTCCAACGCTCGCATGATCTTTTTATCTTGCCATGCCTTGACACAAGGTTTCGTTGAGGCATGTGGCAACAGCGTCAAATATGTTCATAATCAAGGTCCATCGACCAGTAAATAACGTCCTGGGTATAATCGTGATCATTGTAGGTCTATCATGCTTCGTTTATAACTGTACTTTTACCAAACTCCTCTAAAAACAACCCCTTCTAAATCCCCTCTTAGTTGCTCTTCTCAGTGTAAACAAAAGCATCCAACTCCTGGTATGTCTTCTCCAAGTCGTCGTTGACAAGGATTCTGTCAAACTCAGCCGATCGCGCCCAGGCAAGCTCATCCTGCGCACGGGTGAGACGCTGCTGGATGCTCTCCTCAGTCTCGGTACCACGGCCTCGGAGTCTCTTCTCGAGCTCCTCGGTGTCAGGGGGAGAAACGAAGACGTAGCGGGCGTCGATGGTGGAGGCCTTGACTTGCTTGACGCCCTCCATCTCGATGTCCAGAACGACGACCTTGCCCTTGGCTGTTTGCTCCTCGATGGTCGCCTTGCTCGTTCCGTAGAGGTTGCTTCCGAACTGGGCGCTGTGAGGTGTTAGTTATGTATGCGCTGTGCAGGCAGGTGGGAAATAGAAGAATTGTTCTCTAAAGCTTAGGCTACCATAACAAAGTAGCCTAAGCTAGCATAAAGTGACCAAATTATTTCGTCTCTTATGCCTCTAGGAGCCAATTCTTCTGCTACCCTCAGGCAAGGGAACGTACTGCTCGACGAAGCCGTCCTTGGCGATCAAGTCGCGGAAAGCATCCTTGGTGACGAAGTGGTAGTGAACACCATCGCTCTCACCATTGCGAGGGGCGCGGGTGGTATGCGACACGGAGAGAGTGAATTGCTCGGGGTGACGGGTGAAGAGCATGTTGATCAGGGTGCCCTTTCCGACACCGCTAGGGCCCGAGATAACGATGGGACGACGGTCTGAGGGAGAAGCCATTGTGAAGGAGCGTCTAGAGGGGAGATGTTAGATCATATATGCAGATAGATTGAGGGGTCAAAGACTCACTTTGGTGCTTGAAAGACAGGAATTTGCTTGATTGAAAGAGGTGAGTTGCGCTTCGCATAACCCAAAAACCACCGCATCGTGGGAAAATGCTAACGATGGCGGGGTGCTGGCTAATCTAATGCAGGAGTCAATGCACTGTGGGGTAAAGTGTCCAATCACGTGCCGTCTTTGGGAGGCTGCAGTAATGCCTGCGGTGAAGACTCATGTTACTCCCAGTTGAGTAAGGCATATAGAACCAGCAGACATCCAGATATTAGGTGCCTTGCAGTATACATGTAGATTGTGACAGTAGCTGAGACATGAAAAGCGGCTAGGACACGGCACTGGGCAAAGAAGCAAAGTAATGTCTATTATTATATATCAACTATTCTACATATCATCGCGACTTCATGCCATACGCTGTCATAGTCGTAACACATCACCCGTAAACAATACGGGGCATTATCCATCTCTTACATTCTCATCCTCATTAGGTTGTATATTTCCATCTCATGCAGTCATATCACCCATCATCGTCCTTTTTTAATCAACGCGATGCTTGTTGCGCGAAGGCCCCCTTTCAAGCTCAGGTGTTCGCACTTCGCGAATTCGTTCTTCTCTTGGCTCAACCGCCTCAACAGTAGTATCCCAATGGATGTAAAACAGTCGTCCTCGCCAGTTAACTGTGTTGCCAAAGACAACTGCATAAGCCCAGACCGGGAGAGCAAGGCCCTCACGTCCGATCCAAGCTGCCAGAAACTCCAGGAATGGACGTTTCTTGATCCCTCCCAGGTTCCCAAAGCCTCTGGCAAAAGAAGGTGTGTTTTCGTCAACCTCGACGGTACCGCCGGAATGCAAATATAAGTAACCAAGATAGTCCACGAGCATCCAAAGAGTAGTCATCGCAAACCAGGCAATCGACATAGCTTTCCATGTCTGGGGAATGCCCCAGCTCTGGTTGAAGAATGGTATAGTCGTTAGGCAAAAGGACATGTAGGTAGAGAACAGAAAACATTCGGTGAACGGCTCAAGAATTGTCGCTGAAAGTACTGTATACTTTCTAGCCCTGAGCCACCGAGATCTTCGTGCTGCATAGGCCTTGACAGACATGCCAGCCATAGGCTGGACAGCAATATCTCCCCAAACAAGTCCATGACTTTTGTAGCCAGGGAAATCTGTGTTCCACAACGCTTCGCCGATTAGATGATCCTCGCAGATATTGTGTGAGAAATAGTCAACACCTGTCGGGAGGTTCTTGTCTTGGGGTAAGTTCGGATTTAGGATGGCGTCTGTCGCTTGATCAAGTTGAGACTTGCGAAACATATTGCTCTTGCCAACAGCGCATGGTGCTGCGCGAAGGGTGTTGATAGCGCTGTAAAACTTGGCATGTGAAGTTGTCATGAACATCTCGTCAATGCGTCCACCGCCCTGAGCCATAACTTCAGGAACTTCCTCTTCATGGCCTTCAGTAGGGTAGTGTGCCTCAGATGAATCGTCCAGGAGAGACTGTCCCTCTGCCGTGAGTGGCATGGAGTAGTCGATCAAGTCCACAACAATAGGTAACTGGTGGACGAATTTATAGGGTTGAGATGCGCCACCAACTCTGTAGCCCATAAGCTTGTCCACCATACGTCCCAAGACTCCCTTGGCCATCCATACGTTGCAATCGGCAATCCATACAATATCTCCCTTGGCTTCTCGGTACGCTCGGCTGACATTGCGGATCTTGGGATTGGGTCCCATGTTGACAGTCTCGCTTAGGACATGATCCTCCTTCTCGAGCATAATACGCGCATCGATCGTGGGGAAATCCTCGACGACCTTTTGCAGGATAGGGTACGCTGTGTCGGATTCATCTTCGATACAGAGACGGATCGAGATCTTGTCGTGTGGGTAGTCCTGTCGAAAGGACGCAGCGATGCAGTCGTAAAGCCTGGGCTCTATGCCCTTGACTGGTCGAATAATAGTAACGTGAGGCGCATTTTGGCCAAGCTGAGAGGACAACGGAGAAGCAGGGCGACTCTTGAAGTGGTAGATGCTTGTGTCGCGTGTCAGGGAGAGGTCAGATAGGTCGAAGGGAAAACTTACAGCGCACGCACACCAATGACGACAATGGTAACAACAACGCAGCCGAGGATAAACAACGCCCCAGCGATACACAATGTTATTGAGTACATCATGGTGAGTCAAGTAATGTTTGAGCAACGGGAATGCCCGCTGACCCTGAATAGAGAGGAAGGTTTCCTGTCAAAGGTTGCTCCTACTCCGTAAGGTAGGAGCGAGGTGCGACCTAATTAAACAGATCGGCCAGGGCATGCACTGATCCAGTGGAGGGAGGTTGGATCGAGGCCCCGCTAGACATTACTGACTAAGGTGAATACATTAAGGATCTCGATCTTGAATAGGTAGGTTGAATCATTCTATTTCAGAGATAGAAGTTGGAGAGATACTGCAAAGTTAAAGTTATGGTTTTGTTTATCCATGATAAAGTGGCCTATGTTGGTAAGTTAATATCGGCTCATGAAAACACCAGCTTCTAGGAACTTTTCTAGAAGGCCACATGTCTAGCTCTACCCCGGCACTTGGGTAAAATGACATGGATTCAAATACGATATACGAGCAATCAGTTTGACGATGTCTTTCTGTGTCTACCTTTTGTTTACAATCGTTCAATACAAAAAGTCTCTTTTTTTCACGGTTGACAGAGAGACGAGGCACTTTTTCCAGCCCATATAAACGCTTCTGACTGCTAACCAAAGAATGGATTACTTGTTGTAGGGTAGTCCACTTGTCATCGTGCATTGTCGTGTCCACAGTGAATCAGGGAACAGTTCTCTTCTTTTGTGGACAAATACACTGGGCTCTTGATGAGTGAATTCTGTCTCTCTCTTTCTCCAGAGCCAAGCATTTGGCAGTATCTGCAACTGGTTAAGTCGTCAGCATAGCTTCTGATTCGCTTGCCAACTTGGGTAGTTGTTTCATTCTGTGGAAAAGCCTCTCATTCAGTGCACCAGGGTGTAGAATGTAAACTGAATTACGCAACCAATAAGAAACAAAGTTTTGACAATTTTATGCGGCTCAAAAGTTCCTGTCTTGAGCTTGCTACCTCCGTAGTAGACTTGACCTTCAAGCGGAATTAGGTTGGTCAAATCTCCTTGGTGGAGAGAGTTTCCAGGAGCTGAAAGTGTGGCCTTGCGCACAAGGCATCAAAGTGGGGAGCTCCAATTCCAGAAAACCTCGACTTTTCTTCTTCCTCAACCTCTCTCTGTCATCATCCTCACAAATCACAACAACAAATTCTCTCACAGCTCGTGGAAGCTTTCGCACCTCAGGTCGAGCTTCACACTTGAGCAATTGACATTGTTCACCCTTCGAGGTTGAGCAGTGTGTTGCTGTGAATGGCCACGAGGATTAATTCCCAGCCAGCATCGTGCCTGGGTCACGTCCCTGATAGGTAGGTCTCTTTGGCTTTGCCGAGCTTTCTCTTTCTTTTCAAGGTTCAAATGCACAGTTTGCATTGAACCTGAAGCTCCTCGAGCTTCATATGTTGCGGTGATGACACCATATCAAAATGCTTAAAAAAGAATCGATTCAGTTCGTTCTACCTATGAAGCACTGTGTATTAGACTACAACGGTATCTGAGCAACATAACAAACACATTTGGCTTCTGTTTATCTCTTCACCATTGAGAACTCAGCTAACATCTGTCGCAAGACCAAGATGACCCCGGCGAGAAATGGCTGAGATTCAATCATCAAACACAGAGCCCGTTGGTACCCCGCCTACCACGGATTCTGCCGTCCAACGGCAATCCGAGCAGCGAGGGCCGACATTGCATCAGATCTACGCCCTTCCGGCACCGATCCGCACTTTTCCTTTACCGGCATTTTATCCGAACAACCCCATATCCTTCTTCCATGTCGTGTATGCGTGGTTAGGCCAACTATGGTCCCCGCCTAAGGCGGAACCTTCGGCTGTGCATATTGGAACATGGTCTGCTGCTACATCATCCGTTCACATTACGGATGATGTCTCTACCCGAGCCTTGTGGGAGCAAGGCTTCTATGGAAAGGGTAGTCTTAGTCGCAGTGAGCCCAATTGGCTCAAGCGAGAGCAAGTGCGTCAAGGACTTGCTGAAGGACACGTTAGTGAAATCATGACTGTGCAAAGACGTGAAGAACGTATGCGCGCCAAGTGGGAGCGAGCACGCCTCGAGCAGGAGGCGATTAGAGAGACACGACTGAAGGAGGCTGAAGAAGCGAAGGCGAGAGAAATCAAGGCACGAGAAGCCAAAGCCCTTGCGGCCAAGGCTAAGGAACAGCGTGCTCAAGAGTCGAAAGACGTTGCAGCACCCGAGTCTGTCAAGCCATTTTCACTATCCGCCGCTCTTCCGACCTACGAGTCACCTACCAGCCCACTTGCGCTGCTGTCTCTACCAAACTCATTGGTAGATATTGTGCAGCCCAAGGCTACTGAGTCTGTCAAACCTGCCGTTTCTGTACCAACCTATGCCTCACCAGTGAGCCCTGCGACGCTTCTTGCTCTACCAAACTCGGCGACAGATATCGTCGACGAGCCTGCTGTTGAACATAATGACAATGGCCTTGGTGTTTTGGGAATTTCTGGACTAGGCCTGCCCGTGGATACTGTGCAGTCCAACTCGGTTGTCACTAATGGCGCTGCATCTGTTATCAGTTCATCGTCTGATGATGAAGACACCACGCAGCCGAAGAAGCGCCGCAAGAGTGTTCGATTCTCTCCTACTATTGAGTCAACCACGTTCCACTTTGCCGACCCTCCCAGCCCCAAGCGTGCAGAGTCCAATGGAAAGGTGAACGGATTGGTCGACGCTCGCCCCATTTCACCCGTGGCTCTGAACGGACAAAAGGAAGTCGCTTCAACCGAAGTTGTCAGCAAGCCTGCACTCAAGAACATGGAGCACCTTCAGCTTATGCCTGAGGAAGCTTTCTTCCTGAGCTTTGGCCTTGGAGCCTTGCAAGTCAAGGATCCTGCTTCCGGTTGCCCACTCTCATCCTTGGACCTGTTGAGACTTTTCAGACAGCACTGTTACTTTCCTCCTCGAGTCGAGCCGGCGGACCCCGCTCTTCAGCCTGACGATAAGTTCTTGATTCACTATGCTGTGTATCATCACTTCAGATCCCTTGGTTGGGTCCCTCGTGGCGGTATCAAGTTCGGTGTTGATTGGCTACTGTACACTAGAGGACCAGTCTTTGATCACGCTGAGTTTGGATTGATTGTCATTCCGTCTTACTCTGACTCTCAGTGGAAAGAGGCTGAAAAGCAGAGCCCACAAAAGACCTGGCAATGGCTTCATGGAACTGTGCGCGTTCTTTCACACGTCACCAAGAGCCTTGTGCTTGTATATGTGGATGTACCGCCTCCGTCGAAATTCGAGAAGGCACTTGATCAAGGTGTCGCCGAGGCCTTGAAGCTTTACAAGGTCCGGGAAGTGATGGTCAAGCGATGGTCGAGCAACCGTAACAGAGGATGATTGAACGTTAATGAGCAAATGCTGAACGGCTAAAGATATATGTTTGTATTATATCGGTGGATGATCTGTAAAACAGGCGACTGGCGTTTGTGATCTACTGTACAGCACAATATCGTGTATTATGACATTAAATGAATATATGGCTCTTTGAAGCCAGGAGATGAACTCAAGCAAACTACAACCGTTCCATTGATTGTGAAATGTGTGAACCTTGACCCATGATAGCTTCTCAGTATCAGCCCATTTTTGCTTTTGGAAACAGCTCCAATAACGCGGGGTCTAAGCCCCACATTAAGCATTGGTTCCTGTCCCGTCTGGCCGAGGTACGATGCAGCTTGCCTTTCTTATACCGAACTTGACGTTACTTCCTTCCCGCAATTCTTGTTCATTTTCTTTCCTTCCGTTATTGTGTGTGAGGCGTATTGAACAGGAACGGCAGTAGCCTCGGACTCAACTATCATGTTCACTCGTCGATTGGCGGCTCGAAGCTTCAAAGCAATCTCCCGTGGGTACTCAACTGCTCGAACAGGTCATCGCCCATTTGTGCGTCATGCGAACCAACCTCCTCAGCCCCAATTCGAAGCCACAAAATCGTTCGGGCTCAGAGATAATCTGGTTACATTCGCCAGTGGTGACCGTTTTATTCAACTCCGTGATAATAACACCGGTGGCTGGACGAGACTAGACGCTATCCTTCTTCGCGATAGCTGTACTTGCGCAGCATGTGTTGATTCAGCTTCTGGTCAAAAGAGCTTTGCGACAACGGCTATTCCCTCAGATATCGCGATCGAGGAGATTCGATCGACTGAGGAGGGGTTGGGAATCAAGTTCAAGAATGATATGTATCAAGAACATGAGATGATACTTCCCTTTGAGAAGATCGACAGAGCACTCAGCCTTAAGCCTATTAACAGGGAGGTTTTGCCGCGCAAAAAAGCCGTGCTTAGAAAGACGGGACGGACATTCTGGGACAAAGCTACTATTGAGCAGCGTGTTCGCAAGATCGACTATCATGAATTCATGAAAGGATCCGATGCATTCTGGCACACACTTCTCGACCTCTCCAATCTGGGTCTCGTATTCCTCGAAAACGTGCCGCACGATGAGAATTCGATTGTCAACATCACCACGCGTATCGCCAACATCAAGGAAACCTTCTACGGCCGCACCTTTGACGTTCGCGCAAAACCTGATGCTGAAAACGTAGCCTACACGAGCGGCTATCTAGGTCTTCATCAGGACCTCTTATATCTCGAAAGCCCTCCCGCAATCCAGCTACTTCACTGTATGGAGAACTCATGTAGCGGTGGAGAATCACTTTTCAGCGATGGTCTTTACGCAGGTAACCTGCTCTCGCAACAGCCCGCCCCTGAGTGGCATACCATCCAGAGCCTAGCCCGAGTAAAGGTTCCGTACCACTACAAGAAGCACGGATACGTCTACGGTCATAGGCGACCCATCTTGGAAAGAGAAAGAGACGGAGAAACTCCTGCCTTGCAAAATGTATACTGGAGTCCCCCTTTCCAAAAAGAATTCCCGAACCTCTCACCGGATGTACGACAATGGCTTGATGCAGCCAAACTATTCGACCGACTAATCAATGAACGTGATGCGATGTACGAGATCAAGATGAAACCTGGAGAGTGTGTTCTTTTCGATAACTTGCGCATTATGCATGGACGGAATCAGTTCGACGTCGGTGGTGGATCGAGATGGCTGAGAGGAGCATACATCTCCGGAGAGGACATTCACAGCCGTACACTACATATTCCTGAGGAACTCGCAAAAGAGTATCGCGCCGGCAAGGAGTGGCATTCCAGAACCGAAAACGAAGAACTAATAGCGTCAGAACGGTTTGGCAAAGTTAGCCAACAGATTCGCGAGATGAAGGAACGGCTGGAACAGGTGAAAGCTCCCAGGTTTCGAGCAAGAGACCTTCCGCGCTTGAACGCACTGGAGACATGGGAAGTTTAGAACATGCGGGCGGAGCGAGGCTACATATCATAGAATTGATTGAAATAAAAACTCAAGTGCTAAGAACTACTTTTCCAGACTCCTATACCGAGACGCCTAACCGATCCTGAGTCAATACCATGAATCATCCCTTTCCATCATTACCGCTTCTTGTAAAAATGTTTACCACTTCCTGGCTTCAACTCCTTCGGGGGGATGTGTCTCCACGGTGCGATCCTTGACGTCGTTCCAATCGGTGCTCAGAGAGGTACCGTTGCTCTCGATGAAGCTCTTCATCATAGCACGTTGCTGCTCTGGATTCGACCCTTTGTAAAGCTTCTTGAAGAAAGCGTTGACATCTTTCTCTTCATCAGAGTCAATATCGGCGCCGATATTGTCCCAGTCCTTCTTTCCGGTCTTGGAAGATGAAGGGTATGCTGCTGGGTCGGCAGGACCCTTTCCTTTATCCTCGACGATGACCGTTGAAGCCTCTGAGGGGGGTTTGACGGCTTGAACGGGCTTGGCAGTTTCTTGGGCGGGAATCATGCTCCTGTCGTCGGGTAAGCAACAGTCATTAGAGGATAACTGTGGTACATACTCAGTCTCTTCAGCAACAGGGTTAGCGTTGTCCTCTCCCTTCAATTGCTTCCACATTCCGGGGTCTCTTTTCTTGAGGGTCAGCTCGACCTTGTTGGGAGTAACCCTGTAAGTTGACGTTTCGGTGTTAATATGTCCCCAGAGGGAAAAGCTAAGAGGCTTCTCAGAGCCATCGGGCCAAACGACGGAATCGAGGGAAACAGAGTCGGAACCGAATTTGACCTGAAGCTTCTCCTTGTTGACTTTCTTCGAGAAAATAGAGACTGACATGGTGTCGTTATTCTGGAATTCTTGGATCCTTGGAGGTGAGTTGTCAACCACGGCGGACTTGGTAGGAGCAGCAGGAGCTTCTTGGCCGGATTGCTTTATCCCAAGATCAGATAGACCAGCCAGCTCCTTGACCTCCGGCTTGATAGTTGTGGTGAGCTTGCGTGCAGGATCGTCCTCGGGGAGCTTCTCCATAGCATATAGGATCTGCATCCTCAAGGTACTAGCAATACGCCATTCCTTGTGACCGGGGGGATCCTTCTGATCGAGCGCAGATTTGTTACCGGGGTTGTTCACCACATCGGTCTTCGATTCCTCCTGCGCATCACTCAAAGCCACCTTGTAAAACCCATTCTCGTCGCATTTAGCCCTAGCCGGGTCCTCCTTCTCGACAGCAGGGAAGCCCTTCACGAGACGCATAGCGTAAACGCAGCATGCATCAGCGTTTGCGTATTGTCCGAGACGGAAGTAGGCAACGGCACGTCGGTAGTGGGCTTCGATCAAGAGCGGTCGCTTATTGCGCTCATATGCAGAGTGCCAGGCGAGATTGGCATCGTCGAGGGCCTCTTGGAACTTCTTACGGTTGATGAGGGCTTTTGATCGGGCGATGAGCCAGAGGGGGTTCTTTGAGGTTTCGAGGGCTGGTGTAAGCTTGTCGATGGCTTCGTCCCAGTTTCGCGCTTCGGCGGCGGCGAGGCCCTGTTGGGCTAATGTGGTATACGACATTGTGGGTTACAGTAGATGTCTGTGGTAGAGACTCGATGTATGTGTGGAAATGGTCGGAAAGAAAGATGTGATGTGCGATGGTTATATAAGGCAGCAGTAAGAGTCTAAAGTTGGAGATGATGGTGGGTTCTGGAAGCTTTGGTGGGGTCATGAGCATGATGCCGTCTTAGTGGGGCGCGTCCTCTAAAGCTTAAGGCGACAAAATAAAAGTAGCCTAAATTATGCCATTAGGTGTCTAAAGTGTTTTGTCTCTTATGCTGAGCCAATTGTCTAAGACCAAATCACAAGGTGGTTCAATATAACTACCTGTAAGTATGATACATTCTCACAAAGATGGCATGAATGGATAATTGCTGTTAAAGTAATCTGATATGTTTGTCTATTTCCTTCTATGCTGCAATACAAGAAAGTAGTAATGTAGATAGATACGTGCTGCATGAATGATCGCTTTCTATCAAGCAAGGGCTAATGTAACAAAACAGTATCGCTGATGAGTGTATTTCTTTATACCAAGTTTCCCCAAACTCCCAATACAAGACTGTTTGCTGAAATGAATATAAACAAAATAAACATGCCCCAGACTGGACCAAGCCATCCTGACCCAAACAGTAGAGTCGACAAGCTTGTTTGTGCTGACTTCCTCAAGGTAGCAGAAAAGGTAGCCCCTGAAAACATAAACAGACGAAAGGATTTAGTCGATTTATACTCGCTGTGATAAGTACTTAGGCCACTTTATGATAGCAGCCTAATTCTTAGATGATAATACCTCTCTTGCCCGACTGCTTGTCCAATCCTAGATGTGTGCCATCCGGACTATGTAAACAAGTCCCATGCAGTACAGCCCAAGCAGTACCATAAAGAAAACAGCCATCCAGAACACAGAAATCCATGTGTTCTGACTGAGGGACTCGGCGGTAATAAGCGTGACGGACCACGCTTTGGTGACAACCCAACGCAAGATCTGGCCGACAATTTGGCAAGCTTCAAGAGTTGGAAATAACGGAAAGCAAGAAACTGTGCCTTCAAATAGTTCGTCTCGGCCGCCCTGAAGAATGTCAGGACGGATGTGTGAGTCAGCATCACTCGCACCGGATGCTTGGGTCTCAATAGCCTGTGTTTCTACGGGAAGAGGCGTTTCATTCTTGGAAAGAAGAGCCTCTACACTGTCCCAAGACATAGCCTTCTGCTGATCGAAGCCAACGCGCGAGCTTCGGATGCTCTCTTGTTCCATGACATCCAGTTCCGTCCTACGTTTGGCTGCCCAATTCAAGACTTCCTGTTCCATAGCAAGCAGCTCCTTTCTGCACTCGGTTATCCGGCCCAAAACGAGTCCCGTAGCAAATTGGCGTTTCAACATCGCGAGTGAAGACAGCTGGTCCTTGATAGCGTCTCGAATTCTCTGAAGCGTGTATACGTACTCGTGCTCTGGGGTTCCCAGTATAGTGCACAGCGTAACAGCGTGTTCCGTCAATTGTACGAGTTGGGCTGCGTGAAGCTCCTTGCGATGAACTGCAAAGTGACGAATGTTGACGCATGAGCTGAGAATTGTTGAGATATGGATCTTAATACCGTATGCGGCAGCGCGATGTTCCAGTATTGCGGTCCTCTTCCTAAGATGACATGCCCAGATGTTCAATTCGCCAGCTTCAGGACAAGTCCACCCCATTTCTTTGAGGACGTTCGGCATCATGTCTTCAGCATACTCGAAACAAGCTGCCTCCAGGATCCGCTGCATGCGGCTGAGGATGAGAATCTGTGTGCGATGGGGAGGATCAATCTCCTGGGGCACAATTGTGTATTCATAGCTCTGAGGGGTATCCGAAGATTGGGAAGTAGCGGACGAGAAAGTATCGGATGAAAGGTCGGATGAGATGTCAGATGAAATATAGGATGAAGTAGGGGGTGTCCGAGGATTTCGATCGTTTGTTCGAGTATAGAGTGTCAAGAACTCAGCCCAGCTGACCGGAGACTTGCGAATAGAGACAGGAAACATGTTAGTGCTGCAGGTGAAACTTGGACAAACTTTCTTGTCTCCCCCTTCTTCGGCACCAGAAGACTCGGAAGTAGGTGGAGAGTTGGTGCCGTCTCCCATCGTTTCGTCCTTGCCCAGCTCTGGAGTAGACGAGGATATCCCCAGGAGCTGATCTAAGTTGGTAAAGGCCACCCCCTTCGTTTCCATTTCCGAAGCCACTGGCGCTGCTGTTTGCTTCACTGCGGCTGTAGGAGGTGTAGGCGGTACTGAAGAGAAATATATGTTTGCCCTTTCCTCAGACTCAAAGACCTTGGCAGACAACAACTCGCGAAGAATCTGTACAAGCATGTATCGGTCGTACTTCTGGAGTACGTCCCGGACGCTAGAATGATCTTTTGTTTTGATGATGCGTTGTTCGATGGGCTTCTCCCGTCGCAAGAGGGCGTCCTGGCCATGGAGGATTTTCTTGTAGGCAATGTAGATTTCTCGTTCTTGCTCCTTAGTCAACGTAATCTTCATCTTGCAAAGAATACTAGAGAGATATCTCTAGGATAGAGTGAAGAGGGGGATAGTAGGCAGGTTTTATAAGGGAAAGAACAACACTCCAAGTCTGCATCAACTGAACTCTAAGGTCAACGACGAAGTCTAAGCTTGTAAAGAACGAACAAACCTTTATCCAAGTGTTTAAAAGAAATAAGAATTTGCAAGACGTGACTTTACGTGACTAGTAATTTATATGTAGTTGCATAGGTATACTTAGGCAGGGAAGTGTATTAATTGTGCACTTGGTTGTTAGTGTTGAACAGTGAACTTTGACGTTAGCGATGAAGTCTGAGGTTGCGAAAAGCGAACAAACATGAAAGATCCGACTTTTTATATTACTGTTCTGTTAGATACTCAAGTGAATATGTCTAGAAGGAAGTGTATTAACTCCCGGTCTGCAGTTGGGTCAGTGTTAAGCAGTTGGGTTGGTCGATACATGGCCGCATATTGCAGGCTGCGCCTCGATAACCCCCACATAGTCTTCAGAATATCAGAAGACACAAGAGACGAAATAGTTTGTTCACTTTATGTTCACTTTATGTTAACTTAGACCAACACTTAGGCTGGTTTATTATTGTAGCCGAAGCTTAAGAGGACCATTTCTCTATGATCTACTGACAGTGACGTTGATTATAGCATTGATAAGAATGAACGCGAAAAGTGAAACGTCCAAGTTTTGTCAATTAATTAAAGTATGTGATAATAAAGAGTCTAACCCCAGATTTTGTCATGCATCATGTATCTATTCAAGCTTTCTCACCATTCTCACCCACAGCCCAGCTTGGCACGAGCTTCTCCTCGGGGAACCTCTTGGCAAACATACCCAGGGCTTTGATGGTAAAGGTAAACTTGTAGTTGGGATATGAGATCATGCATGACTTGTTGAAGACACCCTCGATGGCCTCCTGCAGCCACTCTCCGTTGGGTTGTTGGCGGTCCATGATCAGTTGGATGCCTCTCCTCAGGGGCTCCACATGGGGATAATCAGCCTCCATGAGGCCGATCAAAGCCCATGCTGTCTGGACGACAAGAGATCCTGATGGGTGCTCGACGTATTCCATGGTTTCGCAGGCCTGTGCATGTTAGTAAAAATTTTCAAAGTGTATTTCTGAGTCGTACCTTGTAGCTTTCCGACCACCCGCCGTCGGCCCTTTGCTTGGAAATCAAGAAGTCACAGCCACGTCTTGAGTTTTCGCCTGTGGCGTATGTCTGGCCGATATGCTTCATGCTCTCGAGCGCGAACATGCCAGCGTAGGTGAAGCAGATACCCCAGCTACCGTACCATCCACCGTCAGGACGTTGGTTGGATTTGATCCACTCAGCTGCGGTTCGGATCAGAGTCTTGACTTCTTCCGCGCGGTAATCGGGCCAGTGCTGGTTGAACAAGGACATAGCTGTCACGCAGGCTGTTGTGCATTCGGGGTAGTCGTACTCGATCATGATGCGACCGAAGACTTCCGCAGCGTTGAGCATTTCCAGCCATTCACCTCCTCGTCTCTTCTCGTATGAAGACATGCCTTTCGTATCGTCATTCTGATATAGCAGTAGAGTGTCAACAGCATCGAATATCCTACGCTCTTCGAGGACCTCCGGAAAGCCACCGACCTTCTGGAGAAGGATGATGGCTTTCATGGCTTCTGAGATACAGTCGCTCACGCCGTAACCCTGGTCCTTGTTGCTGAATGGCCAGCCACCCTTTCGAGGTTGACGGTAGCAAACTTCCTGGTCTACACAATTCTCTCGAATTTGCTGTCTCTCCAGGTAATGAAGCGACTTCATCAACATCGGTCGCCATTTCTCGTTCTTGTGAAGACCGGCCTCGAAGACCGCTTGGATCAAGAAGGCTGTATCCCAACACTGGACACCGTTCGTGCCGTTGACCAGCATACCCTCGTCCTTGACCCAGAGGAATTCTTCAAGTCGCTCTATATGCCTTTGAACGCCATAGTTGTCCGGACCATCACGAGCGTAGCACATGACTGTGTTCATAGTGGCATTGACGGGTGCCAAGCATGCATAATCGGTGTTGGCATCCTCCATATCGACTTGCTTGCTCGACCAAGCCTCTGCCTTTTCCTTAATGATGTTGGGTCGCAGGTAAGGGTTATAGACATTGACGATGAGCCAGTTGGCTGTGTTGAGCAACCATGACTTGGGGTGATAGTTATCGACAGCGCCGATGTCATTTCGGTGGTTTGTCCAGACGATCTTTCTGTAGTCTTCAAGAAAGACTTCCTTCTTCAACGATCGAGTAACGGCGGTCTCCTCGCAGCTCCATCGCTTAGAGTACAGCCAGCCCATAGGAAGGAACACCATGCGGATGTGAATCCACCATCTCCATGGCGCAAAGGGAACCCAATCAGGAAGAAGCCAAATCTCTGGCGGCACAGGATTGACGACATCCCAATCCATAACTCCCAACACAGCCATCCAAAACTTTGCCCAGTGCGGCGCATATAATGCTCCCCCCATCTTGTGAAGGGTACCTCTGGCCTTGACCAATACAGGGTCGTCGGCTTCAACACCAACAAGTCGAAGGGCCACATAGTTCATCAAGGTTCCAAACACGCTGCTCTCGCCCTCGATATGCAGACCCCAACCACCATCTTCTGGGTGTGCCCTTGCCGATATGTATTTGTAGATCGCTGTCGCTTTCGCAGAAGAAATCGGTGTCCTGGTGACGTACCAAGTAATGACAACGCTGGGAAGGAGGAACATGGGACCTCCATATTCGCAACCCCAATGACCACTGGGTAGTTGAAGTTTTTCGAAGAATTCGAGGCCATTTTCGGCAGCCTCTAAAGGGTTATCGGGGGTAGGAAGATCGGGGAGATCCTAGCATCATGATGTTAGCTTCAGCTTGACAAGGGAACCCAATGCACACATACCAGAGATTGATTCAAGTACCATTTCTCAGCATAACTCTGAGGCCATTCCTTCGCAGCTTCGTCGTCCTCCAGGTAGTGCCACGTGTGGCGGCTGTCATCGTCTTTGAGCCTCCATCGTGTCTTGTCCAACTCTGAACTGATGCGCGGCTGCTTAGGGAATGGCTGTCCCTGTTTCAATAGCGGTTCGCCCTCAGAGTCAGCAGCGCGCTTACGTGACTTTAGCGCGCCAGCGTCACGTCCACTAGAATTGGCGACCATTTTGAAGAAGTTGACTCTCAATTGAAGTCAATTGAAAGAAGTAGTGGAGTGATGTCAAAATAAACCCCTTGTCAAGATCAATGGCACAAGCACATGCTTTAAAACTAAACTAACACGGGGACGGAGTTAATCTATTTGGGCTAGAGGAAGGACCCGCGGGTGCCCGGTGGCACTTGCCTGGGACGGGGGCTAGAGACATCAAAATGTCCCGTCTTAGCGGTCAAGCCCCTGAAATTCAATTGCGGCGGGCGCGGATTCCACCCTCCACAACGACATTACCCCTGCGTATTCGGACAATTTGCATCCATCTTCAACTTCAAGCATTCTACTTCATATGAAGACTCAACATTCCGGCTTAAAGCTGGACTCGTCAAATATCAAGTGAACATGGACGAGGAAATGAGTTTTTCTCAAGCAATTGCTACAACAGAACTGCCTCGAAGTCAAACTAATCTGCCGTCATCAGCGACTGTCACTAATACTGATACGAATACGATTACCAGCAACACCAACGTTGGAACGGTTGTGGCTCGCATCGAGGGCATCCTCGAGCAAATCATTGACGCTTTAGCTGCAGGTCAAGAGTTAGCGATTGGATTCTCCCCCAGAAGGGCTGTTCGACAGGCTGCCAATGCGACGACAGAACAGGTTCACTTCCCTGGTCGCAACCAACAAGAGGCCATCAAATTTGGTAACAACATGCGACACTTACATGTCGCTTGACTGACATGTCACAGCGCGCATACTTCTTATTCTTCAGCTTTCTCATGATGCCCTTGTATCCGGTACAGTTCTGACCAAGCGGTTAGTGTGTCGAGTCTAATGCAAGAGGATACTGATGGTTTCAGCCACATATTTTACCAGCATCAAGACCTTTTTGAGAAGCAAAGGGAAGTCGATGATCTTGTAGACGACATCGCATTCAATCTTGGCATCGGCCGCGCAGACTTGAACATTGTGCGCCTCATCAGTCAAACCCTTCTGAGTATTGCCGCTTACTATAGCAGGTCGCCGCTTCAAAAGGTCTATTGGCCGGGCCCTTGACTATCGGCCTTCAAGATGGCAGTACGCTGAACCCATCTTCGGGAGACCTGGTGGGTGAGGCTATATGCTATCTAGTCATGTGCTGATTGGAGTAGGGAATGGCTGTCCCGCTTGTTCAGTCAATTTGGGGCCTCGACATCCAGGATATCAGATAGATTCTGGTCGTGGAAAAGGATGTAAGGATGCCTCCTTTTTCCCAAAGTCGGCGAAAGTTGACATTGATCGATACAGGCTGTCTTCCGGTCACTCTGTTCCTCTCAATTCTGGAGGACCTCTCTGTATGGTCCTGGTATACTCGTCACTGTACGTATTCCGCAAGTCCATTGAGACGTAGGCTGACCGCAGCAGGCCAAAGGATATCCTGACTTGACCACTCGCTCGTTCTTGAACTTTGTCAACACCAAACACCCTCAGTTGCCAATTTTGGGGCTCTTCGACTTCGACCCTGACGGAGTCAAGATTATGCGCTGTTACCGAGATGGATCAGACAGACTTGGCCATGAAACTGATCTCAATATTCAAAGGATGCAATGGCTTGGTATCAAGTCTGCTCATCTGTTTCGAGATTTTACGAGCGCCAGATCCGCTCCGGCTGGCCAATCTTCGCAAGCGTCTATCATCTCTACCACATGTCGTGATCCTGTCACTTACATGAACACAAGAGAACGTAACGCGGCGATCTCGACGCTCAAGAAAGTCTCTGACTCATCAAACAGCGACATTGAAGTATCAGAGACGGTCCATGAATTGCAAGTGATGATGGCGCTTGGTGTCAAAGCTGAGATCGAGTGGTTGGATGAGTCGGGGGATTTATTTTCATGGCTCGATGATGAAATTGGTGAGGCATTGACAAGCTATGATTTAAACGTCATTGAATGATGTTGAGAGAATATGCAGGGTGTGAAACGGAGTTCGAGAGAAGATCTGCTGCGAATAGCCTCAAAAGATGAAGAGCAATAATGACAAGACAAACATGATTACCCTACATGACGACCCACCCCCACACCGTGCGAAAATAGCGGGGTATCAACACACACAGTCCCCTCATCTTCACAAAATTTTATATCCTTGACATTGAAAACATCACCAAGCGCATCATCATGGCCCCCAAACTCACAGAAGAAGAGATCGATGATCTCATTTACTTTTCCCGAGCCGGAGAGCAGGAGGACTTGACAGAGACCATCAAGTCCCTGGCTGAGCGTGAGAACGCCAGCCCTGCTGAGATTGTTGCGGCTGCTCAAGATGCTTCCAACAAGTCTACATGCTTGCATATGGCGACAGGAAACGGTCATCTAGGTAAGAATGAAATTCTGGGGATTTGGAGGCCCCATATGACTCCGAGATCAGGGTCTGGGTGTTGTAGAATTGGCGAATATCAAACTAACGCTTCTCAGAAATCGTTCGCCAACTCATCTCATACTTCGACAACCGACCAAAGGAGCAGAAGCAAGCCTTCCTCGATGAATCGAACGAGGCTGGCAACACCGGTCTTCACTGGGCAGCCCTAGGTGGCCATCTCGACGTCATCAAGCTGCTTCTCGAGCAAGGTGCTTCTCCTGCGCTTGCAAACGAGCAGAACTACGTTCCTTTGGACTTGGCTTACTTCAACCACAAGAACGACGTGGCCGAGTACTTTTTGTCCCAGGCTAAGAAGCTGGAGGATAAGAACCAAGAGGAGGGTGGCTTGGATGCTGCTGTTGGATCTGTTGAGATTGAGGATGGCGAGAAGGCTGAGGAGAAGAAGGAGAGTTCATAGGGATGATTTGGGCTGGAAAATGGGTATGAATGATGGGATCTAGATGACGTTGGGACAGGAAAAAGGAACAGGATTGGGAGTTTAGGACATATATGAGAACAAGGAAAACACTTTCACATCAACCACTACCAGAGCACATCTCAAGAATATCGATTACCGTTAGAACTGCAGATGAAATCCCGAAACAACACTCACGATATTCAGGGTCCAGAGTATCATAAGCACGCAAGGCCTAATACCTGAAAAGCATTAGGAGCAACGGATTGTTCATATAAGGGCTAGGTAAGACTTAACATACTTAACAGGACCAGCCTGTTCATTTCTGTTTTCTTGTTTACCCCAATGTCAACTTACCTACTTGATTCAGATACTCCCTGAGCACGACTTTTTACTCCATACCATCAGAATTCACATACATCTGTGTCTGATGTGTCGTACAGTAATTGCTACTGAGATCCGTAATTCTCAGATCGCAACCAAGTCTACCACATGTATGCGCAGAACAATAAATCGAATGCTGATTACTGTCCTGAGGCGTTACGGCATCCATAAGACAGGACCATTCTTTAGCACTGCAGGTATGTTCTTTGCAAAACATTCCCTTCTCTCCATCATCAGTAACTACTACAGGTCCTGTACAAGAACCAGAAGAGCAGATTGTTTCAGGCCGCTGAGCGACTTCCCCTCTACCATATAGTCGTAAACCCAGGATTTCGTCGGGTGTTTCTACAAGTATATCGCGTATCCTTCTGGAGAGTCTCTGACCTCTATTATTTATCGCCTCTTGACGTTCTCGAAAGCTTCTTTCTTTCCTCTGAAATCCCTCTTGAATCTCTCGATAGATTCTGTCTTCTTCCTGAAGCTCCTCTTCAAGCTCTCGAAAGACTCGTTCTTCGTTTTGAATCAGCTCAGTCTTCTTCCTCGCGCATTCTTCACAGTCACCACCGATCTTACAAACAGTATACTGCTCTGTTTCTAGGCTTATCTGTTGAGCCTCCCGCCCCGGCTTCTTGAGGTCTAGCTTCTCAATCATGCAGCCAATATAGTCGTTACACTGGAGGAGTCCCGTGGTGCGCAGTCGATGAGGGTTACCCTTAGTGGAGCAGGAGTATTGGAGTTCCATGTAGCGACACATGATTTCTAATGATAAAGGTGGTATGAAGAATAATCTTTTGAGCCTGTGAGTAGGAATAGAAGGTTATTGCGAGTGAAGTTGGTTTGAGTAGAGCTGCTGCACCTCTTTGATCCGGCAGAGAAAAGACCTCTGCCCTTTTATAGGTTATTTTGTATTTCAACAAAGGCGAACAGTGAGCTGAGTACTTTGTTCGTGCAAGTTTTATTGCCAAAGCAGTCAAACCATTGTTCGTATGGTAGGTGAAGATTGAGCAGTTGTAGAAGAACAAAGACGCTGTTCCGACCCAGCGTTTCCACAAGGTTTCCTGTTCTCATTGTGTCAGCTTCGCAAAGTAACATAACATCATGTAGCGCTGTTTAGTTGTTCACTCTCACTCTTTCCATAGAAACAGAAAAACAATGTGCTCTGTGAAAATACGTGAATTTGAGCTGGTTAGAAGTTGTCAAATATCCCCGAATTTGACTGTGTCAGTCCATCCCTGAGAGTTTTCTGGGCGGACTAGACCGACGTAAAGATACAAATTCCCAATATCAATCTGTGCTTGGGTATAGGAACAGGAGCTCGATATCTGCAGTCACGTATCGGAACTATTGAAGGGGGAATTGAGAGAAACTTGAGTAGCAACTTGTCCGTCCTCATAAGTACATCGGATACGAGCACTATAACACCTGGAAACCGTCTGTCCAGTAGCTCATGTCCAGGCTAACATGGGATACATGGTGCCCGCTTTTGGAATGATGGTCAGCGGTTGCCTGAGATAGCTGAGACCGCTGCGGATATCCTCGAAGTGTGCTGAGTTTGAACCTTCGTGCTTGGTGATACTGTCGATGTTGACTTTAATGTCGATTCCCAGTTCTATGTTGGAAGTCGAAAAGGTCCATGGGTCATAGCTACTGGATAAGTCGTCAAAGCCAGAGTTTACGATGAATGTCGAAGTGGCGGGATCTTCACTGGCGGTGGTCCAGACGGTGCTGGTTTCTTCGCTTGTAGTCGTGGACGTCTCAGCAGTTGTAGTTGTATCAAACTCGAGAGTGACAGTTGTGTCAATGGCTGAGACTGTAGTTGCTATATCCTCAACCGATAACGTCGGCCGTTGTGGTCAATCCAATAGTAGCATCGGTTGTAGCACTCTCGACGATGGCGATGACCGACCCCAAAGTTGAAGATAGCTCGTTGATTAGGAGTTGAGTAGTCGGAAGATCATTTCCTGTAGTAAATGCCTTTGAACTAGTTGGGCTTGCACCGTCGAGGTAGCAGGCGCTATGGTTGTCTCGTAGTCTGTTGTAGTGTTGATAAGAATTGAAGTTGAAGCAAGTATTGTAGTTTCAGTTTCACCAGATGTCGTCGTGAAGATTTCAATTTATGTGAGACCAGTTGAGATACTACCGGTGGTAGATTCAGCAGTCAAAGATGGATACAAGCCGACGGAAAGGTCTCTGGTTGTCCTGAAGTTGACTTTGCATGAACTCGCGGCGGAACCAGCAGCCATATAAGTCGCGATACCGCGATGACTATTCCTTTCGGAAACATGTTGAAGGGTGCGTTCGGCACGGGATGTAAAACGAGCGACAGGCATATTCGAAATGAGGGGACTTTCTTTATTTATGACGTTGCCTTTTAGTGAAATTGACTCTAGAGTCGCCCTTAAACCCCCTTGCTTTCAGTCTTCCTCAACACCCAAAGTAGAAATCATTTCACTCAATCCACCCACAAGCCCCTCGTATACGGCCTGTTGTAAACGTGGTTTGGTGAGATCGTCGCCGTAACCAAAGTCACAATCCAGACATTTCCTCGTTAAGTCTCGATACCTCGGACCCAAATTTGATGCTTGCGTCGATAGCTTGCGAACAGTGATAACGTCTTCTAGAGAGTCTAGTGTAGACCACTGTCCGACTTGTAGTAGGATTGCGCCAAGACTCCAAAGAGTCAGATTTCTCACACCATATAACAGCTTGGCCTCCTGGAGAGCATCATCTACTGCTATAGGAGACGGCAAGCCTGTAGCAGCCGCATTGTTTTGTTCTTGCGTATGGATCGCTTGTGTGAAGTCCGATGCGACGTGTAGTGTCTTGAGACTTGTTGTGAGGCTATGCCCTGTGTTGTAAAGCATCAGGTCGTAGGTATTGAAGTAATCCTTGAGCCACGGCGTTGTATGAAGCTTCAAAACAGCAGATGCGATCTCACGAGCGATCTTGAGTTGATCCACTATGGTGATAGATCTTTCTGCTGACTGACCTAGCGCGTCACTCATTGGCATCAAGGTCCCGTATGCCTCGTCGGACGTTGCAGGTATAGCCTTTTGACGATGGTGGGTTAAGCTTTTGTAGAAATGATGCCGGAACTTTCCGTCAACATCGCCATCAAGGTATCCAAAGCAATACCCATCATCTGACGAAAGGCTGTCGTCTTTGTATAGTACAGAACAAAGGTCAACCACAGATAGATCGGGAGGTAAGCTCATTACTTCCGACTTGTCAGAGAAGCAGCAAGACCGGTTCTGATCCACTGACGCACTTGCTCCAGCTCCAGCTTCAGCAAACCGAACCTTTCTTCTTTTCCGCTGACCATCATGGCAACTTGAGGATTCGTTGGAATTTGGGGGTGTGGGAAGCCCAAAGGATGGGCCACGGTTCTGTGATCGTATATTCACACGGATTGCTCTTTCTTGATGGCCATTGCAAGTAATGGCAACATTCATGTTGATATCCTCCTCGACATTAGTGTGGAGGAATAGCCGTACGATATGTTGCATCTCTTGACTCATCCCATGCCCTTCATTGTTTGACCAAACCGTGGTGAAGGCTTCATGCAATGCTTTGGATGCTTCTTTGGTCTTCCTGAAGTGGTTATACTCGGGATCGGTTTGCATTCGAATGGTCCGTCGCGATTGTGTGATTGCAATAGGCTTTCTGAGCTCATGTGTCTGCTCTCGAAGTTGTCTTAGCTCTTCAATGGATTGGTTCAGGTCTTTGATGTGTGCGTCAAGTTTTGATTCGTCGTGGACGATTCTGCTTGCGTCGCGTAATCGTCGCATAGCATCCCGGGGGTGCTCATTCTATGTTCGTTAGCTCCTTCCTTCCATTCAATCGAACTTTCTCATCTGCTTACCTCGTCGCATTGATCCAGAATCTGGTCGAAGCAGTCGAAGATTGATTGCAGACTTTCCATAGTGGACCCAATGTCCTCAATGATCTCGCGGCAGGAGCTATAACTCTCCCCCAGGCTCCTTCTCATTCCATTTTCAAGCTCTTTGCTAGCCCACTTGGGATGACTTTCATCTTTCAACATCAATTCCACAACATCCTCCTCGTTCAAACAAGGCCTCAAAAGAAGATGGACCTCATTGGTGAAGACCTGCGATTGTCGGCTAACTCGCTTCTGGACTCGACGTAGCTCTCGAGAATAATGTCGGAAGATCTTGAGCTTTTTGCGAACAACTTTACACGTTTTTACCGCTCCGCCAACAATTGGCAAAACGCCCAAAGCAAGCGACACGGGCTCCATTTTTGCGGAATCGAGTCTCGATGATTGAGGTGGGGGACGCGCTCGTCATAAATGATAAACCCTTGTCGGACGCCTTGTGAGGCTGAAGATGGAATGAGAGTTAAGCGCCCAAGGCAGTGCTTAGGGGCTGAGCCATGCATGCGACACTGTCTCGCGCATTATTGGCCATTACAATCGGAGCTGAATGTACTTTCACAGTTACACGTGCCCATATTCTCAAACAGACGGAAATTTGCTGATCTACCAAAGATAACGGGATTGCGCACAAGATGGAAAGTCTGAACGAGCGAGACGGATACGACCCAGCAGCTAAGGTCCGGCTATTTCTCGATGCTTTAGCAGTCCTCGACGAAAAGCCACTTGACGAGGAGAGCATTGTTGCGCGCCTATGCTCTTTGCTACTCGTTGTGTTTCGCGACCTTATCCAGAAGTTCACAGACTCGAAGCTTCACGCGGACGAGAAAGCCCCGGTCAGTATCAGTTTACAGAGAAGCCTAGATCGATTGAGACTATGGGCCGACGGCTATCGGATATGCGCGGGCGATCAAGATATCAACTTTATCAAGTCTAGACGTCTAAGACGCGCTACGATCGAGGTTCTGGTCAGCATTAGCGATACTTTGCTGGAGAGTACGTGCTTATACCTGGTCTATGTGCCCAGACCGGACAGTGTGTTTCTATCTAGGACTAAGAAATAACAGGATTCGAACCTTTGACGAGTTCCAAAAAGACTGAAATATTAAAGAAGTCTGAAGAATCAGTACAGAAACTAAAAGAAGTGCTTGAAGCAGCTCACAGAGACCTGGACCGCGACACTTCCTCGTCGGATGACAGTTCATACTATGGCTCTGATGGCCTTGATGAGATTGCAAAAGATCTAGAGAACGATACTTTATCTCTCATGGGACTCGAGGCACTATTTCAAAGCGCGACAGTAGAGTTGTTTGCCGAAAAAGCCGCCTTTGCAGATGTAGTACAAACCTGGCTGCCCCATGATGTATACAAGGATAATATTCGGACTAGATTCCCAAAAGCAGAAGGCTCTTTGGTTTCGAGACTCTCCAAAGCGTCCTTTGATCGCTATCTCAGATGTCAACGAGAACGAGAATCACAGACTAGGGCAGTTGGCGACATCGACTTCCCAAGGATCACTCGGTCAGACGCTGCTAGCTCGAAATTCCGGGATTCTGGTCTTGGAACGTCGATTCCCTCTTCAGCTTCTGTTGCTGAAACGGTCATGTCGTATCGTGTTGAAGGAAGGACTTCGGTTCGAATTCCACCTTTACCCAAAGAGGCCAAAGCAGGACAACTTTTTAACTGCATTTCTTGTGGTAAATTTCTCTGTGTCCGAAGCAACTCAGTATGGAAACGGCATCTATATGAAGACCTACAGCCCTGGCAATGCCTCGATCCGGATTGCTCTTTCACGAGCGTCTTTCAGACCCGCGAAGACTGGGTAGCTCATATTGCACAAGATCACAAGCTCGAACCAGATTGGCAATCCATCAACTGCCCTCTGTGCTTCGAAACCATCCCTCCTGGGAAGATAGCTATCACAAAACATCTTTGCAGCCACCTAGAGGAGATATCTCTTGCTGCACTTCCGACAAATCTAGATATTGAGTCTCATCCAGGGTCGGATAATGATTCAGACTCTTCTAAATCTCAACAGGAGAGCACGGATGAGACGAGGGGGGAGCCGAAGCATGAATCACTCGCAGGAATTACCCAAGGTCAAGAGCCAATTCTTCAAGATGCACTAGACTATCTAGACCAGGTCAAACTAGCGTTCCATGACCGTCCTGCCAAGTACAATCGATTTCTTGATATCATGAAAGATTTCAAAGCACAAGCGTGAGTTCTTCAAGCCATATAACGTCTGGAAATGAGCCTAACACAGTCTTAGTATTGACACACCGGGTATAATGCGCCTGGTGACAGATCTGTTCGTAGTTGAAGATCAGGTGCCATTAATTGCTGGGTTCAACAGCTTCTTGCCGTCTGGGTATAGTATCGACAAAGAGTTGAATTTCCGGATGCCTGGGGATCCGGTATCGAACTTTTACTTTGAAAGGGACGACAATCGCGAGAATACTTATGAAATTTACCCCGATAAGATTTGGGATAATGACCAAAAGCCCGATCGCAAGACAAAAGAAGAGGCACCTGTTTCTTTCAATACTTCTATATCTTATGTAAACCGGGTGAAGGTAAACTGGTGTTCCGATAATTGTCAAGATACAGACTGCTAACTCCTAATAGAATCGATATATGAGTGAGCCCGAAAGATATCGACAATTCTTAGAAATCTTGCAAAAGTATCAGAGAGAGGAGACGCCCTTACAGGATGTGTATACTTCAGTGGCAACACTTTTTGAGTCAGCGCCAGACCTTCTTAGCGATTTTAAAAACCTGTTTCTACCTGAACCCGTCGGAAACAGAAAAGCAATTACCGATAACCCAATGGGAGGCGAAAAAGAGGAAACAGGGTCAAAACCTGCTCCTGTGGTTTTTGACGAATCGGAGAGTCTCGCAGGTGCTGTTATTGAACAGGCTGGCCAGCAATATAATGGGCACTTTCTCGTGTGGGAATGTTAGTAGGCGTGTATGGCCGTGAGCCGAGAGGTCCATGTATCAAATATCACCAAACTTGGTTCAAAAGTGGTGAATTGCCGAAGAAAGGAACAATATGATGGAAAGCCTGCAGTGAAATGAAAGGGTTTCTTACAATAAATTGACGTCCCTAGATCTGACAAGACGGGCTGTATACACAACTGCGGTGAGTTTTGGTGGATTAATGCGAGAGGCCATCAGGGTTCTCGCCGACCGAAACCCTTTTGTCGATACCTTGAGAGCCGCGTCCCGTTCACGAACATACATTTTACATCTTCATTATACTACAAGTCGTTACAAAAAGCCTCTAACATCTTATCTATTGTCGCTCTACAACATGGAGCAACCTGTCGAAGATATTCCCCACTGCCACCACCACCATCACCATCTGCAGTATCACACTCATCATCACCATGGTCCTCCTCAAGATGTTCCTAGGTCAATGGGACAGCACAATAAATCACACTACAAGTTTGTATCTCTCTAATAGCTTGTTTTGTTTCACCTATTGACTGGTTTAGTAATGTTCCTGCCATGATGTTTCAATGGCCGTGGATTATCGAATTATGCAACCAAGTATCGAAAGAGCTTCGACAGAACATAGAATGGATTGGCATAAAGCCTCCTGCATCAAGACCTACGAAAATGCTGGACTACGCCTGTGGAAATGGTGTAGCATCTCGAGTAAGAGCAGTTCTGACGTTGTCGACGTTGATTCAATACTGATCATAGCAGGCACTTGCACCTTTCATGTCGACTGTTAGAGGCATGGACATCTCATCATCAATGGCAGAACAATACAACGAAATGGCGCTCAAATCAGGATACACTCCAACAAAGATGCACGCAGTACAAGGGGACATCATCGAGCCTGAATCAACACCATCCCCCGAGCTTAACACACCCGCATATTTCAATTTTGATTTAATAGTCATGTGTCTAGCTCTGCACCACATCGAAGACCCTGATAATATGATTTTACAACTTTCAAAAAGACTTAGACCAGGAGGGATCTTGCTTATCATTGACTGGGTTTCTAATCGAGAAGGTATGGACTTTTCGAAACTTAGTGTTAATAGGATGGGGTTCCAAGAGGAGGAGGTTAAGAGTGCGTATGAGAAGGCTGGGTTGGAGGATTGGTCTTGGAAATTGACTTCGACACCGTCACCTGTTCCTAGGGAGACTGGGGGGGAACAGCAGTTGTTCTTTGCTCGGGGGAGGAAGGGTGGTAGTTAATCAAATAAACGTTCGTGTCCTAACCCAGCGCTTTATTAAGAACTTCACATACATACAAAAAGCTCATATATATCATGGTGACAGGATGACAAACTCGACTGTAGACATTGATTCATGTCTGTACTACGGATGCTTTGACTGATTCAAAGTCCTGGAATGAGTATATATAGTTCTGATACCCCTACTAGTTTGACCCATATCAAATTAGCCATACTAGATATTCAAAAGCTTCAAACAACTGACTTTCTTGTATATCTGACCGCCCTATCATTTCAAACATGCCTAGAATTAGAATAGAGATCCGTCAAGCCACAACAGCTCCCGCAATGGACTCATTACAACATACTTACAACAATCTCAAGGATGTAGACGAGGCATCACGGCTTGTCGAGGCTTGTCCCGGTGTTCTTGATAGCCTGGCCAACCTGCTTGTCAAACATAAGCTGCATGACTTTTACGACATCCTTCTCAACCACAAGCATTTTGACATCACCAGAGGTGAGAAGGTTGTCACCTTCCACGGCAACAGGAACATGGCCGTTTCAGTCGTATGCAAAGACGGCGAATGTCCACGCGAACTTCTTGCTTCGGAAGGCATCGAACCTGCCCCTGGTGGCAAAGTCATTCCTAGTGACTTTATTATCAAGAACGGGCGTGCTATCGCTTATGAGTTCGTCTATACTCACACGAACGAAATTCCTAGCCTCAGTTCTGAGTTCGTACAAGAATGGAGCGATTATCTACGAGATCAAGGTCTAGACAGCTTTTTAGGGCTTTGTATCCGAGAAGAAGGCGTGCCATTTGACGCCCTTGAAGTTTCCGACTCCGAGAACCGAATCAACAGGTTGTTCTTCAAGTATGACCGTGCAGAGGGAGATATTGATTTAACTACTAGTTGGCGAGTTAATGAACAAGATGGTGTGGCAGTGGCTATGAAATGCAGATACTGCAAGACCATTAACGAGCATGAGAGAAAATGTATGGCTAACAACTAGCTTCTTGAATCTTGATGTACCTGCTTTAGAAAAAGTAAATAGAGATATTTGGAATGCAAAAAGTGAGGTTCTGCCCGGGCTCGAACCGGGGACCTTCTCGGTGTTAACGAGATGTCATGACCAACTAGACCACAGTACCAAGCTGTTGTTGTTGAATGATACGTGACAATTAGAGCCTACAGAGGCTTGACATAACGAGAAATAGTCAGAAAACAAAGCTGTAGATCACTGAATAATATAATGTTGCTAGAAGGGCTTCCAGACATATACTATACTGTGATTGAAGTTACTATCACCATTGGAGATCATAAAGTTGTTGGCAGAACTCTTCACCATCATCAATCATTTGTATCACGTGACTCATTACACTCCCGCACCTCCAATGGACACCTCCACACAGAGACATCTCCACCTCATGCCCAATCGTATCTAGCGTCAAGCCCACCGCGGAATGCAACAGCGAAGATGTAAGTCCATCCTCCGAAAGCGAATACTACCTACAGTCCGATGATTAAACTTGTTCTTGCCCTCCTCTGTACTCAAATCTGAGCATGAAGATATCAACAGTCGGAACCCGTACTCTTTGTTCCACCTGAAGACTTTTATTCTACACTCCTTGGTGCGAAGAACCTGCGGAATGATCCCGTGCTAACATTCAAGTGCTTTACTGTAGGTTAGCCAACCACCAACGAAGTACACTGGACGGACAAGACACAGTCTCTCCAGAGACCGCCTCAAGAAAATGACGATCGAATAATACAGAAGGGAGGCTCATGACGATAGATCGGTTGTTCAACGACTTGAGGAGAGGTGGTGAACGACTCAGTATTGCCTGCACTCGCTGGGATGTTTGCGACGGGCACTTCTACGTAGCGATGCGCCTCAATCATCAATCGCCAAATATTCTTTCCACGACTTCGGAGGGATTCGAGGCTCTGCTTACTCCATGTACCGGGGAAATTATCGCATTTGCCCCATCGCTTGAGAAAGGCCGCCGGGGTAAGGCTGGATGTTCCAAGACGATAAATATATCTTACAAGACCCTTGTTTCGGTACATAATCTACAGCCAGGTCCTAGTGTTCTTGAAAGTACCTCAGTCCGCTTTCAGTGTTGAGTCTTTTTCGACCACAAATCGCACCATGCTTTCCAAGGGTCTAATAAGCGAAAGGATCAACTGGGTGCGTAAGCCACCATCACTTTAAACAGGCACCCGATCCTTCAATTCTTTATTGCTTAACACCACGTGTTTGAATGCGTTGACTATCTATAAATTGGCGATCCGCATCGTCTTTTTGATCCTCAAACCTTGTTTACTTCCAGCGACTTACCCACGGTTACAGCCACCACCAGTGAGACCCTTCAACCCTCAATTGCCAGCACCGCTAACAGTTGAAAACAGTCACAATGAAGATCCAAGTTCTTATCGCTGCCGCAATGACCTCCTTCGTCATCGCGGACCAATACCCCGGCGCCAAAGAGAAGTGCGGTCGCCTTGGACCCATGACATGGGACCCGAAGAACCTTCCAGAGGGTGTTGATGTTAACAAAATCCGCATGTGTGCGGACCATCCTATGGGTGCTGGCAACTATTGGGGAATGGGCGAATATCTCCCTAAATGGGTCCCTCGTAACCCTCTGGCCGATTATTTATAGAACACGTTTGAGATGAGTTTTCATAAGGTTAGCCGATGTTGATTATGGAAGTGATGCCATAGATAGGGCTGGGCGAACATACTATATATCTATATATTGATTTAAACGACCGAGATGGCATCTCAACGCCATCACAGAATTGATAATCTATCAATAGCCAGTCGTCAGTCGTCTATGGACCGCATCCCTCAGAGTCTCAAGGTCCTCATCCTTCAGCCCAATCGTCTCATTGTCCGTCTTTTCATAAAGAGTCCCACCCTCAGACCAGATACGACGCAGCGTATACAAAGTAGCATTGGAGTTTCCTTCGGCCCATCCCTTCTTCTCTGCCTCTCTCAACTCATCAAGACTGTAGGTTTCAACAGTCCATGAATCACCTCCTGTCTGCTTCTCCAGCTCTTTCAAAATGTCCCTTGGGGTGACGACGAAGGATTGTACTTTCAAAGCTTTGTTAAATGACTCAGAGGGATGATGAAGGGCTGCTACTACAGCTTTTCCAACACTGCAAGTTGTCAGTTCTCCTCCGTTATCAAGTGATGTATAAAACTTACTCTGGCATAGTCGTAAATCCAATCTTTCCCTCTCCAGTATCAATCAAAACAGCTTTCTTTCCCTCATAATCAAAACCACCAGCCTCAGGAATATCAGGGTTGAAGGTAAAGTACATATCAATGTACGGCCCAGTAACCACAAAAGTATACTTGAGTCCATTGGCATTCTCCCGGATATACTTCCTCACTTTGAGCTTCAACTGATGCGGCTTCTCATCAGCACTCTGAGGTCCATACTCAACATCCGTTCCATATTCAGAAGGGAAGAACCATTTCACCGAGTCTGATTCGGATGCGAGCTTGAATAGCTTGATTTGCGTTTCGATGACGTTTCTTCCCACGGCACTAACGACGGTGTCGATGCCCTTGTATGCTTTCTTAACGTCTTCTTCATTGTTGACATCACCTGTGATAATATTCACAGCCTTTGATTTCAGCTCCTGAATGAAATCCTGTTTCTTGGAAACTGTGTCTTCGGAGGTGAAGATAGTGACATGATCGAACGCCGGCTGGGCATTTACTATGGCCTTGGTGATGTACCGGCCAATAGTGCCTGTTGCACCAAAGATAAGAATGCTTTTGGGTTGGAAGTCGGCCATTTTAATGTTGCTGAGTGAGTCAAGTTTGGTTGTTTCCTTGAATAGAGGAAGAGGTTGATTTATAAGCTGGTGTTGAGCCGAGGCGGGGTCATGTTTACGTAGCAGTTTAGCACGATATATTCAGCCGCAATGAGCCAATGCTTGGTTGGTACTCAAGATAGGGCGTCAAAAGAATTATTCTCCAAGGCTCGGGCTACACAAATAAAGTAAATTAACAACTAGTCTAAATCTGCATGAGGTGATCAAATTATTTCGTCTCTTGGGTCCCCGGCGACCGATTCTGGTGAATGGGTCCGAGAACATAAGAGACGAAATAGCTTGGTGATCTTATACCTAAGTTTAGGTCAGCACTTAGGCAACTTTACTTTGGCGCCCTGATGGATCCATGATGACCTACTACGGGATGAAGCTTTGATGATATTGATAGCTGATATAGTAGAAGCGCAATGTTAGACTTGTATGTTGTTGGGTTGAAGTGGGTTCCGTGCCTATGATCTGCATCCGAGAATAGGTATATAGCAGATCTGGGCAGTCGCCGAGTTAGGAATGGATATTCTTTCCTTTTTTATTACATTGTGGACTTTTAATACGGAAAGTGGTTGTCATTAGGTACACATGAGCAGGTACGCATTAGAAGAGGCAGCCATAAACATTTATCATTTTACCTAATCTTAGTCAAAGTATTTCTCTTCTTACCTAATAGGTAGATGTCTCTCTACCTAATATGCTATCAAATCTCAATCCAAACGCCTTACAAAGAATGTCCCTCAACCCGCAGAACAGTTCTCAAATGCTTAAATGATACCTTCTCCTCCTTAGAACAAGCCAACAGATTCGCCGTCTTGAGCACATTCTTAATCTGTCGACCATTCAGATCAAGTCCAGCAAGCTTCTTGATCTCCTCGTCTGTGATGGTATGCGCAGCATCACCATCCGCGGTAGCATGCACAGTAACAGCACGGCTGAGGAATCCTCGCCAGACAGACTCCCGAGCTGTGGCGTCGAGGGGAGGATACTCGAGTGACATGTGGATTCGGCTTTGGAATGCTTGGTCCATGTCCTTGACGCGGTTGGTCGTGAGGAAGAGAATTCCCTCGTAGTATTCCAGTGTACGGAGGAAAATGGATACGATGCGGTTGCGCTGGATATCATGAGCTGATCGAGCCTCGAGGAAGACATCGCATTCATCGAGAAGGAGGACAGCATTCCAGTTAGCCACCATTTCGAGAATGCGAGTCAAGTTCTCCTCAATATCGTACGCATCAGCACCCAAATCACCAGCGCTCATGATATACAGAGGAACCTTCATCTCCTCGGCGACAGACTCTGCAGTGAGAGTCTTACCGATACCGGGACCACCGGACAAAAGCATGATGATACCCTTGCCCTTACCAGAGATAACATCGTCAAAGACATCCTTGAACTTGACCTGACTCTGGGCATAAGCGAGGATAAGCTCCTTCTGATCCTCAGGGAGCACGAGTGAGTCGAAGGCCTTGTCGTTGAACTTGACGTCTGTTACGTCGTCGATGAAGAATTCCATCCATCGCTTATTCTTGAGAGCGTAACCTCGAACAATGGGCGATGCCATTAGAAGCTCCTCTTCTGTCAACTTGATACGGTTCTCGGGGTCGACCTCTGGCTTTCCAGCATCAGAGTCGGCGTAAATGTCGTAGTCATCGTTGTTGTCCTCATCATCGCTATCCGCATCCTTGTCCGAGTCCTTATCGTCATGGCCGAGATAATTCATGTAGATCAGATGCTCAGGGTTCATCTTCTCCCAGTTTGCTCCATCGACGACAACGCGTGAGTTGACCGTCTCCTGGCGGGACTTTTCAGCCGTGACATACCACGTAGCAGTGCCACTGTACGCCTTGTAGTAGTATCCCGCAAGACTCTGAAACTTGCGACCGCGCTCGATGAGCAGCTGTCGCGCGGCCTCAGGCTTGGGATGGTACTCGAGAGGGTAACAAGAAAGAGTAGAGAAGGGTACTGTGCCGATGAAATCTCCAATCTGCATGGGGACATCAACCCAGCCCATGCCCTTTCCGTCCCAATCGATGCCCTTACAGTTCAGGCTGTAGACCATACCACAACGCGTCTTGACATAGTTTCCATATTCGAAGCGAGCAGCGACAGGTTTGCCTCTGGAAGAACCCCAGACGGTACATCCAGGAGCAAACAACGCCCATACATGCTCAAAAGCAACAGCACGGTTCTTGTAGTAATCCTGTCTGAGCTGGATGATCTCACCCAACTCCTCCTCCAAAATCTTATGCAAAAGGGCAACATGCTCACGGGTGATCTCATCCCACTTCTCATCCTCCTTGGCAGCAGTGAGTCTTTCCCAGCGATGCACAAAGCAGTGGAAGGGAGCCGAGAACTTGAGGCGAGTGACATCAGTGACGATACCAGGATAATCATCAAAGACCTTGCCCAATACACGCTTGAGGTAAGGAGATTGAACGATGATACTGTCGATGACAAGAGGTTTGTTGGAGTCAGCCTCCTTTGGCTTCACCTTTCGGATGATGACTGCGTATTTTTGAGTCTCCTCGTTCTCTGCTGCTTCTTCGAGATCGTCGGGGTATTTATCTGTCCATGAACGATCGCCGTGCTTGTCGTATTTTGCGTAGAGGTCTTTCTTGTCTGTGACGAGGCCGACCATGATTTTCTCCTTCTTTTCTTCGTCTTCTGTCTTGTCCTTGTCCTCTTCAGACTTGGACTCTTCGGTCTTGGACTCCTCCTTTGAGTCTTGTGATGAAGACTCAAGCTTTGTCTCTGTTGTGGTTTCCTCTTTTTGAGGTTCAGTGTCTGCGGGAGTTACGACAACGGCGGACTCATCGCCGCTGGTGCTCTTGTTTGAATCCATGTTGTCGATAGTCATGATAGGCAGATCCACAGTGTCTTGTGCAGACCAAGTGAGAGTGTAAGATATCAAAGGAAAGAAATTAGGATGAAGAAAGTCTTGATGGGTATGAGATAGAGAGTTATGAGAGATGATAATGATATGAATGACAGCTGTTGGACCTGTGCTACCTCTATATAATCCTCATCTCACCATGGAAGGCCTCCAGGCAGGAGTACGGCATATTACTCACACGGCAATGCCTGACCCACCAGATCATCATAGTAAGCAGTGATAAACTGCATAGTAATTTCAAGCCAGAAATATCATTCTGATAGGTTCATTCAATCCTTCGGCGACCATATGCAGCAATCCTGACGGCATGTTCAGGCTGCACTTGCACTGCCCATTGACGGATCTAGATCCAGGCAGCTCGCAAGGGACCCATAGGGCTTAGTCTCGGATACAGGCAGCTAAGCTTAGCACTGCCTCAGTGAGAAAGTGGCCTCAGAGCGCAGTAATCATTAGCGCGCTCGCACTGATGATTGGATCGTGGAGGATTGTGAGCCTGGAGATACAAAGGCCGGAAGAGTCATCGGGAAGTTTGTCCCACAAGAATACGAAAGATCTTCACGAGATCTTCAGCTACTGTAGGACTTTCACAGTAGTATTTACAGATTGCTACTATCATCGTGAATAGGCAACTGCCTACAAATTCTCTCCAGCCAAAATCCTCTCTGCTGCCTGCTTCGCAGCATCCTGCGCCAATAAAAACAAGCTCGGCCCAACACTAATCCTCGCAACACCAATATTCGCCAAGTCCTTAGTCGACAGCGCATCTTGAGTCTTATGCGCCAGCTTGACAGCGACCTTCCCATCTAACTCCTTGACCAAAGTCTCGACCCAAGCATCTCTCAGCCCCCGTCCTGAACCGCCCCAGTAAAACACGGTTGTAGCACCCGCGTCGAGATATGCCTTGCCACGTGTGATGGCTTCTTCCATGACTTGTGCCTCTGAGAGACCTGTGTCGATATGGAACATGTCGCAGCGGGCGTTGATGACAAAATCTGGACAGCCTGCTTCTGCGGCGGTTGAAAGAATCCTTTTTAGGCGTTGCACTTGTTCGGTGATTGGATAAAAGGTGTTGTTCTCTGGGTGCACATCTTCAATGTTGGCGCCTACAACGCCTGCTGCAACGGCTCGTTGAATAACGGATACAAGCTGTGAACCATAACCATCTTGTAGATCAGCGGACAGAGGAATACCGGCCGCTTTGGCGAGAGGACCAATTTTGGCAATTGCCTCGAGGTTCTGCTCGAGGGTGAGCTCTTCATCTTTGACGCCGTATGTAGCAGCAACAGCCCAAGAAGCTGTCGCAAGAGCTTTGACAGGCTTGGAGGTTGCTGTATTGAGAGAAGTGACTGTATTGAATGAAGCTACATCCCATACATTTGGGAAGATGATGGGTGATGATGGCTTGTGAAGAGCCTTGAGCTGTTGGGCGAGATTGTTGGTCATTGTGAATATTCCACGTCGCATTCTGATCAGATGGTTAAGAGATTGTCTCCTAGCAATGAATCTCAGACTATTTATAAGTGAGTCTTCTGAAGAGTCATACTCTTGAATCCACATGTCAATACTCAGGTGTTGCTTTTGATGGAAAGGGCGCGCGGGGCTCAAATTCAGCCGCTACGATATAGGAAGGTTAGCAGAGAACAATGAAATACCATTTGTCAAACAACAAACCGTGGCTTACAGACGCCAAGTTCCGTACTGTAATTATTCCACCTACAATATTGTCTCTAAAGATTCACTCACGATACCCTCACTTGTTTACTCAGTGACCCGTTGAATCTGTCACAAAATGATCGACAAGGGTAGCTCGACCAGCTTCCCACTTGGGACTCGCCTGTGGAGTTGCATTAAACCGTCGCTGTCTCAGAAATAGCGCTCAAGAGGATAAGTTTTCGTGAATCATGCCATCTACAATTGACCACAAATATTCTCTACTCTCTCACTGATATCTCACTGATATCTCACTGTCACTGACATCCATCGCAATGCCTCTTCAAATTCGGCCAGCTGTCCCACAAGACATACCCGGCATGGGCAAGGTCTACTACTCAGCCTTTGGTGACACCATCATCGGAAGCCGTGTCTTCTGCGCAAACAAAGAAGCATCCGATCAATTCTTCCTCAAAAGCTTCGCAGAGGACATGGCAAACCCCAACTGCAAAGTCAACGTCGTCACCCACAAAACATCCCCAGAGTCAAAAGACGAACAAGTAGTCGCATTGGCAAAGTGGAATCTCCCCGGAGCGCCGATCCAAGACGTCCCACCAGCCGAAGTCTGGCCCGCCGACGGAGATCTAGCCGTTGAATTTTTCGGTACCATGACAGAAGGCCATCGCAGATTTATGAGCGATCGGCCTCACTACCATCTTGAAGTTATCTGTGTTCACAAGGAGTGGCAGGGTAAAGGAGCAGCCAGTCTACTTATTCGCTGGGGTGTAGAACGTGCGGACGCCGAGGGTCTGCCGTGTTTTCTTGAGGCTACACCAAAGGGAAGACCGATATATGAGAAATACGGATTTCAGATGAAAGGGGAGGATGTGTTTGAGTGGTCGTTTGGAAAGTCTGTGGAGACGTACATGGAGCGTGATGCAAAGGTAGAGAAACGGAGCATGACGCGGCCCAAATCCAAGGAACTGGCTTGAGGCTGTTGATCACTGCCCTGGCCTGTGTCACTGATCCATCACTGTATACATAGATGGATGTCATTTAGAAAATGGGGGACTAAGGATTTCCCTTAAAATACCTACTACACTTCAACTACAACACAATGCAAACATGATAACAAAATGTGTACCTGCGAATGGATCGGATACATCTGCGGCCACGAAGAAAAACGTCGCTACATCGCCTGCACAACCCTCTCAGAAATAAAAAACAGCTCCGAATGTCCCTGCGGAAGCATCAACTTTACAGTTATCAGATCACCACGACACTGCGGGAAGCCCGGATGCTTGTATATCGAGTGCATGGTCAAAGGATGGACTTGCTGCAAGTGCAAGAAGGGTCCTAATGAGGGACATGTATGCAAGCAAGACGTCAAACCTTGGCGATGGGATTATTTTGAGTGTGGGCATGGATATTGCCCAGATTGTAGGCCTTGGAGGGAGAAGCAGAAGCAGAATGATGGACGGGGAGATGGGAATGTTGGTATGAATGGAGGACCAGGACCGGTTAGGAAAGGGTCTAAGAAGATCCGACGGAGTTTGGATATGATTACCAGAAGAACAGAAAAGGTTTAACGACCAGACGACACGACTGCATTGAAATGAACATACAACGATACCTTATTACTGTCTTTCCACGGACGTATATGATCGACTCGGCCGAGAAAGAGAAGTTGAACCTGACGATCATTTAACTTGTGGGCTGCATACAACGACGTCAACGCTCGTCAAAATCCTAGAATAGAAATGCCAAGGAAGTAAAAGGAACAAATCCATCTTCTTCGGAATCTCCGGACTTTTTCTTCCCCCAAGCCTCGGCTTATTCTTCGTGGCGTTTCCTCTTGTGGCTTTGGTCAAGATGATAACGTCATGACGATCATTTTTTTCCTCTTGTTAGGCCAGTCGCAACAGGTAATCGTGCACAAGACAAAAGTTTACCTTCGGTCACGGAAGGGGAATAGTTGCATCAATTCTACATCTTTGTCGCGTGACTTGCCCCTGACATTTTATTCTCCTTCATGTTTATCTCTCTTTCATGTTTGTTCCTTTTATTATTCCTTCAGTTTAATTAATTTGTTCAACCCCTGGTTGACGTCGTTTTTGCATGTGAAAAAAGGAACCAATTATCTTAGCGTCAGCATAAACGTCACCAGCATTTCCAAAACATTCATCATTTGTTCGCGCGGAACAAAATCAGCCACTGTTTGAACAGTTGCCAAAATAATCGCCGTCGGATATTTGGTGTCAAATTTGTCTTCGTATATAAGCGACGCGACACCTACAATATTTGGTCACCCCTTTGAATTTTTGTACTCTACTTCCACCATATATCCTTGCAACAGTAAATACGTCGATGCGCACCTCGTTCATCATGAACGCTTCCAAAATGTCTTACCTCTCACGCCTAAGTCCTATCCCGGCCTTCCCTGAATATACAGGCCCCTACAAAGTCGGTACCGTCGACGTTGAAATCCCCGTTTCCGAACTCAAATCACCCAGCGTTGCCCCCGAGGGTTCCGACAAGATCCATACCGTTCAGTATCGCATGTTCTACCCAGCTGTCCCCGAATCAAACGAGAAGCGCATTAGCTGGTTGCCGAACCCTCAGAGACAGCATTTGGTCGCCTATACCAAGTTCCTGGGCATTGGGCCTATGCTGGCTGAGTTTCTCTCCTTTCTTCCGCGACATCTTCACTATACTACGATTCCTGCCCATAAGAATGCGACGCTCCTTGAATCGGATACCGAGAATAAGCGATGGCCTACAATGATCTTTTCCCATGGTCTTGGAGGATGCCGAAACTCGTACTCTTACATCGCGGGCTCTCTTGCGTCTCATGGTATTGTCGTCATCTGCCCTGAGCACCGCGAGGGCAGTGCCGTTGCCAGTTTCATCCGCGTGCCCGAGAACCAGAACGGAACAATCACATCCACCAGCCGAATTCAGGTCCCTTACGAGAAGATTTCACATGATGTCAGTCCCGAAGTATACGAAGCCCGTGAAGCTCAACTTCGAATTCGATGCTGGGAGCTTGGTCTTATTCATCAGGCCATGCTGGGTGTTGACCGCGGTGACACATTAACCAACTTGAACCGTTCTACGCCTAGTCTTGACCCATTTGTTGGTCGATGCAGCATCCATGAGCCTGGTAGCATTATCTTTGCTGGACACAGTTTTGGAGCTGCTACTGTTACGCAGTTCCTCAAGAGCACATACTATGCCGGTGTTCCCGAAGTCGCTGCTATGGAGAAGCCCATCTTTGCTCCTACTGAGGGCAGCGAGATTCGAGAGCAGATCACTGAGAAGACGCTTACTATGCTACTCGACATGTGGTGCATGCCCTTGATGGCTCCCAACTCAAAGCCTCTATTCGAGCTGCCTCTCCCTGTCTATGCCGATAAGGCCACTGCCCCTGGTGGAAAGGCTATCTTGGCTGTTGAATCGGAGCACTTCTTCAAATGGAGAGATCATCTCAACCTCAAGGCTCGCATCCTGAGTCCCGATCCTACTGTCAAGGTTGTAGAGCCTCAACTCTTCGAGCGACCCAGCGGAATCAAGATGTCGGAGCCAAACTTCTTCTACGTCATCAACTCTGCCCATCTGAACCAGTCTGACTTTGGAATTTTGTTTCCCTGGTTGACTCAGAAGATCTTCAAAGCAGAGCAGCCCGAGCGAGCACTTCGTCTCAACCTCCGCGCCCAACTCCAAATGCTTCGCCAGAACGGTGTGCCGGTCGGCCGTACATTTGTCAGCGATCTAGTCGATGGAACATCCTTCGACAAGCTGGAGAAGTTCAACGAAGAAAAGGGCGATGATTGCAAGGATGGCATCAACGATGATCAAGCCATCTTCGACACAAGCGGCAACAACCCCGTCGATTTCTGGCGATGGATCGACATCATTGGCCTTGGCGACTCTGGAGACAAGAAGACCACCGAGAAGAAGGTCGAAGAGGGTGAAGAGGAGATGAAGGGCGAACTTGATCCCAGCGATGAAGTTCCCGGCGCACCACCTACCATCACCGGCGCCGTGAGCGCCACCGCAGCATGAACAAAAAGGATTACGAGCGATGATTTGGAAAACACTGTTTTGAGATACCTCTGGCGCAAGGATAGGCAAATACCACATAGACTAGCACGAATAGAACCTGATTTATTTACTCCTTCTCGTATCCCATCTCAATGACCAACGTAGATCCCTTATTCTGCCATATTCCTCCCGTCCCACCGAATACACATCGTGAGGATACAGGCTTCCACATATATCCCGTTACTTCCTCTAGCGAAACCACGATATCACCCCTCGGAGCACATGCAACGGTTCGACACGTCCCATCCGTTACAGAACGACATTGTCCTCCTTCAATTTTAATCTTTCGATTTTCGTCGACGAGGTCGTACCAGCCTGCTATAGCAGCTGGACAAGCGACTCTATCTGGGCCTGGTTTCTGCTTGCTGTTAGTAATATGCTTTTCGGATAGTGAAGGGGTCTTTTTTGAGGGTACTTACTGTTGTGCAGGCGAGTGTCTCGGGGGTGCTTTTGGCGATGGGTTTTAGGTACATGACTGGATCGATACCTGTTTCTTCAGACATGGAAGACCATGGGAATTTGTTTACTATGGATGCTGGTTCTGTATGCCGGTTTTTGGTGATTTTTGCGAGGGCTAGGGATGCGAAGAGGATAATTGTGAAGAGCATTGCGCCGTTTGCGGTGTCTTAGACAGTATCAACAGAAAAGAACAAGAATTTTCGATCTTTCGTTGCAGAATCGTTTCCTCAATTAATTGATATTCGGCGTGTAATGATTCTATGAGTATGATGGTATAAATGTAAAGATGTGTGAATAAACCTTGATGGACAAGCTTAACTGGATGGCACCAACCTCTTATACCAATAAACATACCGCCCTTATGACACGTTCGATCGTCGGCGAGGAAACACAAAAAGTTCCCTCCCTTCGCCTATCTTTCGCCAGATGAAGCATGGCAAACGTCGCACTTGGTTTCATTGTTCCGGATGCGGATGTGGGACAAGCGTTGGCATACTAACGTGTTCTCGGTTTAACCGATATATGACAAGACTTTATCCAAGCTGGTGGTCTCGTGAGCAAATAGAACGACTTTATAACAAAATTATCTTTCATTGTGTTTCTATATTGCTAAAGAGGTGATAAAGACGCTGCGCTTGAAAGCTGAATGGGTACCCTACTAACGTACAAAACGATCATCTTGCGATACTTTCCCAATCCCGTCCCAGACCTTGCGCTGTACGAGATTTGTATCAAAGATCTGCTCCCAATCTTCTCTTCTAGGTATCGTGCGTTTCTGGATACCGTCTCGACATGTTTTATGCTCATCGAACTCATCGATTATCGTCGCCTCCATCGTCTTGGCTAATTCAGCGTACGCAACATCGTCCCGCCCGCCATACTCAACTTCGACATCCTTCTCTCTTCCACGCCTCTCTTGATCCTCGCGGAACCATGGGTTGCGAGAGATTTCAGAGGCGACAATCCAGAGGTCATAACTTGGTTCTGGGTTGCACTTTTTATATATACCAACATAGTCGCAGGCAATCGCTGCAGCTGCGATCTCTTTCTTCATCTCAGGGTGTCTTTCGACAAGCTCGTAAAGATAGTTGTCGTCTGGCTTCAAGGGCCACCAGATGATGGAGGGCTTCCTTTCCCAGATATCCTTTTCCTCCAATAGCTGCAAGTCGTTGAGCATAATGCGACGAGCCAATATTGCTTGTTGGAACTCCCATGTTGGAGAAGCCCGGGCATATAGGGTGTTGTTCTTGATCTGGCTTGCCCACCAACGAGCAAACATGGTGTGATGTAAGATACCACGGATAATGCAGTCCTGATCCAGTTCTGTCAAGGTCCTTCCAGAATTCATAAGCCGAGCATAGCGATCGACGTTCCCATCGTGGGCAGCCATCTGTATCAACAATGTTTTCTTGACAGTTGGCAAATCCTCAGGTAAAGGACTATAAAGAAGTTCCACCTCGTCTTGGGTGAGTATGCTGTGTTGTTCCTCAACGTCCTCATCCTTGAGGCCAATATGTTTGTCCTCTTCGATACAAGGTTGGAGGTCAGGCACCCAGCTTCCGATACCCTTCCTCGCTGCCAATTTCCATCGCACTTCGGTATCACCGTTTAGATACGCTGGGCATTTGTAATCCCATAGCTCGATAGTCCGATTGCAGTCGTCCATAATAGCGTAGCGATATTTAAACTCCATAATCTCTTCATAGATAAGTTTGCCGCCATCTGTTCCACTCTCCCGTGCCTCTTCAGCATGAGTAACTTCGGGTAGTAGATCGAGTTCTTTCCAAAGAGAATGGTAGCCTGCAGCAGCACAGGCACGACCAACTTGATATTTCATATCAGGGTGTTTAGAAGCTAGTGAGCGGTAGGTTTCCTCAGTTGCGATGTCGGGGTGCCAAATACAATATGGCTGCTCTTCTGCTGCCATGCGTTCCGGTATATCATCGCTCATGATGCGGCGAGCGTTGCGGGCTCTTGCAACTTTAGGCATTGAGGAGGCAAGGCGTTTAACTGGTTCACTCATGGCGAAGTCGTAGTGCAAGCGAATTCCTCGGATCAGTGCCGCTTGAGCATTACTGCTGTCGAGAAGACTGGGGACGCCATCACCTTGGATGGCCTTTTCCAGCTCTCGTGGAAGTTGTCCGTGGTCAGGCCGCTTCATTTTGTTCAAAAAAAAGATAATAGAATTAAGGGAAGATGATGAATTCATTCAATGAGATTTTCGCAATTAAATAGGTAAATTTAGGGCGGCGTGACTCACAGGGTATCGTGAACACAACCAACAGTTCTTATGATGGATCTTCCAGATCTAGACGTACGATGGGATCCATCGTGACAGGGTTTAGACTGTGATTTAATTAACAGCAGAACTACTAGGCCTTATATGGATCTTGGCAATTCACTCCCATAATGAAAAACAGTCCGAACGAGCGATATTTTTTAACAAAAAGAATCCTGGAAATGGGTTGGAGAGTTGTAAGAGAGGAGGTTGTAGGCAGTCTTCAATGAAGCCTCTTGAGCTTGCCATTAGACCCCTGTAAGTTTATGTGCAGGGGAGCTATAAAAGAGCCCCAAAAGGAAATAGAGAGATACGTATCTAACATATCCTAGTGTTATAGTCATTTAGATCCAGACGTCAGTGGTGGTGAGAGAAAGCTGGTTAGATAGCGAGATCTTGTTCCTTCAACCCATGTCCCACCATATATATAAGACAAAGTAACGTTCAAATTGCTACATATGAAAATACAATATCTTAATTATCCTTAAAGAGGTAAAGCACTTCTCCGTTCTCCAACAGCCAATTACTCCTCAGTCTTTCCCTTTAACAACAGATCCTTGAATGCGATGCATCTCTTCTCTGTAAGAGTCGAATTGAAAACCTCAAAGACCTTCCCTGTCTTTTCGGGACTCACTCCCCCACCAAAGACACCAACATGAGGAATCTGACCCCAGCCAGGGCCGCTCTGGGGATCCCTGATGAACTGTCCCCAAGCCCTCTGCATCGCCCTGCTCAACTTGCCCTGGAACTCAGTTGACCCTTCTTCGGGATAGGTACCAAAAAGAGTTGGAATCTCAGAAGAGTGATAAGCACCACTGCCATTGAAGATATCTGTGTTCGGGAAACTGGCATTGTACATGAATCGCCATGTGTTGATACCCGTGCTATGAAAGTCCTCTGCGGTATATCGAATTGGACATTGCATACCGAGTTCGGTCGCGATTCTGACGACTTGGTCAAACTCGTTGCTTATACCGGGACCACCAATGGGATAGTACATCTTGAGTAAATCGGCTTGTTTGGTGGTGATATTTGGCAGCCAAGCACTGAGAGCTTGTTCGATCGTAATGTTCATGAAGTCTTCCAGTCGTGCTTCATCAGCAGTTGAGCCTAGCATAACAGGGACTCGTGCCATGATTTTGTTGTATTTTCTGGACTGGAGTCTGATATCGCGAGGGAAGTTTGCGAGGGTTACTCCTTTGTCGCTAATGGGTTTGAAGTCAAGCGCAGCTCTCTCGATGATATCCTTCAGTTTGGTAGCGGGAACAATGCGCATGCACTCGAGCACTTCATCGAATTTGCCCTTGTCGCATTTAGCCAACTTGGTAGCGTGCTCCCAGGCGCCACTGGGTGTGACGTTGGTATTGGCAGTACCAGACTGAAGAATAGCTGCTCGGAAAGGGAGAGGTTTGGGAGGAGCGGTGATGAGGTCGTCAACGCTTCCTGCGCCGGCACTTTCTCCAAAGATGGTGACTTTCTTGGGATCTCCTCCGAAGGCGGCGATGTTGTCTTGGACCCATTGTAGGGCTAGTCGCTGATCAAGGAAGCTGTCGGCATTAGCGATGGTCTATTATTGCTTAATGATTACTTACCCGACATTCCATTCTCCTTCTGGTAGATCATAAGTCGTAGGAAAGCCAAAGATATTGGTTCGGTAGTTGATCGTAACGACAATAATATCTTCATGTCCCGCCATCTTGGATCCATCGTAGTAAGGCAGAGACCCAGATCCATGAAGAAAGCTACCACCATGAATCCAAAAAGCAACAGGCTTTGAACCAGCATTTGAACCAGCAGGCGCATAGATGTTGAGGTTTAAACAATCTTCACTGGTTCCAGCAGGCGGCCCAGGTGTAGCAAAAGTTTTGATAGTCCTATTACGCTTCGCCTCTGGATAGTTGAACTGCATGAAACAGGATGGCTGGTAGCGGGAGGCATCGTAGGGAGTGTCCCATGGCTTGGCTGGTTCTGGGGCGCTGAAGCGGATGGGGTTTGCACCAAAGGGGATGCCGAGGAACTGTTCGACGATGGTCTCGTAGTCCGGAATGGAAGTTGTAGTACCGATCACAACGCCATTATCGATGGTGACTGTTGGGTTCTGGTTCTCGGGGGTTGTTGCTTGAGGGAGCGCGAGTGATGAAGCCGCAAAGAGAGCGGTTGTAAGAAGAGTGAGGGAAGCCATGATGACTGATGATGTCGAACAAGACTCAGTCAAAACAGGATATCATGCTTCTTATATAGAGCAATTCCAACTATGATGCCAACACGATCGACGAGCACAACTTACACAGATTCCGCAGTGGGTATCCATATAAGCCAGCATCATGCCTTCGCCTGGCATCTTGACCAAATCCAAGGCTGTGTCAACCTTATACTAGAGCTTGACATCTTCAGAGCCCCATTAAATTGCCAGTATACAATTCCGCAGTAAGGCTCGGTTCATCGAGGCGATATTGACCTTGCTGTAATAGGCTTCATGCTGCGTTCGAGATGATTGGCTTGGTGTTGAGACCCTGGTATGACGATGCAAGGGTAGCGCAGCATGAAGCTTAAAAGAGTTTAGGGCAGGAACTCAGCTTTGACGTCGATGGGGCTGTTGCACTGCCATGACTTACACGAACGACCGAGGTAAATGGGTCTATCATTAATGGAGACAGATCAAATATGTCCTTTCAAATAAGTCTTGGTACTTACAGTCTGGGAGTTGATACCGAACACTACTGAGGCTAGAAAGGATTCCCTGACCTGGGTTTTGGACCTTTAGTTACCCTAAACTTCTTAACTCAGATTAGACTGTATAGAGGTTGGCAGCATCTGCAAGACGTCAAATACTAAACAAATCCAGTAGATTATTACAGGAGAAGATGTTTATCAAGTATAGAAAGATAATAAAACACTATCAACTTGGCAAGATCTCTATGCTCTTAATATTTGGTTAATAAAGTTAGGTAGTTTACCATTCACTTGTATTTATAAAAAGGCACCTTTTACAGAAATTCTAACGTGCATACTAAACACTCGTTTTATACCTAGGAATCTAACCTAAACAAACAATTATTTAGAGAAGGGGAGTCCTACCTTATGTTAAGATAGGTAGCTACCTAAAGCAGTTTAGATGATTAAAAGTAGTGGGAGTAGGCAGCAACGCGGCCTCGCGATTTAGGCAGCTATTATTATTGCTTCCTCTGCGAAACGCGATTCTCAGTAAACAAACAAAACATCACGACCGTCACTTCACACCCAACGAGAGCACCCATCAATGATGGAGGAGAAGCTCGTTCAACTGCAACGTAATGGCCTTTGTGATCAGCGTATTTGCGCAGCCATCTCGAATCTGATTGAAGATTTGATCTGGGAACTCCCGCTCGCTGCAAGCAAGGTACTCCCCTTTATTGAACGACCGATTGCAAACTTTTAGGAGAATATCGTCGACATAGAGAGAGAAGACAAGTACACGCTTGCCAGATTTCGTGTGTTGAAACAAACCACAGAAACCCCAGGGGCAGGAAAAGCAAACCTTCGTGGTGGGGAAGGACAAACAGCTACTCAGGGCCTCCCTCGAAGACGCGTCAAACGCAATATTCTTCCCAAGCGGGAGAACGATACGAAGAAACCTGCTGGAAAAAGCACATCGACAAAGAAACTTGCGAAGAAAGCTTCTGCTGCAATCGCCCGACCTACTCATGATACCCTTACACAGCTGGAGCAGAAATATCACGATATCAAGCAAGAGAAAGATAACCAAGACGCTCTTATTACCCAATTACAGCGACAATATGGGGATACAAAGCAAGAGAAAGATGCCAAAGACGCCCTTTTCACCCGACTAGAGCAAAAGTATGTGGATGTCAAGCAGGAGAAAGATGCCGCGAATCGACTGATAAAGTTCCTCCAACGACGCCTAGAGGATAATGACAGAGTCTTGGAGGAATTGCAGAAAGAGACCACAGAGTCCAAGAGGAAAGATTTGGAGATATACCTTCTAAGAGATGACCTTCTAAAAGCACAAAAGGAACTTCAAGAGTATCGGGAGGCTGAGCGGCAGAAGGCTATGGGAGACAACATCGATGGCATCGAAATCCCGACTACTCTACCTGTACAGCCATCCTGTGAGAGAACTGCTTCCCCTGAACTCGAATTCCTCTCTCAGACGGTGATCAATGAGAGCAGAAACAACGCCGAGAGATCGACCCTCGTAAGTTGGCACCTGGAGACTATCTCTGACGATCTGGCGATTTGGAATGGCCCTACGACAGGCCACGCCCTCGAATTGGTGGCTGACCTGAGCCCCCGTATCACAGCATCCACAAGTCCTACCTCTAAGGAAAAGGGCGACTGATGACCCCATTGTGTCTGAGTTAGGGGCGGGCAAGACGCGCAAGAACGACAGTGGAAGAAAGTCTGGCAAAAGATTGCGCCCCCGTAAGAGCATCAGCTATGAGATCAAGCCGCTCTCATTCTACGACTCTTTTGACGAATAAGTGGACTATCGAGTCTCGCCTCGACAAAATGCATCTCCTTTTCTCATATTTCCTGCACTAAAGGCGTCTGAATTGAATATGTGAGTTCCTACAACTGGAAGAAACCGGAATGGCGTTGCTGACCCGTTCAATAGTTTTGGTAAAATGTTCATGGTCTCAATTTACACAATTTCGCCATTTTGAGGGGCATTTCATAGCCTGTGGTATCGACTAGCTATACAACATTTACGACGATGTGAACGGATATTGGGCAATCATAGGACGACAGATATCAGTTTGCTACCTGGAACAGGAGTTGATTAGTTCTACCACACTTGTCCAACGTGTGTATCATCTTTTTTCAGATGCACAACGGCAAAAGGGACACTTCTAGCTGACGTTGTATGAGTTCTGTGTTCTTGCAAAGGACGAAAGACGCCTTCCGCAGTTGCTATACACGGGCGATCAATCGAAGCACAAGCAATCTCCTATAACGAATGGAACCGGGAGCGACACTTATCTAACGAGCGCTTCCTCGATTGTCTGTACTTTCCTCTCATATCGGAACTGCCAATTTTGACTTCAATGAGAGGCATGGCGTTTCAAGACTGCCCCGGCTCAAGAAGCATGTGAAGACCCAGCATGAGCAGCAAGAAATGACCTCTTGATGTCGGCAAGCCACGAGGGGATGAAAGAACCGAAATAGTGATTCTAGCAGAGGCTCAGTATTTTTCATCCTGTTACTAGCTTAATACAAAAGATCGTGGAGTCCTACATCAATAAATGGATAGTTCCGAAGAAACTTGGAGTTAGCATACTCTCAACCAGTATCTTGGCAGCGGGCGGATGAGATATGGCATGTCTTCATTCGACGCGTTGCTTAGACGCTCAAAAGAACAATGCTGCTATTTGCAACCAAACATCTGCATTTCACATGCAAATCAACATCAAGATGCAAAATACAGAAGAGGTAGGTCCTTTACTCGTCCAAAGATACTTTCCGCGAGATACCGGAACTTCCCCACTTTCGTCCGGCACGGCGCCGGTCTTTGAACCGATTACGGCAGCTCAAGATCACATCCCCGGCCATAAATCAGCATCTCCCCCAAAATAGCGACCGAGTCTTTTAAACAGAAACTTAAATCAAGACTTCGGCTCGGGCCGTTTTCTCAAATTGCACAAACGCAATATCGTCGCCCGTGCCTGCATTAACCTCGCATCATTTCCCCAGGGATCATTCACCATTGAGATGCCAACGTGGAAATGATGAACCATCACGATTGTCTTGTGCAGGCGCTGATTAGCTCTGCTGATCGTGCACGTGGGCCTGGTGACCTGGGGGTTTCAAACTTTCATGCGAGCCTGCTGAGGACAGACTTATGAACGCTGATTGGTTGGTTGCGTCTAGGGTCAATTATCGGCTCACGAGGTTGTATTGGACCGTGGTGATTAGATGGATCAGATATTGGTCTGGGTGAGTTTATGCGAAAGGTTTATATAGTTTCAGGAGGCCTTTCGCAAAATCTAGTTTTTGTTTGTTGTCACCCTCACTCTCGCTCTCGCTCATCATGAAGTCCTTCGTTTCTATCGCTATTCTGCCCCTTGCCGTTCAGGCTGTGAGGATCGTGCAATCCAATGATGATGGCTGGGCTGAGTCGTATGTCCGTACCTTCAATGACGCTTTGAACAACGCGGGCTACGATGTTGTTCTTTCTGCCCCTGCTGAGAACAAGTCTGGCAGCAGTAAGTGACTGTGCAGCCGATAATAGCGATCGCGTCTAACATTATTCAGGCTCTAGAGACGAGAGTCCCAAGGATCGCAAGACTGCTTGTCAGTACGACAGCTGTCCCGCCAACAGCGGTCCTGTCGGTTCTGCCCCTAATCGACCTGATCTCAACTGGGTCAACTCTTTCCCCGTCACTGCTATGAAGTACGGTATCGACACCTTTGGTCCCCAGCTGTGGGATGGCGAGGCTCCTGAACTTGCTGTCGCTGGTCCCAACGTTGGTACAAACCTCTGGCTTCAGGTTCCTTTCTCTGGTACCGTTGGCGCAGCTTGTTACGCTGCCAAAGAAGAAGGCATCCCTGCAATTGCCTTTTCCGGAGCTTCAGGCGGCAACACTGCTTTTGACGCCAAGCCCGTTCCCCAGCGCAGTCTCGTCTACGCCGAACTCGCTACCACCCTCGTCAAGAAGGTCGTCGACTCTGGAAAGCCCTACCTGCCCAAGGATGTCTACCTCAACGTCAACTTTCCCAAGGTTGAGGGCAAATGCACTGATGCGTCCAAGTTTCAGTGGGTGCTGACCCGTATTAACACTGGCTTGTTGTCGGACCGTGATACTGAGTGGTGTGGCGAGGACCGTCTTCCTACCGAGACTGAGATTGCTCTTAAGAGTGGCTGCTATGTTTCTGTTAGCGTTGGAGATGCTGCCGATAAGACTACAGCTGATGCTGCTCGACAGAAGGTTGTCCTTGGTAAGCTCAAGGACATGCTTGTTTGTGTCGATTAGAGGGAGCGAACTTTTGGATAGAAGATTTATGTAGTTGATTATTGTAGGAAGCAATTAAATCTCTTGATCAATTGTTCATGCGTAGAAGTGAAGAGTAATGCCTATAATCGACGTATTAGTGCTTTAAGTGGAAGCTTATCGATAAGCGTTGACACCTGACTATTCAGGCGCACTAAGATTCTTTGGTGGTGCAACCTCGACTTTTTGCGCCGCTTTCAATATCACGATCAAGGGCCGGTCCGCCAAAGCTCTCAATTCCACACATAATGGCGCCAATCGACCGTTGCTTGGCCTCCATGGCCAGGCTGTCCCTCCTCCAGACTCCTCGACCGGCAATTCCCTCGATACCAAAGTTCCTCGCTCCGGCAGCGGCCCAACAAGTTCGAAATGCTTCGGTGGTTCGAATCAGAAAGACGACCAAGAAGAAGAAGGCCCTTCCTAAGGACTTTAAGAGACATAATCTAAACAAGAGGGAGTTTCCTCAGTACTCGTTATGTGAGGCTATGAGGTTAGTGGGGAGCTAGAGGGGTAAAGCATTGAGATACTAACATGAATAGAATCCTCCGAGCCGTCGAGGTTGGCGAACCCCCCGCTTCGATCAAGTACGAGGTACACATCAACCTCAAGACCGCCCGTAACGGACCCGTCATCAAGAACAGCGTCCGTCTACCCCACCCCGTCCAGAGCGACTGGCAAATCGCCGTCATCTGCCCCGAAGGCAGCGAGATCGCCCGTGAAGCCACCGCAGCCGGTGCCGTAGCCGTCGGCCAAGAGACCCTCTTCGAAGCCATCAAACAAGAAAAGATTAACTTCGACCGACTCATCTGCCACGAAGCCAGCGAGGCTGCCATGAACAAGGCCGGTCTGGGAAAGATCCTCGGTCCCAAGGGTCTCATGCCCAGCAAGCGTATGCGAACTATCGTTCCTGATGTCGTCAAGTCGATGCGAGACTCTGCCGGTGCTGCCGATTACCGTGAGAGACAGGGCGTTATCCGCATGGCCATTGGACAATTGGGTTACTCGCCTGACCAGCTTAAGAACAACATCAAGGTGTTGCTGGCCAAGGTCAAGGCAGAGTGTGCCGAGATTTCAGAGGAGGTGCACAAGGAAGTCCACGAGGTTATTCTAAGCACGACACATGGACCCGGTATTAGTTTGAACGGAAACCTTAAGGATGCTGAGGAGAAGATTACCCCCGAGGCTTTGTCGAGCATCATGTAAAAAAAGCTTGAACTTGTATAATTGTATCATATGTCATATTAACGAATAGACTTTGTGGGAGCGGTCGTGGGTATCATTAGGATTTATTTGCAGTGAAATCTTTAGCCACCTCGGAGAGCCTTTACGGCCTCTGATTGTGCATCCAGCACTCTATATATCGCCAGACACTTAAGAACTCTGTCTTGACCTTTGACGCCTGCCTTCTTGGCTTCTTTCAGCGCATTGCCCAAGTCTAGAAGTAATGTGTTTCGGCAACGTGTCAAACGCTCCTCCATCTTGATAACATATGGTGTATCGGGATCCAAAGCTTCGAAGAGCTTGGTGATTCTACTGCATTCCTGAGCTGAAGCGAGTAATTTGGCTGGCGAACTTCCGTAGTTATCTTCGTCCTCATCTTCATCTTCACTTTCTTCGTCCCATTCGTTGTCAGCTGGTAGACTTCCCAAAGAGAGTCGGTCTTCCAAAGATGTGAGTCTTTCGGATAGCTCCATCATCTTTCGACCTTTCTCAATAGCTGATCGTACACCACGAAGCTCTCCATTGAGATTATTCGTCTCTTCCTTGCGCTCCGTCACCTTGGTTTTGACTTCTTCAATAGCTCTTCGAAATCCTAGCAGAGAAACTTTGACATCCTCAACCTTGTCGTCGCCGCCTCGTAATTCGCTACCCAGAGACAAAAACGCTGTGTAGTTTGAATTGACAAGCTCCAGAAGCTCAGAGCTTATAGCAGCACTCCTGTCGCGTAGGTCGGATCTCAAATCCTCAAGTGTTTGGTGACGATGTGGTAAAGCAGATAGATAAGCGGCAGGTTGAAAGTCTTCAGCGAGAAAGTCGGCGCGAGGGAGAGCTTCAGGGAATGGGAGAGGAGCATCGTCGTCGACAGATGATGAGTCGGAGGAGAGGTATGGAGCGGATACATTAAGACCCGCCATTGACGACGAGAGAGGGTCTGGCGCGGCGGCCATTGTGAATGTGGTGATATCGTGGTGTCTGTAAGTGTCTGGATGTAGCACTAAAGGTGAGGTGGCATGGATTTGGTGGAGGAGCTTCAGTGGTCGGCGGCGCTAACTTTGATAGGAAATTTGATCTTATCGATAACCCCAGATGTAAGAGGACGAGTTGAACCTGTTCCTCTACAAAGCCAGAACTCTTATTTAATTAATCACTATTTCAGTATCATTAGCACTACCATATCTTCTCACTATAACCAATATTTCTTTCTTGCTGATACAGCTTGTCAATCGGAATGTTGGCATCTTTCTTTGTGGTTGGCTGTGGAAGTACTTGTTACAACACGAACACGAATGATCACAACTCAACCCTTGATACAGATCACTCAACGTTTGGACCCCTAAGGCACCGCAACTGTGGTTCAACTGTTGAAAAGTTCCGTCAGAATCAGCTTATATGGAATTGTTCAGTTCCGTGATCCGAAACCTATTCTATTGGTTACATTTCTCCCGTTGGCAATCCAGACTTGCCCCGTGCAGCATAGCTCAGTGGATAACATGCTCAATGCCAGGGGTTCAAAGATCACGGACACAGTTAGCGGTAGCAACAGTGGCCAAGACAGTAAAATGCTCAACAAGCGGATTCCATTACGTTTAAAAAGCCGAGTTGAAGGACAAGTTGCCGAGGATGAATCGGGCTGAAGGATGTTTATCAGATGCTATGAGGAATCGATGAGCGGGCTGCTGTGGCCTCTCAGCTGCCTCTGTCTGTTCAGAACGTATCTATTTCGCCTCTCATTGTCTCAGTATCGCATCAATTGTACCTAAGATCGTCGAAAGGTACAAGACATGTTGCGACAAAAGAGATATCAAAGTCCAGTAAAATGAATAAGATCGGCCTTTGAACTCCGGTTATATCACACGTGAACGGGCTAGAACCAACAGCTTCTAATCCTTCCATTGGAAGCCGGGTTCTACTACCGGAAGAATTGTCAATCTTTTCCAGCGAAGTCGGAGTTTGGAGACCTTGTGATCGACACTAACTGTACAGCGTTATCTTGACCGGATCTTATCTGATGGTTGCGGCACTCCTTCGTGCAATTCCGACTTGGGCCGGCTTGTTCCAGGTGAGCCCCGAGCTTCGGATTAGTGTAACAATGAATCTCCATGTTTTGAGGGGTCTTCAGTGGAGGAAGTCCATTTAATAGAGGGCATCTATTGGAGATCTTCAGTGATAATCCTCCTTACTGTTGCATTATGACGAGGGCGTTTATATGCTGCGACGTCAATCAACTGCCGCCCATTTTTTGCTATCAATCAATCACTCATGTCACTTTACCACTCACTCATTGGAAGAAAAGTACCGACCCGTGCCTGTTACACCAATAATTGACTCGAAATCTGGTCGACGTCGTGGAGTAGCAGTCGAATAAATGGGTGGGGAGCAATTAACAGAGGTCAAGGCGTTGTGGAGCCTCCAAAGTTATGACTGATTGATACGCATCTATGAAACTGGATGCCTGGGAAATGCCTGCTGTGCAATCAGATTACGAGAAAAGTCCCTCTTCAACTCGGTCGTAATAGTAAACTGACCTCTAAATGGTAGGTTGTCGTAAAGTCCCCGTACCACATGCATGCCTGGCGTATGGGGATTAGTGCCTGGCGTGGTGTTGTCTGCAAAGTTTTTATCAATCAAATCTTATCAATCTGATCAGCTCCACTATCGTCTCCTGGAATCGGACCATTGGTTTCCCAACCGTCGGTTGTGTTCGGGGCACAAAAGCAACGACGCACCCCGCGATCCAATTTCCCTCTCTGCTACCCTTTTCTTTCCCCTCTAATCTGATTGATTTGATGATCCCCTGATACCCTCAATCTGTTCATCCTCGCATGGGTTGATCGAGTCCTTATCAATCAGACTCCAGGCTCTCAGCTGTATCAATCAGCCGAGACTAAAGCCGAGATCGCACCGAGCTGTCACATTGTAGCTGCGTTGCAGTTGCGTCAGACGGACCCCCAAAACAATCTTATCAATCTGTTTATCAATCTTCCACCAACTTTTCATCGTCACCACCGTCGACGAATTGGTTTTGGACAAGATCAAATAAACAAACCCAATTCAATTACGCGCATTTCTTCAAAGCCTTTTATTACGAGTATACGGATACCTCCTCGGCATTCCAACCCGAGTTGGTTTAACCGACCGACCGACCGATTTCGCGCGATCACAACATCCATTACCCATACATCCTTTACAATGTCGACTTCTTCTCCTCAACAATCAATCGAGTCTCCTGGAGCAGCAACTTCTCCTGCTGCAATTACTCCAGGAACAAGAAGTCGTGCCATCTCAGCTGCACCTGGACCTGCATCACCAGCCACAGCTGGGCCCCACAGCCACAGAACGCCACTCTCCATTAAGCCGAGTTCGAAGCCACCTCCACCCACACAACCTCAACAGCGCACTGCTCTTCCTTCCATCAACAAGATGGCCATGTCGTCCGTAATCAGCCCAAGTCCGGTTCCGCCGGAGCCTCCAAAGGTTTCTATGACTTCAAAGGAATGGGTGATTCCTCCTAGACCCAAGCCTGGCAGGAAGCCTGCTACTGATACGCCCCCCACTAAGCGTAAAGCTCAAAACCGCGCAGCTCAAAGGGCTTTCAGAGAGCGGAGGGCTGCCCGAGTTGGGGAACTTGAGGAACAACTTGACCAGCAACGTGAAGTTCAAGAGAAGCATGAGCAAGATCTCAAGGATAAAATTCACGAACTTGAACTTGATGTTCAGTCCTACCGATCCAGATGCATGTTGCTTGAAAATATGCTTGAACGGGAAAGACAGGACCGTATCCGGGTTGAAACAGAAGCCGAAACTCTTAAACGTCGTCTCGATGAAGGTGTCTTCAACTCAAATTTTCAGTCGCGAACCATGAGTGTTCAACATTCATTTGATGGAATGCACAGTCCTACCAGCCAGGCACCAAGACACAGTCTACCTGATGGACGGCCTGACCGTCAATCAGGCCACTCATTTTCCATCTCACAAATCATCTCTCCCCCAGATACCCTCGACATGAACTCATCACATGATCCCGAGACTACCCTCACCTGTGGTAACTGTTCCCCAAACGGACGTTGTGCCTGCGCAGAAGAGGTGATGAAGACAGCCGAAAGCGGTTGCGGGAAGTGCAGCCTCTTGTCCACTTGCCAGTGTCTCGACGAGGCAGCTGAGGCTCTTGATCGATCTCAGGACCTCAAGCGTCCTGTTTCGCCGTCGGCAGATGTGTCGCATGAGAAGAGACAACGCTCAAGTCCACATGAAGCAGTGGAGACTAACTATACAGCCATGTTCCGCAAGCCTGTTCAAGAGACATTCTCTGCCCCCTCTCAACTACCCTCTATGGACTCCATGCCTTTTAGAGATGGCTGCGGCTTCTGTAAGGATGGAACATATTGTGTCTGTGCCGATACAGCACTTGCAACCCCCGCCATGACTCCTAATGATACCCTTCCTCCCATCTCTCAGCAGGTCCAAACCCCTCCTCCTGAAGAGACTGATCCTCCCATGCTTGCGATGGAGATGACAGCTGATGGAGCTGTCAAGCTGCCTCGTCGCACACAGGCTAAGTCAGCTGAGCGTCGAAGTGGCTGTGGTCCTAACGGTCCTGGTTCTTGTGCTCAATGCCAGGCAGATCCCAAGTCAGGACTCTTCTGTCGTCTGATGGCCGCCAACTTCAACAGTAAGAATGGCAGCTCTGGTGGCTGCTGTGGCGGTAAGGGTGCTGGTGGTGGCTGCTGCAAGTCTCAGTCCAAGCCGCCTCAACAACCCGAGAAGATCAATCTTCCAAGTCTTCCTAGTCTGGGCTTGAGTTGCGCCGAGGCATACCAAACACTAGCTAGCCATCGCAACTTCTCCAAGGCAGCAGATGATATCGGATCATGGCTACCCAAACTCAAGGCTACACCAAGACCTGGCACCCGACCAGCACCTCCTGGCGCAATGATGCCTATCGAGGTTGAAGCAGCGAGTATAATGAGCGTCCTGAAGGATTTTGATGTTCGGTTTGGGAGGGGAATTTAATGGGATCCCAAACCGTTAAAATGGATAGTATATTGAGTACATGAGCAAAACGGTGGTTTATGAGCATAGAAGCTCATGCGCATTTGCAGCATGCCTAATATGGCACTTGGGCGGTTTCTGGTTGGAGCGTTGATATTATACCCTTATTAGTCAAGATGTAGTCACTTTACAGTACTGTATATGCATCTACGAATTTATGCGTCTATCAAGTCTCTAACGCAATGCTTGTAATGTGATGAGATGAGATGAGACATGTGCCGGCGGATGCATTCGATACCGGATGTGTGGTAAGTTCAAAAGCAAAACTTGCATCCCGGGGATAGGCTGGTGAGTTGACCAGTCGGAGAAGCAGACGAGGTAAACAAGACAATGAAGGGTGGTAGGTCTGCTTTTCTGGAAGGACACTATCGATCGGACTAGTCAGAAGGAAACCGTGTTCAAATTGATAGAAGCGGCTTAAAATGTCACCATGAGGTGTATTGATCGGAGGTGGTGATAGTAACATGGACGGATACGTGGGTGACAACGTGGATGACTAGCTTGAAAGAGTTGGTTCAGAAGACGCCACGGTGAAGTTGTAAATCGCTCTGACAGACTACGCGCTGACGTGCATAAAGGCAGAAACACCCTCGGCTGAAAGAGGGTGATATACCGGGGAAAAGCTGGGGGTTGAATTGTCTGGTCGGATGAAGTCGTCGTGAACTGTCGACAAAGTTGCGGTGGAGTTTCGATGGTGGAGCAGCATGGCCAACGCACCGCACTGCCCGGTACAGGACGGTAACTTACTGGAAGCGCTGTACTGTACGGATTCAGCCCGTAGGACGAATGTGCTGTTTACTTTTTGAAGATGGACGAATAAGGTCAGCTGCATTAGAGTGGCGAGTTAGTCAGAGTCAGAAACCAGCTGAGAATAGTGTCAGTGTCCTGATAGTAACGAATACGGCTGCATAACTCGACATGTCGGTCTGTCTAACAAATTCTCGAGAGACCAGGGGTGTTCCCTTTCGGTGAGGTTTTGCCTTTTCAGCGCAGAATTGTGTCTGGCAGTGAATGATTGGAAGAGGGATGCATGTGGAGGTCGGCGCATGATTGGTGTCTGAGGGGGGATGCGTTGGCAGTTGGCACACAGCCCAGCCCAGTTGCTGCAACTCTACAGCGACTGTTGTCTTTGCTTTGCATAGAGAGAACTGGCGTGGAGGGATGAGATTGGTTGAAGCGTGTGGATGAGGGGGGAGGGGTTTTGGTCAAGTACATTGTGTTGTGTGATGGTGAATTTTTGTTAGGTTCATGATGGGAATTGTTAGGAGGAATGTATTCAGGAGGCTCTTTTTCAGGATCACATGTTTTGTTTGCAAGATCATGTTTTGTTTCAGAAATAGATATCGTGAATTGTATAAGTGGACGAGATCATATTAATTACTGACTCAACTGTGAATACCCTTGTAATCTAATACTTGGTTGTGGAAACAAATTACCCGACAACTCATAGCTACAGTTACCGACTCGCTACCGTTTAACCAAACCAAAAGTCAATCCGAACACGGGGACTGCGTCTATTTGTTTTCTTTTTCCTCTGTATAGTATATCACTCATTAAAAAATTCTTCTTGATAGAAATTCCCTCGCTTCCATGTCCTCGTGGACATATTTCCTGATCCAGTTTTATTTGTGAACGGTCCTTGTTGGCTATGCAGTGACAACTCAGAGCCCTTTTTCAGAGTTACACCAATCCTATCATATGTATGATACTGTACAATTTTGTTATTTGCATTTCAAACAATCAAGATTTTACAGAATCATCAATCACGATTCCTAGCAGCAAGGAACTATGTGAGGTACAGTGTACGCAGTAAAGGTCTGCAAGTCATTGTCCTACCTACCATTCATTGTCCATGTCCATGTCCATCATGACTTGTTAGACTCGGGTGGGTGCACTGTTCCACTCTACCGCAATGACGGGACGGGACAGCATGAGCATAAACAGGTGTTCTTGGAGGAGGCTCTTTTCAATGGTCCACAGTTGATGATCAACAAAGGTAGTTCCCGAGGCAAGTCAAGACAAGCTGAGAGAGGTATTGACTCTGTTACAATTCGTAGCGCTGAGCTTGCCAACGCACAACTTGATATCCCCTGTGACCCGGCCCGACCTTGTCCTCTTACTATGCCCTGACAAGGCCAGGCCAGGCGCTGATTGACACGTGCGAATCGCACAGGGCTTCAGGTACCGACCCATAAAAGAGTCGTTGATCCAATTGTGTTTCATTCTCACCCGCATTACCGCCTTCGTTTCTTCCTATCTTGGTCTAGTGCATATCATCAACATCTGCCAACTGCAACAATTACCCCCCCCCCAAAAGGCGGTACT